TTTTTTTTTTTTTTTTTTTTTTTTTTTTTTTTTTTTTTTTTTTTTTTTTTTTTTACGATTGTACGAGATTTTCTTACTTATGGAGATTTGATTTCTTGTAAAACTGACAGTTCAAGACCCATTGTAAAATAATGTTGATTTTCTCTGTTTTTTCCTAGCACTACATGGCTCTGTAGAGCACGACATTGAAGTATACACCGATGAACCGTTGTTTCATTCATTTTTCACTGTACGCGTCAAACGATAATGACAAGTCAACGATCCTTTAAACTATCTATACTTAGTTATTTGACAAAACTGAAAGTCAAACTCATGTAAGTAGGAAGAGAAAAAATCCATCGAGGCAATACCTATAAATGAAAATACGCAAATTATCTTTAAATGTCGTATTTGTTGTAGTACGTTATGGCAGGTTGATTTCTTGGCAAGAGCGATCGGTCAAATAAACGGAAGAAATCGAGACTTATATTTTATCAAGTATCTATATATGCACACTCGTTGTGTGGACCAAATTGTCGTTGTTAGGTAAATATTGTACCATTACAATGTTCCCGGGAAAACCCCATCAAAGTGGCCTTTACGGGAAATCGAGGAGTTGAGTCTGATGTATAAGACACCCGAGTTTGCTGAGACGATGACGGAGACACATAGTGTTGAGCTTGGAAAAATATACTTGGGCAAGTCGAGCGATACAAAGAGAGTATGCATGCACCTATAATACCGGAGCGGCACAGCTTTTAAGCTTTGACATGACGTGCGCTTTTATACACATGTACTGCGTTCCTCCTATCTACCCTACCGATAAACATGGAAAAAAACGCGCCTTGGGAGTCGGGACAGAGAAGCGTTCGCCTTCAAAACAGGCATCGCTGCTTTTTAAAAAAATGTCATTTTTGTGAATGTAAAAAGAAGATCGGAAAACATAAACGGAAATAACTTTTGCGCTAACACGTACCTATGTGTGTAGTAATTTTAAAGGGTCTTTTTTTTGTTCAAAGCAATATTACTAATCTTTGAACATGGATACTGTTGATCAACAAAACTTTTTGTTCATATGTTAATAATTTTTTTTTATTCAATCATCTTGAAAATCAGTATAAAAATCACTTGAGTATAATAATTCATTGATTGTGTGTACAACACGACATTTACATTATCGAATAAACGTCTTCTTGCTTATTCACGTTAATTTTTAATTTTTAATATGGATCAATTTGCATTCATTTTATGAACATCGATAGACCAAAGTATCACATTTTTAAAAATTACTCAGATATGAGACTTTAAAAGCTAAATTTAAAAAATATATCTTGTACATGAATATTAAATATTATTAAATATAATTTACCTATTATTAGTTAAGGCGTCGCCAAAAAATAAATGTTAAATAATGTTAATATAAATTAACCATCCGTGTACGATGAACCGGAAGTATGTTTATGACAAAAGTTTTGACCTTTTACAGGCATCAGTCGACAGGGATTGCCACTTCTGGTTCTGGCAGCACAGGGAGCTCGTGGTACTGGAGTAATGGCACTGTGGAAATACATTTATTTTAAAATAATTGGTAAAATTCCATTAAATACATTATTTTGTTACCTTGCTGGGCTGCATCCTCTAATTTCAGAATGGCGGCTGTGAATACTTTCACGAATTCTAGGTTCCACATTTCTTTTTAAAACAGCCGTCAATGGATTGGATTTTTTTTCTGTATTGACATGTCTGAGAACAGTTCCTGTGACGCTGTTATCGTCGTGGATCAACTTCCCGTTATCAAACAAATCAGAATAATCGCTGCTATCTTCAGATATACTTGCATATCCTTTATTTGTTATATTTTCATATTTCCGAGCTGGTAAATACGAACAAGATAACTCTTCGGAAGAAATCAAGTTCCACCAAACCCAATGTTTCATAGTTGCAAAAACAGCTAATAAGTTTTCTAGTTGATAAAAAAAATTAATAAATTTCCAAAACTAAAAATCAATTACGAAATATATATNAATATTTGCAGACTTACTAAGACTGTGATAAATTTGATGAATAAAACTATTCCAAAAATGTATAATTTTGTAATTAATTCTTGAAAATATTGATAAGTGTTGTTTTTGCCCGCTACTGTGCTTAGTGTACTTGTGAGATTGCTCATTTCCTTCAGGAACAGTTTCATTGGTTGAATAAGTTCTTTTCTTTTGCTTCTTTTGTCCATAACTATTTTGATCCTTTGATCGCATCATATAATGAATTCCATTCATGACATAATGCACTAAAAAAATTTTTTCCTTAAAATTTTTTAAAATCAAGATTTTCTTTATGAGCAAGCAAATACTTACTAGCTGTAATAATAATAATTAAAACTGTTAGGGAAATGAAGTCAAGACTTGCACTAAGTCCATGTTTCAAATAGGATAAAAGATTCAAGGGAACTACTCCTAATATGGCTGATCTTGTTATAAATGGTGCCTGAAGGAATGATGCAAAAACCATTGCTCCAAATAAATATACCACGTGTAAAATACTGCGATAAGCTTTTTCGAGATTTTCTCCTGAAATTAAAAAAACTGTCAGTTAATGAGAAATAACTTATTCCAAGAATTGTTACACTTGTACTTTACCTGTGTTGCCAATATATTCAGTTATCCATCCCAATTTTTCATCAATCTCAGAACGCATTTTGTTAGTGAGATCCCATATGTACAATATAGTTTCATTTATTTTTTCAAGTTTCTTCAAGGTTTCCTGGTATTTTTTGGCAGCGTTATGATTTTGTTCAATAATACGGTTTGCAGATTCCCATAATTTTTGCGCCTGAATTTGAATTTTTTCCAAGTCCTTGAGAATCTCTTGATGGTTTAGACTTTGTTCTGTGGCCTGCTCCAAGAGTTCTTGACTAGCATTTTCTGTACATTAAACGATTTTTTTTTTTTATTTATTTAAAACAATTTGAAATTATTAAATGCATTATTTTTACTTTTGTAAACTTTTACCTAATTTTTTCTTAATATCTTCAGTCATACTGGCCAGTTGTATATGCCCAGCTTTGATTAAGGCTTTTTCCTCAGTCAATTCTTGAATGTTTGTTTCAACTATTTTTTGGGCAGTAATTGTTTGTTCTTCAAGTCTATCTTGACTCTCCTATTGAAAATTATTAATACCAGATTTATTTTATATAAGATACAAAATATATATCAATTGTTACCTTTAAATGTGCCAACTTTTCGATTTGCGAGTGAGCAGATTGCATTAACTTATTAACCGTCAGTTCTGTGAGTGCACGAAATTGATGACTTCTCGCGGCATAACAAACAGCCCTTGCTCTGTTGCTCATTAAATGGTAAGCGTTCCATGTGTCTGCATCCATATTTGAAGTGCATTGTTTAATAGTCTGCAAAGAAAAAGACACGAAATTTTTAAGGCACAAGTACTGATTATAAAAAACATTTTGAATAAATTTTAATAAAAAAAAAAAGATAAAACAATATCAAAAAAACTTAGTTTTATTAATATAAGCCTTCAAGATGTAGTTCTAGCAGAGAGAAGCCACTGTGAAATGTTACTAAAGCTACAATGACTATGAAAGGGAAGGGTGAATTTCAAAGGGGAAGGTTTTTGCAAGTTTGAACTTGCACAAAAACACCCCTCACCTGTCTGACCAATGAGAGGGCTGCTCTTTTGTTACATCATGCTTTACATGCACGGTGTAGCTTATGTGTTGAAACCAGAGTTTAAAAATTACTAGTGAGTATGTAGGAAAAGATTTGAAAATGTATAGATACATGTACAAAATATTTACCATCTCATCCGTGCATGGATATGTTTTTCTACCCTCATTTTCAGACTGACAATTCAACAAATTAACACTCAATTTTGCAAGCTGCTCCTCTGTCATGCTGCTGCATGATGTTTTGATTTTTAGTATAACTTTGTGCTGACACACTTCAAGGGGTGAAGATATCTGGATATCTGTCACAAATTTGGCTGCCTCTTTTAAGAATTTCTCATCTTCTGTCAATTGTTCATAAGGAATATTTACAAGTGGCACGCCATTGGAAACAGCAACTGGTGCTTCCTCTCTTGATTTACCCCAAAACCAATTCAGCATAGAATCTCCTTTTACTTGGTTTGTCAACAAAATGATGAATATGACTGACGCCAGGTAAGGCGATAACAGCGTGCTACACTTATTCATTCTACAATTTTTTTAAAAACCTGAAAAATTACAAAACAAAAATTGCATTATTTATGTATTGTGGATGTAATAAAATATTCATAAAATTGTTAAGTAACTGGAAACCACGAACCACAAAAATAACAATTGGCATCGGCAATGACTTTTCCGCGAGTCAACATGTACGTACTTATGCATGCATATTTATACACTTGGCCGTGATTTGTAAGTATTAAAATAAAACGTGAGAAATTCAAGCGTGTGACTCTCTTTCGTAACGTATTTTCGTGTAAGTACCGCACGCGCACTGTCGTTAAAAATTTCGAATAAATGCGTTCAACTTACCTATAAAATAGAATCCCAACAGCCCCAGCACAACATTAAAAGTAGAGGGGTTATCGAAATTTAACGAACTTGAACCAAAGTATAATTCAATTAAATAAGTATTCAAAACATTGTTCAAACGACAATGACAAGTGTGTTTATACCCGACGCTTTTGCGTGCATGTCTGTTCCTGTTTTTGTGCCCCGCCGAGCTGAGCGGATCACGTGACCTCGCGACTCCGAAATCATTGTATGCTTTCTTGAGTTCGGCGTTCTAAATATCTCTTACTGAGCCCTTACAAAAACACTTAAAAAATGTTTCGTCAATTGTACAGATACATTTTTTTCAGTCACATAATATATTTTTAAGCGTTGAGCAACTTAACAATTGTTAAGAGAAAACCAAAGGGGAGGCGGATAGCAGACGACAGTAGAAAAAGAGAGAGAAAAAAAGAAAAGGAAGCGGGACGATCCAACCAATTGCAGCTCGAAGATAATATTTGAATTCTCGCATATAATGCGATGCCGCGAGAGATTCAAATGTTCAACGCTTTTTTCTCTACACCGCACACAGTATAAGGTATCAAGTCATGAACCTCATGTAAGCAGAAATTATTTTTTATTTTTTATCACTCACTACTTCACTTATGCCGTACATTCCCGCTAGTAATCTACCATGTGATACTGAAACTGGTTCTTTTGGCGGTAAATAGGGACCTTTTTCTCCCATGTAAACGTACGGTAATCTCAGAATCCAGTAGGCACTTTGAGAAAGTTTGATGGGTTCTTCACAGCCCGTGACAAAGATTGGGCACGGAGGTGGACCAGGTTGCACTCGAGGATTCAATGTAACATGAACTGGAGCTTTTGGCGTTACGACATGTATCCTCATTAATTGTGCAATCAAGGGTTTGGGTTGCCTATGGATCATAATTTTTAGAATTGATAATGTCACAATATTTAAAGATTATCATTTTTTTTAACTCGACAGATATTTTTTTTTTTTACCTGCAAGGGCAGGGGAAATAGAGGGGCATATCTGCTGTGCTTGATGTCACTTTGTTTCCATTATCTTTCACCGTACCGATTCCAGTTGCTTTCAACACTTTGTCAGGAGTAGCAGCCATAAATCGATGACCCCTCGGACACTCGTACTCCACACCAACAAATATTTTGACAAGCAGTTCTTTGCCTTTTTTCACTTTTCTTCCTCGTATAACGTTAACTGATTGAAAATTTTTCCCACGCGGATTAAAGCTGTGCTGGTTATTTTCTACACCAGGCCAGAGAGAAGATCTATCTTTTTGATGTTCCAATCTAAACAAACAAGAAAACCAGTATGACTAAAACTTTAATATTTGCAGTTTTTTTTTTTTTTTTTTCTTAATTCTAATAATATCATGTACCTGACAGTAACGTCCCAAGGAAGTAAGAAAGCAGAATTAGCTAGAACACCTGATTGGTGCTGTAATCCTAAATTGTGTGAGTATATACTACTAGATCCTAGACAAACTAAAGACCAGCTAGAAAACTGAGGAAGTAAACCAGCAGGTGACTCTGTGTGTAACATTCCAGGAAGATATTCCGTTGTCGAAGGTTGTCTCTTTATAGACTTCTCTTTGCAATTTTCGGAATCCGCGTCTGAGACGGCAATCACAATTTTGTTTTCATCACCAGGTGTGAAACTAGTTTTGTCGCTTAGTCTTGTGGCATCTTCCTCAACAAGATCACTTTGCGCAGGAGGTGACTGTCCACCACTACCGTAAGCTGTGATTTCATCTTTGAACTCATCATTGACTCCCAGGCTATAAACTTGAGTTTGATCTTGTGGTGTAGAAACATCAGTTCGTACTATTGAATCTTTACGATTAGTTGGAAATTGCGCTGCTCTAAAAATACATGAAAATACTTATTATTTTTGTAAGTAATTGTAAAAACATCCTTTGCTTTTATTTACCGATAATTATGTATACTCGGTTGAAAAACCGGAAATCTATAGGATTCTAGCTGATTACAACCACACTGCATGGATAAAATGTGGAAGTAATCATAATTAGCTTGTTTTAATTTGAATGGGTCTTCCCGTGATCCTTGACTCCGACCACAATTACAAGCGCAAATGTATCGGACTCCACTGCAGTGTTCCATGGAAGATAAATCACTAAAAATTGGTAAAATAATTTATTCATTCCGTTTTCTTTGAATAAAAATGTATTCCAAATGTTTCTCATCAGAATCTTACTAGAAGTCTTCTCTGTCTTCGAGCGATTCACCACCACCAGCTCCCTCACCACCACCTTTGTGGATTGGATTTGTACAAGGATTCCCAGTAAGGGATAGTACTTGACACATTTGTCGACCTGTTCGCCAGTGTTTTTCACATTCTTCTTGTAACTTTTCACTGAATTCTTCAAAAAGAGGACCTCTGGCGTGCATCTCGAAGACACCCATTGCATGAGCCAACTTTGATTCATGATAAGATCTGCATTTTAAAAACGTAGTTTTTACAACATGCCATTCCAATGTAAACTTTAATGCATTTAGATAGATTTACTATTACAACATTCATTACCTAGTGTAGTGCTGTGGAAGATTTTCTTGGTAAGCTTGCAAAGCTCTTGGTAAAACTTTAGTGCAACGACTTTTGCTGAATTTAACATCAGTATCTAACAATCCATGTAGACTAGAAAGTTCTTTGTCTGCTCCACCAACAAAAAATTCGTGTACTTTATTTGCTACCTCAAAGAATAAAGCTAGCGTAGGTATCTTAAATAAAAATTACATATTTAGGTATTATTTTATGAGTTGAAAAATTTAAATGATGTAAAAATACCTCAAAATGAGCTGGAACCTGATGACGACCTACATTATCATCAAAGCCTTTAGAAAAAGCTAAGTTTATGTGCTGTTGTAAAAACTTTTTGAAATTGTAAGATTCTAGAATAACAGTGCACATTAAAATGGTTTGCATAATTTTAATTGTGAATGCATTAAATCAAATATTTTTACCATCTTCTGATTCATCACTACTCAGAGCGTCGAAATTTCCTAAATTCTTTGAACCTGATGCTCCAGGATTAACTGCACAACTCTTAATCAATTGTTGTGTCATATAGGCCAAAATGTCACGGGTATCACTATTACCCGTATTCACAAAAACAAATTCTTGATTAGCTGGTATCGCAAATAAAGAGTTGGAACTGTAATGTTAAGATGAGCTTATTATTACAAATAATAATAGTTAGCTTGTAAAATTTTTATCAAAACAAATTGATTTACCTTATGTTTGTAACTATTCTATTCTTTCTCAAGATTTGATATATTTTATCTTCCAACGCGTGTTCAAGCTTCTTTATACTAGCTCCACTATCTGGATCACGAAAAATTGGTGGGCAGGTTTCAAAATAAAATAATACACGAGGTGAACACGGTCTTCCATTAGAGAGCCAATCTTTTGGCAATCCAGAAATAGTGCTTAAAAAGTCTGACAGCTGCGGTAAAGTCTTTTGCCTGTACAATGTAAAACAAAGTACTTTCTAGATCATAAAATTCCAATACCATTATTGTGTCAATTAAAACCATACCTGATTATTTCAATAGCCCTAAATAGCTGAATGTAACTGTGATCAAAATTATGTGTTGGGTGACTCAAAATGACAACGTGAGATATGTGAAGTAAGACAAGAAGTCCTTTACAATATTTGTGTCTCATATGTGCCCAAGCACTGAGAAAGTCTTTACGTTTTTGCTTTTCAATAAACTGATCGTATTCATTGATGAGTGCATGAGTATCCAAAAGTCCTTTGAGGTGGAGATATACAGTCCTTGTCTTTGGATCATGATAGCCTTCTATTTCACACTGTACAAGAATTGAAAGTAAGCACAAAATTATCGCAAAAAAATATTTTTAACTTTAAAAATAGTAATCGTGGTAACAAATGAATACGTTACCAATGAATCTTTGTCAATTTCTGGTTCTTCCAATAAGTTTACTTGCAAAACTGAACTAAACATTTCAGCCTTACATGCTTTCGCTCTGTATTGACTTTTACCAAAAACAGAAACTATTAATGTTTTCCTGTCCAGATTCGCAAAGCTAGTAATGAAATGAAAGAACAATTATGATGTAAATTCCCTTATTCAAACCATTTTCCGTTTTTCTTTGTTTTACTTATTTAATACTAACCTTTCGCTTGTACAAGGAAGTTTAAATTTTTGCGGCTTCATGGCGATGTTTTTGTTGTTAAATAGAATTAATTGAAGCAACGAGACAGACCATGGCTAATTTATTATTTCGTAATTCTTTAAGACCTTATTTTCATGAGGTTAGAATTGTACTGTGAGTAGGAGGGGGTGGGGGGAAGCGCACACATATGAGTTCGAATATTCGGATATTTGAGTCAGACTATAGTTTTATTATCTTGTCAAACTATCATAAAAACTCATACATAATAATTTAATACGCACTTATTAAGGCCACTTATTTATCGAACCCTCATATTTCACCAAAAATACTCACAATAAGTAAATTGATTTTATGATTAATTTTAATTATCCGATTCATACAGCTTCGTATGAATCGGATAACATAAAGATTAATTACGCATTAGAAAAAGTATCAAAAAATAAATAAATAAAGTAAACGTGCGTACAGTAATTATTTGTACGGAAATGTAAGAAAAATGTGTAAAAACTTAAATTTTAGTACGAACAATTGTAATAAATTTTTATTTGACCGTACGTTACTTTTTAAAAATTTTCAACGATTACACTATTTATATTATTTCGACTTATTTAGGGAATAAAACGAAACTTACTAAATAAAAATCCAGTGGAAATGAAACAATTTACGATCGAGTTATTGACTTGTTTTTATAACTATATGTATCTTTTTCACTATGACAAAAAAAAAAAAAAAAGAAAAAAGAAAAAAAAATATTCGCATACTACATGAAATCAATATCTGATACTAGATTTATGTAAATTTATTATTACACAGTATAGTTCTGTATTAAGTCGCTACTTGTATTATTTTGAATCTTTTTCGTAATTTTTGAAAAATATTACTTGTATCAGTCGTTTTTGATTGTTAACGAAAAAGTTCTTCTGTCATGTAAAATTGAAAACTTGTAAAATATTTCATACCCATATACAAAATTAAATATTATTTGGATAAAATTTTTACTAGAAATAGGTACATACTTAATATCAAAAACTTCTGATAGTTGATTGAAATATTAATTTATTTGAAAAAATATATACCTAATAAAATTTTTACGAATACATTTCAATTAGTTTTGTATTTTATCTCTGATCTTAAAGTTTTAAAATAACATTATTGGTAAAACATAGATGTACCAAAGTAAATTTTATATTTCAATTAAATTTTGCTCCCAACATATCGACTAAATAGTGTTAAGGAAGTAGTTTAAATAATTTTATTTAATATCAATTAGTATAAATAGGAAAAATATCAATTTTATTATAAAATTTATTACGTATAATCTTTTGGATGTATATAGGTATAACACAATTTTGCACTCTGCTTAAAATTATACATAAAAAAACAAAAAATGGATTATTAATTATCTCCAAACCCACTGAGGACTAGTTCGATCGCTGCTTGAACATCTCCATTAGTTATTTGCAGTGCTTGAATATTAATATAATCATATGGAAGACCCATCTCGTGCATGATAGCTATTTGCCTCTCCAGGTTTAAGGGTGCAGATGAATTTGGCGTCGTGTTTGAGGAGACTGGAGGTGTAGGAGCTTGTGGAACCGCTGGCACAGAATTTCCCGGATTATTAACACTTGGATTTGATGCAAAAGCTTGCTGCATGGCTTGGTAAAACATTTCAAAGGTTATTACTCCACCGCTGTTGGAATTCGACTGAGAAAGTGATGGCTGAACCAGTGCTGAATTTGTCGTATTACTAGCTTCGGTAGCAGCTGACCTAGCTGCCCTGGATATAGCTGCAAGCAGCTGAGCATTTACTGCCGAGTTTGTTCTCGACGGTGTAGTACTACTTGAAGGCTGGGTAGAGTCTGATGACTGGGAAGAATCTGCAGCCATTTCTTCATCATCACTTTCTAGATTATAAGAATGTCCACTACTATTGTGTGCGTTCAACAGAGATGAAGGATTGGCTGAAGAGGAAGATGAAAATTTGCTAGCTTCATCATGAACTGATGATGCAATGTGATGTGCAGCTTCTAAAAGAGCTGGATGCAATTCGGCTATTCTGTTAACGTCATAATTTTATTTATTAATTTTTTTTTACCAAGAATAATAAGTTTGTGAATGAGTATATTTAATGTAGTGTTAATGTCTATTTACTTTTTAATCGATTTAACGTTAGTGAAATGAATCATTAAATCTGGATCTTGCAAAATTGCTACTGCAACAGCGTCTTCGCTAAGCCCAGGAGTGAATGAAATTATATTTTCTATATCATCAAGCCTCTTTGTTAACCTCTGCAAATAAAAATGAGTATAAAATCACCTGACTATCAAAATAAAATTTAAAGCAGTGAACGTTTTTGCAAATTCTCGTTGTAAGTGAACACTCACCCTCATAACTATTTCCAGTATTGGATTAGACATGACTGATTTATACATAGAAGCTAACATCTCTACGTTAATTTCAAATTCAAATGTTGATGTGGCATGACGTTTTTCTTTCCTTTTTAAAACGTGAATCATAGATCCATTTTTTAATCCATAAGATTCCAAAATAGCCTCATCCTCCAAAAGGCATCCACAGTAAATGAAATCTAGTGCAAGAAAATATTTAAAATTATTTGAAAACAAGATTAAAATACAAAAATATTAGGTGAATGGTGGACATGATGACTTGCATGCGTTAAATACTAAAAATAAAAATAAGTAAAAAACAACGTTGTTATGAAAAACATTACCAAAAGTATCACTTGCTGAATTAATTTGTTCGGAAGTCTTGGTTCTCAATTGAGCGACGTTATTTTTAACATCAATATCGTTCATTTTGACAATTGACATTTTGTCAACTGGATTCAGCCGTACGCCTAACAGTAACTCCATTATTCTTAGAGGATCTTGTAACAAAGAGACAAAGCAACTGATAAAATAAACGGGGTAAACGATCTAAAATGTATGCAAACTGAGTACCTATAAGGTGAAAGTGAGCGTATTTACATATGTAAATGTCAAATTGAAATGATACACTTCAAACTGTAACTCATCAGTTCCCTTCTCTTTTTCTGTCAAACTGTATACGTGAAGTAAGCCCACAGATTGAAAACTGAAAAAACAGCTCTCTGTCGAGCTGATACTATACTGGTACACTGTACAACGTACAACAAGGTTTTATGCATATAGTCTGCAGACTTAGTATAGCGTATGTATGTATATGCGTTATATATAGTCTATATATAAATATAACGCAAAATGTCTCTACACACTGCCATGCATGTAAAATATATAGGTGTATACACTGACACTACGGACTATACTTGTTTTGTTTATGTTATCCTTATGTTTATGTGTGATGTAAAGTTTAAAGGTACTCGTCGATGTTGTAAGTTGTAGATGTGAGGTTGGAGAGAGGGGGAGGGGAATTGCACACAAGGCGGCGTAGGAGGAGGAGTTGAGAAAGAGCGAGTGGGGGGGGACTCACACACGATACATTCGTTTCGAAAGTTTAATTTGCATGTCTCTTATACTTATATCAAGTATATTTATAAATTCGGTATCATGTGATAAATATTTCAGATGGGATATTTACTTATATGAACCCTTCGAGGACTTCGTCCTTCGCGTCAAGCAAGTGAAAGCACGACACAACCGTCGTCGCTATGAAGTAATTGAGTTTATTTTACCAGTACTCTTTAAATCACTTTCAAAACTATTTGCTTACTTATTTTTAGAACAAAAGCTTCGCTTTGAAGAATACCAACAAGGTAAGCACGAGAATATCCAAGTATTCAAATTTTATTATATTCTACTTTAAATTTCTGTTTGAATTTATTAAATGTACAGTCACACTTTTATATAGTTATCTAATAACTGATCGATCTACAGGTTTTCAATTAATTCGGGGAAAAAACACCTGCGAGATTAAGTATTGTAGGCTCTTCATCGTGTGTACACGCGCTTATCTATAATATAATAACAGAACAACTATTAGTAACGTTATTGTTGCTCAATTAAATTATACATTTATCTAGATTTCCTTGCTTCTGTCGACAGTTTCTGAAATTCTGCCGTTCGACTATCGTCAAGTTTTCATCCATTTGAATAAATATACAGTGAATACTTACTTTATTCGAAATACTTTTTACATTCGGGCTGATTTTTTAAATAATACTATTATTACCACAATTCTTTTTTTTTTTTTTTCGAGTACTTTTCCTCTTCCTTCTCTCTTTCTCATCACCTCGTTATAATTCTTTCTCTCTCTGTTTGTCTACTTATCTGTCTCCTCACTTCTTTACCCACACTTGTATTCTTATTCTTCTTCTCTACTTAGCATTCACATTGTTCCCAAAGAAGCTGGTTTCTTGTTCTAGGCAAACCAAGTAGGCGTTTCACTTTCAACTGATCCAGGATTATACACTTGGTCGTCATTCGAGTCGTGTTATTCAGTACAAGTATATTTTCTTCGTCACAATTATGTCGAAAAAATTTTATAAACTCGAAATCAACAAAACAGAATGGGAAGTCCCGGAACGTTATCAAATGCTCACTCCTGTAGGATCTGGTGCTTATGGCCAAGTCTGGTAAGGGAATGCATGTGTTCAACGCTTATCATTACTTTAATTTTGTTTAACTTACAACATATGCACACAAATACATATTTAATCGCTGCCTTTGCTTGTAGCTCAGCGGTAGATTCACTAGCAAATCACAAAGTAGCCATAAAAAAGTTAGCAAGGCCCTTTCAATCAGCTGTCCATGCCAAACGCACTTATAGAGAACTTAGGATGCTCAAACACATGAATCACGAAAATGTAAGAATTATGACTCATAATTTTTTACTTTTATTAAAAAACATTTTATTTCATGAATCTTTTCATTGTTTTACCAGGTTATCGGTTTACTAGACGTTTTTAATCCTTGCTCATCTCTAGAAGACTTTCAAAATGTGTAAGCTTCAATCATTTATTGCACTCTAGCTATTGTTACAACTATCATTATTACATTAACAAATTCTGAGAACGTCTTTTTTTTCATTATAAGATACCTGGTAACGCATCTTATGGGAGCTGATTTGAATAACATTGTTCGAACCCAAAAACTTTCTGATGATCACGTTCAATTTCTTGTTTATCAAATTCTTCGAGGGTTAAAATATATACATTCAGCAGGAATAATTCATAGGGTAGTATAACTTTTATATTTATTTAGACGAGTATGATCAATAAACAAGTACCTGTTGAAAATATCCACATTTTCAGGATCTGAAACCGTCAAATATAGCTGTCAATGAAGATTGTGAATTGAGAATTTTAGATTTTGGTCTAGCTAGGCCAACGGAAAATGAAATGACTGGTTACGTAGCAACGAGATGGTATAGAGCACCAGAAATTATGCTCAATTGGATGCACTACAATCAAACAGGTTTCTTACATAAAAAAATTAATTACTAAATAGATCAATTTACAATACTTCTACCATTAAATAATTTATCTTAAATTTTCAGTTGATATTTGGTCTGTTGGATGTATAATGGCTGAATTATTAACTGGGAGGACGTTATTCCCAGGAACAGATCGTATCCTTCAGTAACTATTGTTTAATTTGAGTACTTTTTGTTTCTAATATTTTATTGTTATGCAAAAAATTATATAAATAACTATTTCATACATTAGACATAAGCATGCCACAACGTAATCTGTTTAAATTAACTAATTATCTTTCTGTTTATGCCCTATTTTTAATATTATACCAAAATTTCTCTTTTTTCTATGTAAGTCATATACATATTGCTTTTTGCTAAGGAGAAATTTGCCTTCGAATTTATCCGTTATAATAACATTGTTCTGCATGAAAAAAACTCAATTTAGAATTTTTATGGCTCTCTAGGCTTGCTCTTATAATCAAGCAGTTTTTTTTGCAAAGGTATACCGCTTCGCGTAAGCTTGTAACTTTAATTTAGTGCTCTCTTTTAAAAAAATGTTTACTTAGTTATATTAGTTCTTAGGCAATAATGCACTGCTAATGCTGCTAAATTTTGTCACATTTAAATTTAAATTAATATAGTAGTTAATAAACTACGATAATAATACAATTTTTATAAAGAAGCGTTTGATTCTAACAGTTTATTTAACGAAAGGTGTACAAAAATCAAATGAAAAGCCGAAAATGTATTATAATTCTGAGATAAACCCTTAGCAAAAGCAGATATTCACCAATTAAATCTTATTATGGAAGTACTGGGTACTCCACAAGACGAGTTTATTCAGAAAATATCGTCAGAGTCGGTAAGTTTAAGTGTGATGTGTTAACAATAATTGTCTCACTAATACTACTCGTTTCACCACTTGTGATTTATGTCATAAACATCTCATGTTTCAAATACTTTTTTATAACAAATACCTTTAATTTTTAACAGTTCTTGTGTGTATATTACTTATTCATGCATTGGTGGAATTAATTAACTTTTTTCAATGCTGTTGTGACAAAAATTGGAAAACATTGTTGCAGCATTACTAAAGCCTTAAAATTTTTAATAACTTAAAACAGCATGCCACACTATAAACTTTTTTGTAGCTTAGCATTGCATGTGAGTGTGTATTTACTTATTTTTTCATATTTTATAAAATGTCATTCAGTAAGAAATATTAGATGTAAAATTTTATATTGAAAAATCTTCAATATGGTAAATCAGATGATGCCTTGCTTGGCATAATTTGATTGGGTAAGTTTTCAAAAGTAGGTGCATTAAGGACGTCGACATTTATTGAAAAAATTTTTACTACAAATTTTGAATTGTTTAACGGTCTTTCTCGGTGTTTGAAATTTTACAAATAATAAGGTACCTTAACAATAATCGGATAGATATCGATCATTTAACTCGAGTATTAGTACTTTGTGGATCACCCACAGAAGAAACTTTGAGTAAAATAACCAGTCAGGAGGTAAATGTTATAAAATTAAAATACACAAAACTCATTATTCATTTTGCAAAATTGTATGGATATCAATATATCTTTTTGAAAGCGTTTCATCTAATATAATATAATATATACTTTGCCTTTTTCATCGTTAAAAAAAAACTGCAAATAATAATTAAGAGCTGCAATTACTAAAGCAGTGTTTGCACGTTATTAACACGCAAAAAACAATTTAACAAAAAATTTTACAGGCTAGAAATTATATCCAGAGTTTGCCATCTTTGAATAAAAAAAATTTCAAAGACGTTTTTCGAGGAGCTAACCCATTAGGTAAGATATACACTTTTCAATCACCATCGATTATTGCGTTTATAATAATATTTTAATTAACTCTTGTGTATTGACGAAAATTCTCCGCTCTAATTTTATTGATCCACTAAGTGCATTTTCATACGGACTATAGAAGTTTTGTTGTTTTCTCACAAACAAATTTTAAAACGTATCGCTCGGCAAAATCGATATCGGCAATAAATATAAAATATCACTCTATATTAATTTGAGAAATAGATCAAATCGTGAAACACGCACATGATAAATTTTATTTTGTTTGGACGATTTTTAAAATTAACCATCTGTTATTATTTAAATTATCAGCAATAGAATTGCTAGAGTTGATGTTGGAATTGGATTCAGAAAAAAGAATAACTGCTGAGCAAGCATTAGCTCATCCATATCTAGCTCAATATGCTGATCCCACCGACGAACCGGTATCTTTGCCTTACGATCAAAGTTTTGAAGATATGGAGTTGCCAGTCGAGAAGTGGAAAGGTGAGATGGTTTTTTCCAATTGTTACTGCATTTTCTTCGTGTACTCCTCTTAACGCAATCTTACATTTGCTTGATTAATTTTTTTCAGAGCTAGTCTACCATGAAGTAATAAACTTTGTCCCCCAACAACAATCGTTTCCATCCTCAGATACATCACAACAGTCTGATACTTAGGAATATAATTAATGTTGGCCATTAATTTTCTAAACGTAATAATGAATTGTAAAAAAGCACACTACAGTACAACAGCAATAATAAACACGTAAAACTGCAATATTAATAAAAATAATTATAGTATAATGAAATTACAATGTGATTTTGTAAAAAAAATACATGAAGATTAATTATAACTACAGCGAATAATGTTTTTTTTTTAAACAGAAAAAATATTCGAGCTTGTCTTTATTACGAACAAATATTATATTTTGTAATACAAAATAATAAAATTAATTAAATAGAAAAAAGCAGCGTTTATAGTAAACTTTTTTTGTTTAATATGGCATTTAAATTGTGATTCCATTGCATAATTTCAATTTGTTATTAGTAAAAACGTGTGTGTTAACGAATGGACTACACCATCGATGGCAACAATATAAGTAGGCTCGGAGCCGCTCCGTGCACAAAGACACCAGCGACAACTTGTGGCTGGATGGTAAGTCCGCGTATGTGAGCTACATTGCATGTGTCACAGTGTCAGTAAAGTGTGTGTGAGAGAGAAAGCGAACTCGTCAACTCGTAGTCTAATAAATACATATATAAATATGAAACGTACGCATATTTGGGTGTATTCCATGTAACTGCAGCGCAGCGATTGCGGAAATGCGGAGTATAGAAACGGAAAGTTGACACAGGAACGTTGGAATGGTGTAACCCAATAAAATGGGAACGATGGAATGGTATAACCCAGGAACTCTATAACATCGGAACAATGGAATGGTATAACCCAATAAATTGGGAACGTTGGAATGGTATATAACACATGTGCAAATTGTGCACCTCCGCTCCTCCACATCAACTTCCACAAGTCATACGTCAATACACGTCAGCTTTAGGCTTGCATGCATGCTTGGGCTATGTTTATTAAAAAAGTGTAGTTAAGAATCGCATCTTCCAAATAACTAAGGGTTATCGAAAATCTTTAGATTGATTAAGGAGTGAAAAGTCCGTCTGAAGAGGAGTTTTGAATTGTAATTTTTTACACTCAAGTTAAAATAAAATGAGTGCAATGAACCTGGATTTAAGTAGCAGCGGTGGTGCCGAGGAAGAGTATGAGCTACTAGAAGCTTCTCTCAAAAATGTCATTGATATGCACTCCCTAAAATGGATTTTTGTCGGTGGCAAGGGTGGTGTTGGAAAAACAACTTGCAGGTTAGATTAGCTAACTCATCATTGTATTTTTTTACTGTAAAAACAACGTAAGTATAGTGAGTACTTTTTTTAATTTATTGGTTAAAATTTATTTAGCTGCTCCTTGGCTATACAATTGGCTAGGGTAAGGACCAATGTATTGATCATTTCCACTGATCCTGCCCACAACATATCCGATGCATTTGATCAGAAATTCAGCAAAGTACCAACAAATGTTAAGGGTTTTGATAATCTCTTTGCTATGGAAATTGACCCCAATGCAGGAATTACGGAATTGCCAGATGATTACTTTGAAAACGAAGGTTTGACGTTATTAAAAACTCTTTGGTCTAACTAACAATTAATACTAACATAATATTTCAGGAGCTGGAGAAACCATGCGTTTAAGTAAAAGTGTAATGCAAGAAATTGTAGGAGCTTTCCCTGGTATAGATGAAGCTATGAGTTATGCAGAAGTGATGAAGCAAGTTGATAAGTTTTTAAACAATAAAGAAAATTTAAATAACATTAATAACAGTTTTCGTACATTTTCAGATTAGTAAAAAGTATGAATTTCTCTGTGGTTGTATTTGATACTGCTCCAACAGGCCACACTTTGAGACTATTATCATTTCCGCAAGTAGTTGAAAAAGGTTTGAGCAAGCTTATGAAGTTGAAGATGAAAATAAGTCCATTCATTACACAGGTGAAAATCGAGAATTTTCTTAATTTTACCAATCTTACCACTTTCCAAATTAAAATTCAATTAAAATTTTTTTTGACAATTGTAGTTCAGTTCTTTGCTTGGTATAACAGATTTCAATGTGGATTCATTTTCAAATAAAATCGATGAAATGCTCGCTGTCATTCATCAAGTCAATGAACAGTTTAAGAATCCAGATCAAACCACATTTGTGTGTGTTTGCATAGCAGAATTCCTGTCATTGTATGAAACTGAAAGATTAGTTCAAGAATTAACCAAATGTGGAATCGATACACATAACATAATTGTCAATCAACTATTGTTCCTCAAAGATGGTGATTCGCCTTGCAGATTATGCCTGGCAAGACACAAAGTACAGGAAAAATATTTGGATCAGGTCTGTATCTATTCGAGCCTTTATTTCTCATTTGAGGAGGAAGAAAATATCACTTGCGTCATTGAATTATTTTTTTTAATAGATTATGGATCTTTATGAAGATTTTCATATAACTAAATTACCATTACTGGAAAGAGAAGTTCGTGGAGTTCCTCAAGTACGTGAATTTTCGGAAAATCTTGTCAAGCCGTATCAACCGTGAGATTTTTGAAAAGTGTATATACGAATAAATGATAAGGGGATATTTTTAAATTTTACATATGTTAATCATTCTAAGTCTTACAACATGAGCAATCATAAAGGATAACTTTTTAATTATAACAAATCTGAAGAAAATATTTTATTTTTGTACATTTGCACAACCCTGTTAAAAAGTATCCAAAATTGAACAGAAAGGTTACTTATTTAGCATTAACAAACTTTTTAGTAATGAAATACCTTGAGTAAATTAAAAATTGCGTAAAATGTTTTTTTCATCTTGAGCATTTATTACTTTTTTTTTTTTTTTAATGAAAGATGACCATCTAATAATTTAAAAGCAAAAAACATTCTCAAATTGAAGAGTATGGTTGCTTTTAATATATAGTTAGTACATTGTTCGCTAAATGAGCCAATGCTGGAATATATAAAAAAATTAATTGTTTGAGTTCTGTGGCTTTTACAGGAAACTAATGTATAAATATATAAGAAAAGCAATCTACAATGTAAAAAACGTAACGATATAACTATCCATTGAATAAAAGTGCAGAAAAACAAATTTAATTAAAATTTATGTAAAAAAAATAGAAACGATAAATGCTCAAAAAATTTAAACAAGATGAATTGTGTTCGATAATTCATGAGTTATTCCTCCAAGTCTAAATCTTCTAGTTCGTCTTCAATACCTTCTAAATCTTCTTCCACAAACAGATTCTCGTTTATGGCTAAAGTTTCACTTACACCTGCCGCTGCTAATAATTTTGATAGATATTAATATACTTCTACAACTGAAACTACAAATTGGAGTAATAAAACATAAAACTTACATGATGCTTTTGTTTCGACATTGCTACTATCGTTTGATTCAGAAGGAGTGACTTCTTTTGGTTTTTTATCCCGATCAGTTGCTACTGTGCATATTCCTGAGGTATCAACTTGACTAGCTTCCATAACAAGTCGATCTACGTCTAATTCTCGATATTCGACACTCTCCTCATCCTCCTCTTCACGTTCGTAAGTCGCAATTGCTTCATCACCATCATCATTGACTGAACAAAAACACAAATTTTATAATACGGAAAAATGTTTTTTTAAATACAAAATTTGTATAATACACATTAACAAGATTCAATATCTCACCATCTCCAGCAGCAAGTTCAGGATTGAAGTAGAACATTTCTCTGCCTGAAATCCCAACTTGTCTACCAGCTTTGTAATCGTTTCGTTTCTTTTCTTCATCCTTAATAGCTTGTTGTTTCTTCTCTTGTAGCTTCCTCTTTTTCCAAGCCAAAAATGTTTCCAATGTAATTTTAGTCTGCAATGCAATAGATATGAATTTTCATGAGTAGTTTTTTTTCAATATGATTTGTAGGTATTTCATTTTTGAACCAAAATTTAGTTTGAAGCACTCACTTGATTTGGTCCTAGATTAGCTCTTTCTTTTTCAATAAGATCTTCTAATGAAATTTCATTCTTTTTTTCTTCTTTCTTTTTAATATCTTTTTTCAAAACAAAACCAGGTGGCAGCGCATGGCGATAAATACATTTCTGTCCAGATGGGCATTCCCAAAACCAGCCATACTTAGATTTTTCTACAGCTTCTAGGAAATGTTTACATATCTGATGCAAAAAAAAGTAAGCTAATTAATTTATTGTACATGGAGAAAAAAAGAAGAAAAGCAGTAATACGCACAATGTCGGTAGTAGGTCTATGACCACCACTGCCGTGTTTTTTCTCTACAACTTGTTTCAGCTTATCTTCATCCCAATCATCCATGGTATCTGTCTCTTTGTCTGCATCTTTATCGAGATCACAGTAGAGTGATCGTTTTTCAGCCTTTCTTTCAACAGTCAAATCATGAGAAAATTTGCACTTGTCTCCTTTGGTGCACTGACCTTGTTTAAAGAAAGCACAGACAACAGACTTTGGATCCGTTCCTGTAAACGTAATCAAAGGATCAAACAGATGTTTACTAGAGAAGATAGCAAATCTGCAAGCCGTTTCCAGCATAATTATACAAATACATAATAGGCAAAAGATCAAAATACGCAACCTTTGTCAACTTTTTGAGCCTGTACAGGTTTGAATATCAAAGCTAGTTCTTTTTGTTCTTGCAACTTCTTTTCCTTTTCAAGTTTTTTGGCATTAGGGTCGTCTAATTTACGCGGATGAAGACCACCGGTTTTAACTTGTTTTTCAACTTGTTGAATAAATTTCTGCTGCTTTGCTCCTTTTTTATTTTTAATGCCAAAAGTTTTATCCTAAAAAAAAGTTACAACAATAGTCAAATAAAAATCGACTAGAAATGTTGATGAAGCACAGGCGAATGAACTAAAAATCATTTGATTCAAGGCACATAAGTAGATCCCAGAATGTAACGTGCGTGAGTGAACAAATAGACAAGCATTGGGACCCGAATTTCCTTACCTCTATAACTTTTTCTTTCTTCTTCTGCTCCGTTTTTTTGCTCGGAGCTGCTGGAGCTTTTTTCGGCGGCATTTTGCCGATTACCGAAATAAAAAAACCAAGACAAAATTAAATTTTTAATCAGGTATTGGTTACAAATTTAACCAAACTGCTCTTTAGTCTGCTTTAGTATTTTGTATGTGGACAATTTTGGACATATCCTCTCCTAACCTGATCAGACATCAGCTGTGAGCACGACTCTCACTTCCCCCGCCCCCTCCCGACTCCGGCTCGATGGTGTCGTGGGGTGTACTCTACTGCTCTACTCCCTATAAATGCTCAGCGCTCAGCCCAGTGCCGCCACATTATCACTCATTCAAATTATTTCATTTTATTTTTTTGAAACGTACATAAAAAAAATTAAAGTTTTGAACAAAATGTACAAAAAAAGTTTTGTGGTTACACCACCCAAAATATATTTCTTTTCTCTTCAATTTTAATATTTCATCGATGTCATCAGCCTTTGATTATTTAACGAATCCTTGTAGTTAGGATATAGCTTTATTTACATGAAGTGAAAAAATATTTGAACAAACGCTCATGTGTGCATATTAATATAGTATGATCGTATAATATTTTTAAACGTGATATTCTCCTCCATCCAACTTTTCATCAGTAAGCCACGATATTATATTTGTACATGTATCTTTTTCCAAATAAATTAAACCAATGAAGCAAGATTCAACAAAACCTAAGAACGCCCCAACAACAATGTCAAGAAGATGGTGTCTTTTTGCTAAAATTCTTGAGATACAAACACTGGAAGCCCAGCACAACAGAGGCGGCACAAATATAAAATGTACTGGCCAATTGAATAAAAAGAAAGAGGCAATATACGAGGCCCTTGATGCATGTCCAGATGGAAATGAAAATTTATCAGGTCCAATATCAAATGAACTACTATTTGAAACTGTTGCAGCAGGTCTGCGTCTTCTGGTAACTGCTTTTAATGTAGCAACCACTATAATATCTAGAATTAGACCTGAAATTTATAAATTTTTAGAATAAAAAGGTCAATATAATATTTTAATATTATATCTCATGATAAATATGTACCAATGAAAAAATTGACTTGCATTTGGTACAAGTTTTGACTGCTTAGAATCCACACAAAGCCAATCCAACATGGGAGCCAGATCAAGCCATGACAAGAAATCTGCATTAAAAAAATTTAAGTACAGTTTTTAACTAGTAAACTTTACTTGTCCTGAATTGTGAACAAAATTTTTTGTATTATTCACCTCTAACAATCTATAGTGAGTTCTTAGCTGCCTAAAGGCTAAAAATTGTTCAATCCACTTGACTAGGAGATTAGTTAAGTAAACATCGATGGCTAAAACTTTTTCTATGAGAGGTGGTACATTTCTTTTTTTCATAGACTGAAAAAATAATTTTTTTGTAATTTTTTTATTTTTTTCATCAGAACATACACAAAATTATTATAAGAATTAATTTAACATCTAGTCAAAATATTTCTAACCTTGTCCATGATTTCGTTCGAAAACTTTCGCCTAAAAGAGAATCACAGGTGCTGATCTAATTATAAACCAAGGTACGAATAAAGTGAATCGCGTTGAGTAACCTGCAAAATTGTTGCTGCACGTATGGAAAAAACTTGTACTTTTATCAAGCATCAACCGCAGTCGATGAATTTAGTCCATACAACCACATATACCTACAACAATATTAATAAACTTCTTATCACCGTCGACAGATACTTTTGGAGCAGTGACATCATACTTGATTGAAAAGAAAATAAGTGTTTCTCAATACAAACATGATAAGTGCTCATGCTTACCAGCAATACTACAAATGTGGCGCACGTTATCTTCAACAACTAATTAAATTATTTCCCATCTTACCCCAATAAGTTGACGAGAAAATTTTGTAACAATTTTTAGATTTCATGTTAACCCGCACTACCGATTCCATTTTATCCCTCACTGCTATATAAAAACATTGCTGTTGGCAATGTAGGATTTAGCAGAGGAGATGTGACCGCGGTGGTTGGTTTGTGCACAAACCACAACATGTATATGTGAGGGCGAGAGGGGCGAGGAGGGTAAGGTTAGCACTGAATATATATGTATACATATGCTGCAGCACTCGAGAAATGTGAGTGAAACAAGCGAAAAAAGTGCGAGCGGTGTGTGTAGTTTCTTGCGGTACCTTATATAGATTAAGCACTTTAAGCAGCTGCAGCATCCGGGCGGTGTTTATATACGCTTTATAGTTGTGATCGTACCGATACTACCGATGTATATTTAACTACTTTGGTACATATATATTATTTTAGACGCGACGCGCATCAGGAGAGGAGAGAATATAGAGTTAGAGAGACACCTGTTGCTTGCGAATCTTCGCGTCGTCGATCTTCGTGTCGTCGCGCATCATCCAAGGGTGGTTCGGTATACACACACTTTTGGTTCGGCTTGCATTAAAATATCGCAAGGTTAATGGTGCAGGTTCAAAGAGAGTGCGTGCGTGTACCAATTGAGCGAAATAACAAAGCGAAAATTAAAAAAAAAAGTGATACTTGGGTGCGCGAGATCTGCAGGAGATGCAGCAACAACAACAGCAGCAGCCGGAAGTGCGGGCACTTTTTTTTTTCCTACTGCGACACAAGGCAAGCCTGTTGCGGGAACTCGAGTCTTCGGAGCTGCTGAACGTGCTCCTGAAGCGCGGCGTCATTACGGACTCGGAGCACCAGCGGCTCGCAGCCACGCTCGACGTCCAGCTCTTTGTCGAGCTTCTCCAGGCCAAGGGCTTCGAGGCCTTCCGACAGTTTTGCTTTGCTCTCGAGGCCGAATGCCCACACGTGCTAACGGACCTCCTCGTCGACCAGGACGCGCTCACAGAGTCCGGTTAGAAATGTTTTTTTATTATCATATCCTTAATCTCTCTTATTGTTATACATGTATAAATATATTATAGAGTTGTTCGTCTATTTTATTTCCTTTGCATGAATGCTGCACCTCTTGCTTACGTTATTTTATATTTGCGATGATAAGTAAGTATACTTAACTGCAGGAAATGTCTCACCTCTCCTGCACTATTCACTTCCTTTTTTCCATGTCTCTCTCGGGTAAAATTCTTGGGAAGCCATATATTATACACCTATACACAACAGCGTAGGCCGTAAAATAATTGTGTGTACGTGTTGCAGCTCTATTTAAGACCTTTCCTCACACACAGGTACGAAATCTCTCATTCTCATCTCTTCGTTTTTGCTTGTTACAGAGAAAAATGAGCAGCTGCAACAACAGCAGCAGCAGACTGGTGACCAGCAGCAGCCAGATTCCAGCAGCGAGCTCGATCTCAAACGCTGCAGGTCAGTCTGTTTATATTTTATTGCATCTCTCCCACGCGTGAATCGCTGTGAATCATGCCACCCCCACCCCCCATCCATTATTTTCACTCTCAATCGACTTTATTAAATTTCACTGTCCGTTTCGTGTTATTTATTGCATTTTCGCAAATCACCCATACTGTAAAAATAAAAAAGGAAGCTAAATGAGACGTGTTAGCTCTAAATCAATGCTGTATATTTTTCGCAATAAGGTACTGTCATTTTATTCTCATCAGATCCCAAGGTCTAAGGTTGTGTATTTTTTCGATAACACCTCCCAAAAAGTTTTACTAACATTTTAGTTTATTCTGTGTATGACTTGACTAATTGCCATTGCGCGCATAAAAATTAAATGACCACTTTGTTTAAATATTTACTCTGTTCAAGGAAGCATAAAACTTTCTTACGACTAATACAGTAGCATGAGGATTGGCTTGATATTACTCAATTCTTACGCACATATGTTTACCCTCTTTTTTTGCACAACGATTGGATAATGGCGTGTACTTTTTGCCGGTCAGCCGTTTGCTCACAAGCTTAGTATTGTATTCAGGTTTTTCATTACTCTGAAAACGCATTTTCTAATGTGGAGTCGTTTGGCACAAAGGAAATCGGTCGTACGTTATGCACCTCTCAACGATCTGGTACTTAAATGTATCTTGTCAGAATGCATAAAAAACAAATGTGTCTGGTGCTTTAGTTTTACTAAGCATTTTCAAAATAATAGTTAACAGTTGAGACTATTTTAATTCAATATTGTTTGTTTTTTGTTCCACACGAATCGTTATGAAGTTTTTTTTTTTTTTTTTTTTTTTTTTTTTTTTTTTTTTTTTTTTTTTTTATGTACTGGAAATTAGGAAAACTCCAGAAAAATTTATGTATGGTCCTGGAAAAATGTAATTTCAACTTAAAAAAAAAAGAAACATTCAAAACTAATGATGCAATATTAAACGCTTTATAAGAAAACTTGCTCTATGAAAAAAAAAAATTATGACGGTTGTAGTTATGAGATATTTTATCCTATAGTGATATGACTTAACTCAAACGGTCATGTAATACAGTATTGTATATCGTAAAAAGTTTGTTGATATACCAGATATCAGCATCTTCATAATCTACGTCATTGGATGCCTTTTTGACTACTTTTGAGACCGATGCCTGTAAAATAATTGGCTTTGAGTTGAATTTTTGTATGGTGTTTACGACCACTGTAGCCTCAAAACAACAACTCGCACTGTATCAAATATATCTTTCGTACATTTGATTGTTCCCTTATCACTGGCAAATTTGATGCTACTTGAAAAAAAAGCCCTAACATGTATCGAGTCATAAAAATTAATTTGTACATTTCTTCACGCGTTTATGTATCAAACCGCAGACCGTGAATTTTTTATGCTAATTCGTCGATATGCTTATTTACTATTTTCAACATCTTTAATGAAAAAAAAAAAAAAAAAAAAAAAAAAAAAAAATACTCATACATACATTTTAGTATTAATTTTTTTCACGTTATTTCTGAAACGATTCAAATTAAATGTCTTTTGGAATAGAACTATACCAATTTCCTGAAAAACGTCCAGTTTAGAAAAAAGAAGGGTAAATTAAGAAATAGTAGTTTTCCTACGAGTTTGAAAAGTCTCTATTTGCGAACCGAGAGGTTTGTGGCCCGAGCCGAAGGCGAGGTCCGTAACGAGGTTCGTAAAGGAGACTTTTCGAACGAGTTCCGGAAAACTGCTTTTTCGCCCGAGGAAGTACCAGCCTCCCAAAACCACCCGAGTGTGGAAAACTACCATTTTTTTTCTCGAAATCAAGGTAAGTACAATTTTCAAGCTCATGTCGGTGCTTTGTCCCTTTGCATCCGCAACCTTTGTCACTGTCGGCGATCTTGATTCAGCATTGTATTGAATTTTGCTTATTCATTGAGAAAAATATGGTACGAGCGAGACGCGCTTCCCCCACTAGTGAACACTGCGCACTCGTCATGAATTTTGCCGATTTCTTTGTGTAAATATGAGGTAATAGCATATTTTTTTTGATTAAAAAAATAAATAAAAGTCATTTATATAATTGTAGAGATTTTTCATTCAACTTTATTCAATGTTTACAATTTTTCTCAAAAGTGTATATTGGTATTTACTAAAATATAGTATTTTTTTTTGTTGTATTTATTTACAAGAACATTAACGTTTAATGAAGAAAAACATAATATTTATACAAAAAAAGTCATCGGTAATGCAAGAATGTCTATCACATTGCGCTAAATATGTATAACTATTTTGAAATGTCTATTCGATAAGTCGTCGTTATTGACATAATTTTTTCATTTGTTTGTTTGTTTGTTTGTCGGTTTTTCATAAATTATGTGTGCTTGTTAATATAATGTATACATTTGAACACATAAATAAATAAATTAACTAATTAATAAAAAGTGTGCGTCGACGGTTTTTGTTGGCATTACTGTATGGGTACATAATGTACATCATGTTGTATAATATTAGGTAAAAGTGGTTTTATATACTCTTTTTGAGCAATGTTTTCACAGTTGTCGATTGCTAAAAATAAATAAGTACCTTGTATAGATACAGAGGGATTCGATATTTGGAAACAATTGCCCGAAATGTCAATATCTGATAAGCGAAAAACGCACAAAAAAGTAAGGAGATGACTATTGAAATGTGTTTGTGTGTACGTATATAATTGATGCGTGTATTTTAATCGTCACGGGTCATATATTTCACACGTATTTTTTTACATGGCATCTATATAACAATAGAAAAATAATGAAACTAATTTAGGATTAGTTTCGACTTTATCCTGCGCAACGCAAGAAGTATACACATTACAATATTTCCTAGGCTAGCTACATACTATACACTGTACATGGCAAAATTGATTAGTTAATTTATCATGTAAATAATAATTAATAATAATGATAATCGTAATGTGTACGCACGCGCCCGCGCATGTATTAATATACATATGTATATAATAATCAATGTTATATGTTTGTGTGTGGTTGTGATTGTGCGAGACAAGGTATACGTGTCAATATTATATACTGCTTAGAGTTCAAAAACTAGAAAAAATAATACGTAAAAGTTGAAGAATGAATACTTGTTTGCGACGGCAAGGATGTCGTGTGCAGTAATATAGGTATATATTATATGGTCGAGTCGTACTTAATGATTATATATATATATATTATACTTTTTCTTGTGCAGTGTCGCGCTAAAAGGATAAATTGTGCTAATAACGAGTGCGATCATATTATACAGACTAGTTCCCGCGACGACTCCGCCATACAATCCACATAATATTATGTTATTGTATTTGCCGTATACCGGGGAGTCCGCTGTAATTGCATTACCTATACATCGTATACCTAAACAATTATGTATGTATTCTACTAAATATTACAATTTACCCGTGTGACTCGATATTCATACAGGATATGATATTATAGAAGCAACAGCAGCAATAATCTACACGTATAAGGTTGTACCATCATCATCGTAATAATCCATTGTATTTATAATAATATGTGCCTGTATAATATATACAGCGGGAGATTGAACGGGATCGACCGATGGCTTCACTATATAAGTATTACGTGTAACAACCGGAGCAGCGGTAGCGGCAGATAGTGTAAATGTTATGTATATGCAATAGGATGGGATGTAATCAAATACCTACATACCTATGAATGGATATATATATATATATATATACTTTTGTGTAAGATGCCCACACGTGCTAACGGACCTCCTCGTCGACCAGGACGCGCTCACAGAGTCCGGTTAGAAATGTTTTTTTATTATCATATCCTTAATCTCTCTTATTGTTATACATGTATAAATATATTATAGAGTTGTTCGTCTATTTTATTTNGTGGTCGAACGCGCGAGGAGGATCGTCCGGTATTTCGAGAGACGATGCTTTAAAATTATATAGTTATAATAATAATGATGATAATAATAACAATAGTATTAATAATGATAATAATCATAGTAACAAGAGGAAAGTAATAAGAGTCAGGAGGAGAGTTGGTCCCGTCAAGCCGGCGCTATGGGGACGGGCTTGGGCTCGAGCTCGGATGACGGTTGCCGGTGTCCGGGTCGTTTCTTGCGCCGGGCGAGCTTGGTCTGGATCTCGTGGAGGGTCTTGCCTTTGGTCTCGGGCACGTAGACGAGGGCGAATAGGGCCGACATGGCGCAAACCGAGGAAAACAGCCAAAAGGTGACCGATTGGCGAAGATAATGCGTGAGTATGTGAAAGGTGCGGGTTACGACGAACACGAGGAACCAATTGGTCATGATGGATATGCTGCCGGCAATGCCCTTGGTCTCGGGTGGAAAGAGCTCGCTTATTATCGAGTACGGCACCGAGCCGTACCCCAACGAGAACACCACGTTGAACATCCCGATGCACGCTAGGGGCAACCAACTGAGCCAGCTCACGTCCTGCCCGTCCTCCTTCATCTTGTAATAATACCCGAATATCCCGAGGCACACGGTCATCGCCGACCCCGAAAACACGAGCAGCGGCTTCCTCCCGAACCTACATACAAACACATGACACGTGTACGCATCAATTATAATTATATAGTACATCGGAGTTTGTTTGTTTGTTTGTGTATATGTATATGTACAAGTACCTGTCTATGGTCACGGCGACGACGATGCCCATGATGACCTCTATGAGGCCGATGATGATGGTGGCGAGGTTGGGGTCGATCGAGCTGCCCGCGTCCTTGAATATCTGCACGGTGTAGAAGAGAACGGCGTCGATGCCGCACATCTGTTGGAACCACATGAGGCCGATGCACGTGCCGATGGCCTTGCGGCCGGCCTTGGTGCCGAGCAAGTCGCGCAGCCCGCCCTCCTTGATCTGCAGCTGCTCCGACTCCTCGAGTAGCTCGGCTATCTCCTGGCTGACGTCGTAGTAGGGCCCGCGCAGCGAGCGCAGGACCCGGCAGGCGTCGGCCTTACGTCCGTGCTGCACCAGCCAACTCGGCGACTCGGGGAGGAATATCACCACGGAGACGAGAAATGGGACGAGCATGAGGCAACAGAGCCCGTTGAACATGATGTAGGTGAGGTAGGAGCCGGCCACGTACGAGAACACTATGCCCAGGGAGAAGAAGATGGGGAAGAAGGTGCCAAGGGTGCCCCGGATCGAGGGCTCGGCCACCTCGCCTATGTACACGGGCACGAGGACGCAAGCCGCCCCGGCCCCGATGCCCCCGATGAACCGGGCCGTGTAGAGCACGGGGATGCTCGAGCCCAGGGGCGCGATGAGCATGAGGACCCAGCAGACGAGGAACGGTATCGAGGTGATGCCGATCGCCAGTTTCCGGCCTATCCGGTCGGCGGCCTTGCCCGACGGCACCGCCCCGAGGATGGCCCCCAGGGGCATGAGGGCCGTGATCCAGGAAGCCTCGGCGCCCTCCTCGTCCAGCTCCGGGATGAACGAGTCGTTTTGGGCGAGCTTCGGCAACATGGGCGACGTCCAGCCCAGGGTCATGCCGCTCTGGGCCATTATCGAGCCGGCTGAAAATATACACCGTCATCATCACCGTCGCCTCTCTTCTCTCTCTCTCTCTCTATACACGCGAGAGTTTATTATAAGAACGGCGTGAGACCGGCCGCGCGCGCGTGTCATTGGGTATACACATACATGCCAACGCACCGAGGCGGAGGGACACCACCACGGCGACGAGACTTTCTGCGCGACCTTCAATATTTTCTCTCTCTCTCTCTCTCTCCCGCGGTGCCATTAATAGAAAATTCAGCTGAGCAAAGTGTTATTTTTAGCCGAGCGAGCCAGAGGGATTCGGATCAAACTAGATTGTTGCGCCGCCGCGCGCGATATGTTAAACGCCGCTCCGAAAAATGTGGAAAAACACACGGGGACCGGCTGTATTTGTACTTTTTTCCCCGCTCTTTCTTCGCCAGCTACTGTGCCACTCTGTATAATATATAAGGTACTCTATACCTCGTGCACACGCGTTTGATCAAACAATAAAAAGAAAGAAAAAAACCGCGCGCGGCGTTCGAAGCACGTCTAATTGCGAGCTCTCGCTGTGTAACCCACCCCCTTTACTTCTCTCTTAGATCGATTGATGTGTTTCCCCCCCCCCTCTCGTCTCGATCCAGCAGGTTCCCTCGAACGTATTTTTCAATCGCACAAATTTGTCGGAGGAGGATCATTAGACATGTAAGAGAGACGAGATATGGAAAACGTTGAATCCCGCGTGTCCAATATCGATGAGTTTGTTGTTGTAGTCAAACGCAAGCGGGGGACTTTACCCATCAAATAAATCGTGTAATTACACGAAACGGCGTTGTTCTCGTCTTCGACGACGGCAATAAATTGTGCCTCGGTTTCTACTGTTTGCACTGCAGCCACTCGTATAGCCGTTGTTCGTTCTCATCAGCTTTGAAAAATGATTTACGCGATGATGTTCTCGCGCACACGAGTACAACCGTCACGTTATTGGACGTTAACTCCAATTAAAGCGATTATTGTGAAACTAATGCAATACCATTCCCGTAATAATAATAATGATGATAAAGCCGACGGTTTTATACTTGCCGGTAGATTAAGCTGCCCTTGTGGCAATGATCTCAATTATAGTCTACAAATCGTTTTCGAGAACGGAGCGGAGCACGTAAATAGCTTGGGAAAGAAGAGAAAAAAAAAAAACATTCAATGACGCGTACTTTGCGTCACACACCAACGTATACCACGGTTTACATACATACATGTGTACATACGCGTTGGTTGTATAATTGTACGCGTATGGATAGTGGCTCATGAATGATGCGCTCTTATTTGTGCTATTGTCACAGTCCCTCGGAGTATATGTATACATGTATATATGTATTTCGCGTATATAGGTAAACAAAACGTCGCGTGTTCCCCTCTTTCTCCGCGTTGCTCGTTGCTATATATACACACAATGATGGGTAAAAAATCGGGAAGGCATCACAGCCGCCAAGGAGAACGCGATAACGCAACGCGCAAGTGCGAGGATCTCTCGTATATGCATGAGTATAGAATTTATTTTTACCCGAGACTCTCTTCCGCGTGCGCGTCGTCGGCTGCATCGGGATGGTTGTATCGATGAGCAATGTATTAATACTAATTGTTGAGGTGCCGTTTAACTCGAATGTAATGTACGCGCGTTGGAAAATTTTGAAAAAAAAAAAAAAAAAAAAAAGCTCGATTTTTACTTTATGCTTTTCAATTAGATGATACGACACTCTGACACATTTACGTTGGCTCTTTCATCAGACGAGCGAGCGATAAGAGTCGCGCTGTAAAGTATATAAATATTGTACAGGCTTGGATGGTTTAAAAAGAAAAAAAAACATTCATTCCTACTCCACTGTCGCATCGTTTTCGTCGCGCGCGAGGCGACGAAATTTTTCGTTCAATCTATACACGCGTATAAGTATGTTGTACATTCACGAGCTTTTGGCTCTCAATGACACTCGGCGCGCTTCCGCGACTCGGCCCTGCTATTCGTGTATCGATATTTGGCCGAATGTCGCGTATGGCTTGACTATATATATACGTGTAAAACGGCGTTGCGTAACGCGGGACGAGAGATCACGAGATGATCGGGGAAAAATGGAAATTTTCGCTCGCCGCGGTTTTTCCCGTGTCCTCTACGTGAAACACATTATAGGTGTAATTGCCGAGAGAGAGAAAATGGGGTAAGAGATTGGGGGGGGGGGTGTTAAAATAGATGGGCACACAAAGGATGAGCGAGGAAAGACCGTCCATTGAACCGGCGAGAGAGAGGAGATAAATTGGCGCTATTGTGCTGCGAAAATGTTGACCAGGTTGTTGAAAGAGAGAACGGTAGCTGCTAGCCTTTCAATACAAATATTAAATACTTAAGTACCTGCGCTGGCGGTGCAGAAAATGTGTGACGATTCCAACCGGTTGAATGGAAATCGAGTGGAAAAAAAAGCAACAACAACAACAACAACGCGAACGGAGACGATGATAATAGACAATGATGCGGGGGGTGTCGAAAGAAAAAGGGAGATAATAAAGACGGGAATGCGAATTGCCAAAGAGAGGCACAATGACATAGCAAGGAGAAGAAGAAGCTACTTAGTGCAGGTGGGTGTTTGACTATAGCGAATTCTATAAGAGCGCTCTGTTGCACGCGCACGTGCAGAGTTGCAGGAAAACCAACTACTAGCAGATACCCTAATATATATGTGTATACGAATAAACTCGGGTTTGCTCTGTTCTCTCGGAAAAATACAAACGAGCTGAGAGCTACGCATCATCATCCCGCACGCGTACATTATCTCTATGTAGAAGGCAGATCTTTCTCTCGATTACGAGTACTCTCGTATCGGTATGTATGTATATATATACATATACATTAGATCGGCACGTGCACACACGTGTGAGAGGAGGTGTATTCGCGCCGACGACCTGGCCGCCTATGTATAATATGTACACCATCGGCGTCTCCATCGGGTTACGTAAAATGATAATTGCGGTCGCCCGCGAGTAAGTGCAAGCAGCATTTGAGAAAGTCACATGATAAGTCGTTATTATATATGCGTATTTATAAATTTCGCGCGGGCGTTAACTGCACGAGGGGAGCTTTTTTTTTTTTTTTTTTTTTTTTGTCGCCCTTTTTTTATCCCATCCACGTGCACCTACGTCACGGACACTCGATGTACTTAGCGGTAAATCTAAAATAACGTACCGGTTGCTCTCGCGTGCAACGTATAACACCCGTTTGTACACAAATATATAATATATAATAAATTATACAAAGTAAGTAGCTCGTCGTCCGCGCGCGCGCTCGCATTGATTGCCCAACTACGTGTATACGCTCGGGGCTTACGTTTGCAAACAATGCGAGGAGGCCCCCAAGGTCTCTCTCTCATTTAAATCGTGATGGGGACAACAAAAAAAGAAAAAAAAAAAAAAAAAAGAAAAAGCAGAATTGAATTCTCAGTTTCGTTCTCTTGAGCGTTGACTGCGTTTAGTTTATCGGATTTATCACCGTTGCACGCACACGCGCCCGTTAAATGTAGGTATATATTATTATTATTGTACGCACAATCGATCTTTCCGAGGCGAAAGATAAGGGCGAGAGGAACGGGACAGCCGAGGAAACGCCAGCCAGCGGCTAGATTAGATTATCCAATCGGCTGTCAATTGCCGATCGCTGCCGATCGCATTGCGAGTTGCAGAGGAAAGAAAAAAGAAAAAAGTGAGAGCAGGCCCCGCTTTTACGCGATACGCGAGCGTCGTCGTATTTATTAATATATTATGTACACACACTCGGGCTGCCGATAAGAATACCGCGCTCGCGATACGTGTACGAGTAGGCCGCATGCACCATCCGTCATCTGTATCTTTGGTATACTCGTATTATGTAGCAGTAATCGGACAGCTGCTGTGCAGGCCACGCGTGCCCTTTCCCCCCCCCCCCCTTAATAATTTGTATATGTATGCGTTTGAACAAACAACCATCACCTATCATCACCTATATGTCATCATGGTCATGATCATCGTCAACCAACTCACCGATGAGAGTGGCCAGGCATTGGAAGAGTTTGCGGCCCTCCTGCTTGGACCTCGATGGGGGTGACGTGACAGGGGCGGCCGGGCGCAGGGGTTGGGCCGCGCTGCCGGTCGTGAGCAACGGGGGCTTGCCGGCAACACCCTGTAGCTGCTGGTGCAGCCTGTTTGACTGTAAATCGGCCATCTCGTTGGCCTCGGACTGCCTCTGCTGCTGCATGGCAACGATCCGATGGTCCTCGTTATCACAATTAAGGCCCACCGATTGTGGCCCGTCGCCGGATAACAGAGCGGTTGCTGCTTCTTCCGCTTGTCCTCGCGCCTCCTGCGTCCGTCGTCGGCGCTGCTCCTCCACAGCATGTAGCCTCTGGCCGCTCGGGCTCGTGATGGCTCGGGCCGGTTATTCGCGAGCGAGTGGCGCGCGCGTCTTCGCCTCGACCGCTTTTAGACGCGGACTGACGCGCCAGCGGCACTAACAGCGGCACCCGCTTGCCTCGCCACTTTGCACCGCCGCTCCTCGTGTATTACCACCGCCAACCGAGTACTCGCACATAAGTTATACATATAGTCAAGAACAACGTAGTCGTCGTCGTCGTCGTCGTCGTCGTCGTCGTCGTCGTCGTCGTCGTCGTCGTCGTGATCCCCTCGGGTCGACTCTCTCTCTCTCTCTGTGTATACCTATATCTGTATGCGCGATGTAATTTTGGTACATGCACGACCTTCCTAGACGCCGGCCGGATCGGCACTGGATGCAGCCTGCACCACCGGCGTGTCGATGATCGGTATCCGTTGCAGCCACCTGAGGACCCCCGTTGCCGTCAACCACGTGCAACCGTCTATCTGTCTGCCTTTCTTTCTTTCCGTTCCTTATTCTCGCTTGCACGGCGTCCTCGACACACAGCTGCCTTAAGTACCCCTCCACAAGTACCTGATGCTTCCACGCACCCCGACGATATGCGTGTGTGTGTGTATATATATATAGGTCTAGCTTACCGCGAGCGCGATCCTTATCTGCACGCGCGCCTTATCATGCTCCGGAGGGTCATTGGGTTTCCGTGTATAGGTGCGACACGATAAGGAGACTCAACCGAGCTTTGACTTTTTTTTTCCTCTTTCTTTGATCGGCTCTTTAAGTTCGGCGGTGGTGCGTGCATCGGGTGTACGTAGGTACGCGCTATCATCGGCAACGAAAAAAAAAAACCATTGTGTAACAATTGTTATAATTTTATCGCCGATATGTATTACAATAATAATCGTTGTCGCGGAGGGCCAGGACGGAGCGTTCTTTGTTCTCGTCACCTACAATTACAATGTATATTTATGTACATACAATATTATTAAATGTTTTTTTTTTTCTTTCTTCCGTTATCGCATGTTACGGCTCTTGTTTTCGCGTGCATGGAGTATTTGTTGCTCGCCCGTTATCTCTGTCGGGCCGCGTCGAGATATATATATATATACATACGTGTGCGTGCCTTCCCAAATCTCGGTGCATCTCATTTCGATATTTTCAAGGTTCACGTAAATCTACGTCGCGCCTGTAAAAACACTCGATTTTATAGGTACCCGTAGTGCTTTATTGCTCCGCAGAAGTGTGCAAAGTTCCGGTGAGGGACACTTGAGTAGGGTTACTCCAAACCGTAAATCATATCTCGTTTTTAAAGTAAAGTACATGTTTTCTAGTTGCCACGGGACATTACGCTTTTTCTATGGGTTTGAGCCGGCTATGAGTACGAAAGAATTTAGCTGACGGAGGGAAAGCATGAGAAAATAAAAAATAACTTGGCTAATCGTTTGCCATTTCCGTTCTATCGGTGTACAGCTTTGCGAGTTCATGGATGAAAAATAAGGAAACCATATATCTATTATAGGTATACCAAGTCGGTCCTTCGAATTTTGAAAAACACGTGACAAGATACGACTTTCCTCTTTACCACCCCCTTCTCTTTTTTCACGCATTCCACGTCACGCTGGTCATTCATATTTTACGTGAGATGACGCTAAGTGGACTTAATTGATATAGGAGGATGATGGTTTTTTAACGATCATTGTGTTCAAACGTTAATATAGGTATTACCACCTGCTAATGGATCATTAATTATTTATTTATTTATCGGTCTGTGCACATATATAGTATATAAAAGAGCGTCGGGAGTTTAACGTCATGAAAATAGAAGAGCATCAATGCGTGATCGGTACTATTTTCAGCTTTTTCGCACAAGTAGCGGATTTCACATTATTTTCATCTTGCAAGACGAAAACACCACTCGATGATAGTGACGATGTTTATATATATTATTTGAAAAATATACGATTATCGACTCCGAGTATTTTTTTTTACACTTTAATCCAATCAGTGTAATTAATAGCCGAAATACACGAATCCATTTAAATATTCATTAGCGTAAACCATTACGGGTGAAATTCTCATTAGCAAAAGTTCTTTTCCCAACCACTAAAATGTTCTTATCTTTCAACATTACCTCAGACATTTGTGTATTTTTTTTGACATGTATATTTTTCCGGAAGTAAATAAAAAGATGTTTACTCTCGAAAGAAAAAAACCAATGGGCATTTCTGTCAAATCTTCAGTTGTCCGATTGAAAGACACCGATGTCAATAAACTGAAACGAAATTTCATTTTTCCGCGTACCAAACGTTTCAAGGATCATAGGAATGTGTTTTATCATCAGAGAAACAATAGTCTCGACTTTTTTTTTTTTTCCTTCATTCTAATGTAAAAAAAGGCGTCTCTCTGTCAGCTGGTTCTGCTTCATTATAGAGATCGATTATGTACCTCTGAACAATAATTTCTAATGACTGTACGTACGTGATGTTTGATACAATACTTCAATGCTACATTGCCATCATACGTATATACATACATCGATTAGGCAGCAGCAGCAACAATCGCACGCACACCACCATCGGCTCTCTCGCATCTCGAGAACTCACTCACAGAATCTGACTCCGACTGTGACGCACGCGCTCTCTCACGAACACGTGCACGTATACTTACACACACATAGTTACGTTAAACTCTGGGTTTTTTTCCTAACACGCGTTGCGGCTGCTCCTCCCGCAAGATACCTTACGCGTATACAGCTGCTGGCGTTAACTTTTTTTTTTTTTTTTTTTTCCATTTGCTCTGCTACTTGTACGTATACATATACTCACTTACTTTCGGCAACGGCAGTAACCTGTCAACTCACCAATGAGTATAGATAATCTAAAAATTATTTTCCTTTCAACCACGTAAGTATATCCATTGGGGTACAAAAGAGTTTTGATGTCTCTTTTTCAGAGTTGTCGCAAGACATTGCTACTATTGTTAAAAAAGTGGTCAATTTTGTTGTTGCTCGGGTTACCTATATACAACTCAGATCTGACCGTCCATTGTGTGTCTGTTGACCTCGCGTTTTCCCGCACTTTACTTCCCTGCGTAACTTTTATTTTCCTCGTTTATTTAAGCAGTAAATTGACAGATACAGCGAAAATCTTTACTTCTTCGGTGACTTGGTCCCAACGAACCATCAGTACGGCCTATTCGGGTTGGCAAACGTCATACGAAGCGAAAGGTCTCCCTGGCGTCCTCGACAGTGACCCCAGTTGTCTGTATTCTCAGGATTCCGAGACAATGACTCCCCTACATGCTCGAAAAAGTTCTTTCTATATCTTTTTTTTTTTTTTTTTTTTTCTCTCTCGGTTAGATCAAAGTGTACAATGGAATACCCACTCGGATAATCCGTGCAATGACTAAGGAACGAGTTTATAACGACAATTCGCGAGGAGAGAACACAATACGGGTGATTGTTTTGAATCGGAGGATTTTTCAATTTTTCAGAGTACAATACATAATATACAATGTTGGCATGATTTTAATTTACCTCGAGTTGTTACCGCATTGAGAATTTTCAAGCTTAGCGTCAGGAATCAATTATCAATGAAAAACTCCCTCGTGGTCATCATCCACGCAGCCGGTATATACCGGTGTCCCGTCAGGTGTACTATGTGTATATATAAGTAGCGATCGATCCCGGGATCGTGATGGGCTACACCTGTAATTACCCGATCAATTTTCAATCGCTCGGCCAAATGACTCAGCTCCTATGTACACGCATATATACGCCCATTACGCCTAATTGCACGCGCTACGCGTAAATAAATAATCCCCGATTGCTCTGTTTCAGTCTGTTGGAGGACGAGCCGGTGAAGGATACAGTCCCGGACTCGGAAGACGCCTCGCCCACGTCGGAACAGCCGCCTGCCCTCGAGCTCCTCGATGAGCCCGTCGACGAATCCCCGGTAAGTTTTTCCACCACGCCCTTCCTTCCACGTTTCATTGCCACGGAGACACGGGCAAAAGTACACAAGTACCTCTACTTGCCGCAGATTTGTCGATTTCCGCTGCAAGTCGCGACAAAGCAGCGTTCGACGCGCGCGCGAGTGTCCCTGTACTATTTTATTTTCCCTAAAAATAGATTACCAAAAGCAACGTCGAACCTCGCGCGCTTATTTTTAGATCATGTGTGTATATTGTACCCAAGTTTACGTATATGTGCACGCGCGGCGGTAATTAATAATATGTGTGTATATATATATATGCTCGAGCCGTAATCCATCGAGTGATTTTCCAGTGTCGCCTTTTGGGTGTACCAATGCCGAAAATCGGTTTGAACGACCGTCTACTCCGACCGGGAGAGAGTTGCAAGCCAACCGAAAGATAACGAAAAAAAACGCCTATGTTTTCTCTCACGCTGTTTCCTCGACGAGCAGCTGTCGTGTATACAAGTAGCCTCCGTCGATTCGTCGAGTGTGTGCAAATGATTGTATAATTACCCTGGTTTTTTTTTTTTTTTTTTTTTTTTTTCTACTGACGCACTTTGTGTATTACGTACGCGTTCGAATCTCTTTTTTGGCATCTTTAACGCACCCTCTTTGCTGTTAACAGCAGAGATGAAGTATCAAGATATGGCCGAGGAAAAATCAACACATACATCTCTCGGTCATTACGAAACTCTTGAAAACAACAGTTCGTTTTACGATCCCTTCCCCTCCCTCAGCCTCGATCTATTCATTTGCCAAACGGCGTTTTGTCGCTTTTTTTCATAATTATTTAAGCGGCGTCTTAAAAGTAATTTAATTACTCTTTGACACGACGATAATATAATATATAATATATGCTACCTGTCGGACGGACTCGAAGGTCAAGCGGTTCTAATTCTTAACGCAATCACCATCACGAATCTCGGCTGATAGTAGGTGTGTGTGTGTGTGTTGCCAAGATATTCGGAACACCTGACCGTAAATCAGTCGGGAGTTTAATATCAGATTCGAGTCGAAGAGATTGTATCTGCGGGCAATAATTGCGGCTGATAAATAAAAAAAATACTTGCTCATCGTTGCGAGTGGCAGTGGTAATTTTTTTTTTTTTTTTTTTGCTCTGTCTCACTACTTTCATTTTACTGTGTAAATTTTGTTTCGTGTATACTATATATGCCTCCGTACAGTTGTCGCCGAAATTCGCACAAAATCCATTGGGTTGTCGCTGCTGCAGCGTGATCTTGAATTTCCGAGTCCACCGAAAACACGCTCACGTACGTTGGTTTCCCCCTCTCGCATCTCTCTTTTCAAGCCATTTGTTAAAAATAGCTAAATAGTCGAGAGGGTTTTTTGGTTTAGTTGGTATATAGTATAGACATTATAGAACACGTGTACCAGGAAACAGAGCTGTTTTTACGTGATGTGAACACCGATGGATACACGGGAAACAAAACGTCATCGTTAAAACCTGTGCGTGTGTGTATGCGCTATCTTTACAATTAATTGACAAAGCAACTCGACAGATCTCCTTTGCACGTGATGTGATGTAAAAAAAAAAAAAGAAGCAAGGTGATGGAAATACGTAATCGTATACTGCAGATAGAGTGCGAGCCAATAAAAATAATGTATAATTACTTTATTTGCGATTTTAATCCCTCGTTAATATATTGTATTATAATACATCGTGTCTAGGGCATGCATTAGATAAGTCGACTAGTGTACCAAGTAGTTTAAGCGAAAAAAAAAAAAAAAAAAAAAAAGAAGATGAAGAAGAGGGTAATACATAATTAAGTGCTGTTGGCTAACACGAGCTGCACTTTTTTATACATTAAAGTGACGAAAGCTTTTTTTTTTCCCACTCATATATTTTTACTTTTTACGTGCCGATAGGTAGAAAAAAAAAAAAAAAAAAAAAAAAAAGCATTACTCAACTAAAATCGCGCGTAACGCGCTCAAAGATTAGCGAATGTCAATTGCTCGAGTGTGTGCATAACTAGCTACTATGTCACACGCTGGTCCGAATAACGTATAGGTACAGCACAGCGAGTGTTTAGCGCACCCGAGCACGCATATCGTGCACGTCGAAGCGAGCGAGCTTATAACATTATAGTACACACCAACGTGTCAAAAAATAACCGTTAAAAGAAAAAACAATCCATGTACATAATATTGAGCGATGAAAATAAATTGAAACTCCAAGGGTAGAAGCACAAAGTAGTAAAGCGTCGACGACGTTTTGACTGGTCGCAATGAAGTGGCCTGCGTCCCGCGCGTATATATTATATATACCTACACTTTAAGGTATTCTAATCCAACGAAGCGGTCTTCTGTGGCCGTTGCGCCTCTGCTTGCACGGTTTCTCCCCGCGGCGCGGCCTTGTATACGTGCTCAGTCGCGAGGTGCTCGCCATCCTCATCGCCTGGTATACACCCATAAAAACCCCCTCGTATTTTGCATCTCCCTCTGCGCGTATAAATCAACAAGCGCAGCACAGGGAGGTACTCGCGTCGAAAAGCTGTGATAAGCCAGCATCGTCATCGGCCCGATGCCGCCCCCCGTGTAAACTTACTCGGCCGGCCATGGGCGGTTCAGTACTCGGAAGGCTCCTGTGCCGGTTTTACGCGTGGTGACCACCAACTCCGCTTCTCCTGCCTTGGCATGAAGATTTTCCCGGGTTTCGAGCTGCGGCGCACCACGGATACCCAGACCCCGTCGGCGGTGGTGGTGGGCCCTGGTAGCGCCCAGCGGACCTCGAAGCGCCGATCATCCGGTGGTGGTAGGCGGGACGGTGAGCGGAAACGTCGCAGCCACCGCGGACACAAGGTACAACCATTGAGAGTCTCTATATTCTTACCTCCTCTTGCATGTTATCCTTGTCATCCTGCGCGATCGTCGCTCATTCGACTATTTGTTGTACACATACAGGGGAGGAAAATCGGTATGGGTCGCTTTGGCTTCCATCTCGGCCGATCGGGCTTAATTGACGCGTCACCGGCTTTCATCTATACGTACACGCGTCGGCTAATTAAATCGCAACGTCGTTGTAGCGTGACGAGCAGTTTGCTCCCTATATCGACCGGTTCGATTGTCGAGAAGCCGAGCAAATAACGCAACGACCGATGTGTCTATACGTATATAATATATTCTTGCTCGTGTTTGTATATATGTACATATATATATATATATTACTGATGTTTCCCTCTCTCTCTCTCTCTTATATATGGTTAATTATTATTATTTATTTTATTGTGGTTTTATATTTGTTTTATGTACAGTCTCTTTTTTGTTGGTGCATACGACACCAGTGTCAATTAGTAATTAACCTTACAATTGTATTAAATCATATGTAACGAGCCGAGCTATAAAGAGCGCTCTGCTCTTAGCTCTATAATAATAAATTCAATTCAATTCAATTCAATTCAATTCTCTTTGTCTTTTCGACACATGCACGGAAGAGTTTAACGGGGATACTGCAACCAGGGTGTACAGGTATCGCGATCGCGCTCGACTCGCACGAGCCGATTTCACGAGGGACAAATCGAATCGACCGATTTTTCAATGTTGCACCGTTAATAGTAAAGGCAACGCAGTACTCGTTTTGCTGTCCACATGTATTTGTATATATATGCTATTCGCATATTCTCACGTTGAGGGATACCTATATATAATATTATGTACAACAGGATTTCGTTTCGGCATTATCGGTATTTCCTCCGTTGTTTCGAAAGAAAGAGAAAGTGTGCGCCATGGTATATTATACCCTTGGCTCATACGAGTATGCGTGTATATATATATATTTATATAAATATATGTGTGTGTGTAAGGTTGAAGAGAGAAAGAGATATAGCGAGAGAGCTGCGTGTACGTACTGCAGAGATAAGTTTCCCTCATCCGGAAAATATGAGCTCTGCAGCTGTAGCCGTGAGTCACGCATAGGCATATAATATGCACGTGGTGTTGGGCCTTATAATATATACTTACATTCGTAGACACGCAAGTACCAATATATTTATTCATACGATTTGAAAGAAAGAGTTATAACGTGCAATACCACCGTGATAATGCACTTGTGGCCGTAGTACGGTCCAGTGCAACAGCAGGATGAAGAGAGCGGGGAGAGCGAGAGATAAGGAGGAGAAAATATGGTATCCAAAGGTGCAGCAGGTACATAAATATATACATACATATACATATGAGCTGCGAGAAAAGGATCGGGTTGTGGATTGAATCTTATATGTGTATGTGTAAGAATAAGCAGGTGACGGAGCTGACTGACTCGAGGGGGGAAGTACATATATGTGTACATATAGATATATGGATGTAAAGATCGGTAGTAGCTGGTATACGTATAGGGATCGAGTTGAGCGTCGCGGCGACCTCTGTCCGCATGCTCGCCGACTATAAGGGAGACGGAGTATATTATAGGGCCCCCCGAGCATGGGGGCTGGGCCCCCGAGATGACGATCCCAGTGGAAACCGGTGCTGGTGCTATGTATAATATACACGGCTCTCTGCTACCGTTGCAGCAGTTGGGGGCCCCAAGAGTGGGGCGACCAGAGATACCTCCTACACTTCTGCTCGGCCGAGATCGGCGTTATTCAGCGGCAACAGTCCCAATCGGTCCCAAGAAGCCTGCAGAGAAATAAATATATATATAGGCACAGAGTGTAATGTACGTATAAGAGAGAGAGAGAGACGATAGATATATGGGAGGAGAGGCGGCGGCAGCAGGAGCAAGAAGCAGTAAGGCCCCGCGGAGTCGCGTTAGTAGGTAGAGGAGCTACCCGGCGGGGTGACATGCATCAGGGCGCTGCGGCCTCGGAGCCGTTGGTGCTGCACTCGGGTGGCAGAGCGTTGTCGTTGTCGTTGTTGTTGTTGTTGTTGTCATCCTCGCCGACTAGTGTCAACAGCCGTTACCAAAGTGAGGCCGTCGGCGATCGCGTGGCTGCTCGATTCGAGCGAGGCGCGGCTATGCCGCGCGGCCCGTAAGATCGGCCTGCTGCTGGCCGCTGGGCCCCCCTCGGCTACCCCTGCCCGGCCCCCCAGCATCTACGTACACGCACACCAGCAGCAAATCGGCAGCATGGAATCCTCGCTGATGATGTCATCACCGACGGGCCAGTCCCCGGGCTCGGCTGTCGCCCTGCACTCCATGCAAGCGTCCAACACCGCGACAGCGGCACCGCTACTCCTACTCAACCAGGTATCATTCACACGCACGCACGCACACACCCAATAACCCATACAAAAATCTGTTATTGCTCCGCGATCGATGTGTCTCTTGTATATAATTATATCGATGCCCTTTGTCTCTCGCTGGTGCACTATCTATACATTATAATATCATCCACCAAGTTGTACCTACCCATGGGGAGAGAGCACGTGTGCTGCGCCCAGCTGCCATCGGTTCTTATGGTTGCATGGGCCCTCCCTCCCCGTGCAGCATCGGTAGCCACATATATATACACATACATATTAGAGAGCGGCCGAGGAATTTTCACGCCCCTGCAACCGAGCACACCTACGTGCACGCGCTCTCCTTGTGTACATGTATACATGTACCTATATCCCCCGCGAGTGCCGCCACCACCGGTTCAGCTATTTGATTACTCAGCGCTGCGAGCCAAAGAATAAGTATACATGTGAGTAAAAGTTGAGTGGTATGGCGACAGCAGCGCGTTCCTCTTTACTCCTATATATTACTCTCTGTCTGTCTCATGTCTTGTACAGGATATTTACGTATTATACTTAGGATTTGGCAATGAAACATCGGCCAATCCTCTGGCCCTCTTGCACCTTGTCTTATATATTCATACTCTTATTTTTAGCCGGAAAAAGCCACCCGTCCCCTCTTGCGTACGATCTCGCGACTGTCGTTGCTTGTAGCCGCGAATCGCGAGTAAGTATCCCGACTCTCTCGTTACACGATCGTGAATTTTTAATTATATTATATTATATTATATGTATATATATATATGCTTGAGTCGATATGCGTGTGTGTGTGTATATATATATAGGTCTAGCTTACCGCGAGCGCGATCCTTATCTGCACGCGCGCCTTATCATGCTCCGGAGGGTCATTGGGTTTCCGTGTATAGGTGCGACACGATAAGGAGACTCAACCGAGCTTTGACTTTTTTTTTCCTCTTTCTTTGNTTGTGATATTTTTGAGGTTATATTATTTTTTATCAAAAAGTTGCAGTGATACGTTAAAGCTTGTCCTTTCTTTCTTGACTTGGCTTGGCTCGGCTCTTTGTCTCTCCTCCGCGCGCTTACTGCAGTCCCCCTCTCATTCGTAAAGTGTACTATCCGTATATATGTATATACTTGAGTGCAAGTACCCCCGTTTGGGTGTGCCTATATATTACATCCCGTGTAGCCAGGGAACACCCGATGAAACCGGAATATCGTGTCCGCCGCCCTCGGCTGCGGCATCAACAACTTGGTACTTTCGACAGCTATGGGAGCTAGTGTGCGCGCGTCTTGTATTAACATATACACATCCCCACTCCACGCGTATATACATTTTATCATATTTTATTATTAATGTTGTGTACGTATACATATATATTATAATTCGACATTGTATAAACGACGACGGCGATGCCTATTTGCGTCCTGGTGGTCGGGGGACAAACAGCGCTGCAGACGTTCATACTTTATAGCCAGGGAGGGGGGGGGAGGGCTTTTGCCAAAAAAGTTACTCGAGAGTATATTTATGTTTGTTATTGATCAGCATCAGCATAATTAATAAAATTGCACCGATTTCGCTGGCATAGGTATACCTACAAACAATTTACAGGCAACGCTCCTCTCGTATATACACCACCCATTTATACATTATATATATACTTACGCATCAGGTGCACACGACAGCTATACATATATGCACGCATTTCCTCTCTCGTTTATTTAAATGTACCTACAACCCATGCGCGCTGAGGTATACCATACGTACACATATACATTTGGTCTCTCGCTTGCTTCACCCTCGCGCCCGTATACGCACCCATATATAATATATACCTCTTTCCCTGTATAAGGACTCCTCCTCCGCTCCGTCTTCTCTTCCTTTTCATTTAAATCCTGCATATACTTATATATGGGTACGCATACAGATACAGCAGCGGCATTTCTCAATCTCGGCTGCATTTTTCAAGTAGACAGCAAAGTCTCTCTCTCTCTCTCTCTCTTTGCGTGTTGTGTACCCATATGTATAACTTATAAGTATATACTTATGCGATTAGGACACACACATTTTTGAGTATAGAGTGAATCATACCTATTGGGAGCGTGAACAGTATTTTTTTTTTTTTTTTTTTTTTTTTTTTTTTTTTATCTCATCGACACATTAAAACCATAGGACAGACCTGAGAATACTTACACATCTACTCGTTGCAGGATCGGTAGATTGGCGTGAGCGCGGGAGACACCCACTCGTTTATTATTATTATTATTATTATTGTTGTTTTTTTAACCGGCACTTAAGGGGGGAAAAAAAAAGAACCAACAACCAAAGATTCGATATATAGGGAGGCATATATACATTATAAATATGCGCGAGAGGAGAGAGAGAGAGAGGGCAGAGTCCGATGAAACCGGCTTAAAAATCCGCATCGCGCTGGTCATCAGGTGAATAACGTTGGAGGAATGTCTTTGTCGTGTATGTGCGCGCGCGCGCGTGTGTGTTCTATTGCCCCGACAAGATTTGCTTTTTTTTTTTTTTTTTTTTCTTCATCCTTAGCTTCCTATATCGCGGGTGGGTGCAAGTCGATGCGTTTGTTTTTTATTTTTTGTTTTGAATCGGGGGAAAAAAAAATTCCAACGGGACGGAAGTTTTTTTTTTTCCCTGTCTCTTGAGGTGTATGTGGATACATCCGGTGCGCCTCTACGCGTGGCAAAAGTATTTGAACAAACTCTCAAACGCAAGAGATGAAAAAAAAAAAAAAAAAAAAAAAATAGGAGGAAAGGGCTGTTACGCGTAATAGGAGGAGCGATTGAAGCGGTGACATAAGTAATACAATATATCAAGTGAATTAAGCAGTGCAGTTGTAAAAAGAAGAGCGTCAGTTAGCGGTCAGTGCGTATATATATACACGCGGGCAATCAGATAAAGAGCGATTGACCTGCACTCACTGTAAACTGTCGTTGTGTCGCGTTTTTTTTTTTTTTTTTTTTTTTTTTTATTATTATGTTATACATGTCATTGCAGCTTCATAATGTATCTATTATATATACCAGTGAGGACTTTGACGCCACTTTGTATAGTCAAATAAGCGCACAAAAGTGCAGATTACAGTGCGTCGCGATGTGGTCGCGTAGCCTAATTGTTGTCGTGAGCAATTTTATCATATTGTTTTAACTCTTTCACATGCCGGCATTTATAAGCTTATACGCGCGTATGACTTTTATTACTCAGCGGCCAGCATGTGCGCGCGCTCGCATTATTACTCACGCACCAAAACTCAAATACTAATAATAATAAATTTACCGCATTCCAAGTTGGATTTGTTACAGTACAGCTGAGGAAGGCGTGTAAAAATAAATTTGCATAGTGCATATATAATATAGATACAGGCACATATATAAATATGTATGTATACCACACGTAAGCTCGCGAGAGCTTTCAAAGCGCTTGTACGCACACCTTCGCCCCCTCGTTTCGTTACTCTTGTTTCTCCTCGACTATACATATACTGTCTACTAGGCGGCAAGAGGGTGGGAGGGGTGCCTCCCTTTGTGCCTGCCAATGTTTTGCTACTTGGGCTTCTGCAGCCCGAATTAACCGCATCACCATTCATGCGCCCGTATATACCCACTTACCTACCTACCTATATATATATTTACTTGGGCCATTCAACTTCTCATAGTTCTAGCACAACAACCTGATGCCACAGCGCATATATTATCATTATAGGTTGCCGTATGTAATTATATATTGTGCACACCTACGAGCGTTTACACGGAAATGACGTACTCGCTATATACACGCACATGGTTTTGAAAGTCGTTGGAAATGTGAATTGTTTTTTTTTTTTTTTTTTTTTTTTTTTTTTTTGCTCTGTCTCACTACTTTCATTTTACTGTGTAAATTTTGTTTCGTGTATACTATATATGCCTCCGTACAGTTGTCGCCGAAATTCGCACAAAATCCATTGGGTTNTTTTTTTTTTTTTTTTTTTTTTTTTTTTTTTTTTTTGGAACTCGTCGGTGTTGACTTTAAGGTGGCAAATCGTGGTCAACCGAGACTTTTTTTTTTTTTTTTTTTCTCGACAAGCATGAGTTTTTCTAAAAAATTAGGGATTGATCACCGAAAATTAAACACACATGAATTCCGACGAAAATTCGCGAATCCAAAGTATACGTATGTGAACTCTAATAAAAAAATATACGTGAAAAAACTTATCCTCGCAACATCACCAGGTCCGCTCTCAAAAAACGTCTCATCGATTATGTATACGCGATGACCATCACGATTTTACCGATTTTATCTGCACAGTACAGTATAATATGACGCTAAAAACGAGACAAATTTTTGTTTCTGGACTTCGAATAAAGAACAGCAGAGATGATTTTTCGCGGAACTGCTTATGCAGCGCTCACGATTGAACGACAAAGACCATCACCTTGAGATCTTTTTTTTGTATTTTTTCACGTAAATAACACGTAATCGCTTCGACATTGTTTTACCGATACTATTAGTTGCTTGCTGGAAGCGAGTTAATGACAAAAAAAAAGAAAAAGTTACGAAACTCCTGATGCACAGGCGCCGGACAAAGGTCTCACCGAGTGTGGTGTTGCAGGTGAGCGGAGGCGAGCGAGGCTGGGAGGTGCACCAGGTGACCGTGACCCGGGTGCCCGGCTACGGCTTCGGCATAGCCGTCTCCGGCGGCCGGGACAACCCCCACTTCAGCAACGGCGACCCCGCCATCGCCATTTCGGACGTCCTCAAGGCCGGACCCGCCGAGGGCAAGCTCCAGTACGTATACCCACGCGAACGCACCATGTAATAACGTGCTCGAATCATACCTTTGAACTGTTGTTGATCGATTGGATTATTTAACGTTAGCTTATTCGCAAAGCCTCATGTAATATTAATAGCCTCATGGTCGCGTGCCATATAGGGTCAATGACCGGATCATCTCGGCGAACGGGGTGTCGCTCGAGGGGGCGGACTACGGGGCGGCAGTCCGGGTGCTGCGCGACTCGGGCTCCACGGTGTTGCTCGTGGTCAAGCGGCGCGCCTGCCCCGACTCTACCGCCGCCCTGCCGGGACCGGCCAGTCCCCTGTCCCAGCAACAACAGCCGTCTACTGCCTCGGCGACCCCCGGCGGTGGGGGGTCCACCAGCGCGGCCCACAGGCTCAGTCTCACTCGGCCCAGCAAGAAGGAGGACTTTGGCATCGTGCTCGGCTGTCGGCTGTACGTGCGCGAGGTGACGCGCGACGGCACGGGCGCCCAGCCCGGGGACCTCGTCGAGCGCATCGCCGGCCTCCAAGCGGACAACATGAGCCTCAAGGAGGCCCGCAAACTCATGGAGCAGACCAAGGAGCGGCTCTCGCTGGTGGTGAGCCGCGAGGCCGCCGCGGCCCTGCTCTCGGCTACCTCCTCGCTCCTCGACCCCACCGGGGCGGCCCCCTCCTCGCCAAGTTGCGCCAAATCCCAGCACCAGACTCTCAGCCGCCAACAACAGCAGCAGCAGCAGCAGCAGCAGCAGCAGCAGCAGTCGGCGTATGCCAGTCAAAACTTGTACGTGCCGCCGCCGACGAGGCACCAGGCGCCCCCGCCGGCCAACGAGGACAAGAGCAACTTGGCGCCACGCGGTCGTTCCCGGGGGCCCCTGCTCGACGTCTCGCTGAGCCAGCTGGACATGCCGGCGACGCCTACCCAGGAGCCACCGAGGCCGCCGCCCCCCAGGCCCGAGGACTACTACGGCTCGCGCCGGCAGATCTACGAGGAAGAGGCGGGATCGGCCGGTGCCGCGGGTCGGCTCGTCAAGCAGCAGCCAATGTTGGTGTACATAATACATTTAGGTAGTGCCTGTACCTGAATAAAGGGGGTGGCTTACGTTGATTTGTTCGTTTGCAGGCCGGATCCGCGCTTCATTACGTTCCAGAAGGAGGGATCGGTTGGGGTTCGGCTCACGGGGGGCAACGAGACCGGTGTCTTCGTCAACGCCGTCCAGCCGGGTAGTCCGGCCTCGATCCAGGGCCTGCAGCCCGGCGACAAAATTCTCAAGGTGCGTGTCGATTGTCGAGGTCCACTCGAGCGATCCCCCTAATCTCGTGTGTCTGTGTGCTTTGTTTCAGGTCAATGACATGGACATGAAGGGGGTGACGCGGGAGGAGGCGGTGCTCTTTCTCCTCAGCTTGCAGGAACAGATCGACTTGATCGTGCAACACCGGCGCCACGAGTACGAGCAGATCGTGGCTTCGGGCAAGGGGGACTCGTTCCACATAAAGACGCACTTTCACTACGAGCACCCGGACAAGGGTGAGATGAGCTTTCGCAGTGGCAATGTTTTTCACGTCGTCGACACGCTCCACAACGGGGTTGTCGGTGCGTGGCAGGTCTACCGCATCGGCCGGAACAACCAAGAGGTGCAGCGCGGCATCGTGCCCAACAAGGCTCGGGCCGAGGAGCTCGCCACCGCCCAGTTCAACGCTACAAAAAAAGAGCTCAGCGCCAGCGAGAGTCGGGGTAGCTTCTTCAGGAGACGGAGGGGCAGCCATCGACGGAGCAAATCACTCGGCAGGGTGAGCCTCGATGATTTTTTTTTTTTTTTCGTGCGCACTTACATTATTCCCGTTTTCTCTGTACACACAATGTGGTTGTTTCCCTTTTTCGCAGGATCATTGGGACGATGTCGTTTTCTCTGATAGCGTCAGCAAATTTCCGGCTTACGAGCGGGTGGTTCTGAGGCATCCCGGTTTCATCAGGCCCGTCGTACTTTTTGGACCTGTGGCCGATCTTGCCAGAGAAAAATTGCTTACAGACTTTCCCGACAAATTCACATCTCCGCGTAAGCAATGCACTTTTCTTGTACTTGCGATTGCTTGGCAGTGTTATAATGAATATTACACGAATTCCGTGATGTCCCCTTGCAGAGACAGAAATTCAGACGGAAGAGGGCCAGACGAGCAAAGGCGCAAAGGCTTCCGGTATCATTCGACTAAGTGCCATCCGAGAAGTCATGGAGCGGGGAAAACACGCGCTCTTGGACATTACGCCTAACGCGGTCGATCGACTGAATTACGCTCAGTTCTACCCAATCGTTATATTCTTAAAAGCCGAAAACAAACAAATCATCAAAGAAATGAGAGCCGGAATACCAAAGTGAGTCACCTTTTGTGCATTTTTTTCCTTATTTGGCGTCTCATGTTTATTTTTATTGTTACATCTTTTTTTTCTTAGATCGGCGCACAAGAGCAGCAAAAAACTTTTAGAACAGTGCCAAAAACTTGATAAGATATGGGGCCATGTATTTAGTGCCGAAATAACTATAACTTCCCCTGAATCGTGGTATCGAAAATTGAGGGAACTTATCGACTGGCAGCAGCAAAGTCCTCTTTGGATGAGCCAAACAAAGGTCTTTTTAAGATTCTTTTATTTTATTTTATTTTACTTTATTTTTTCATGTTTATAGTTTGTGCAAACAATGCTTTTTATTACACACTTTTGATTAATTTTTTTTACATTTTGTGACTTGGATTTTTTTTTTCAATGGTGTTGGTTGTAGCATAGAGAAATTTTATCGGATCTTTATTTTCCTCTTCTTTATCCTTGTTATCCACCAACGTCATTATCAGACGCTTACGATACTTACATTCCTAGCACTTACAGCAACAATCGCGATATTTCTACGATTCATCCATCATTGCTTAGATATGCTCCAGTTATGCCTTCCTTGCCAGTTTATTACAAACAATCATTAAATGCCATTAACGATAAATTATTCGGCTATGTATAGATTTTTACCTCTTTCATGTATCAATGCTCATTAAAATTCTCGAACAATCATAAATGCATGCACTGAATTTTAGAATTTAGTTAATACTTTTTTTTTCGCATTTCTACCAACATGCCATATTTTCATTCTTGTCTCTGTATCATGGTTCAATATAGCTTAAAAATAACTACTCAATTATTCTTAATACACATGCCATTCAACATTGTTACTTTCATCGATCATCGTTATCATTGTCATTTTTTGTTTCTACTGCCGTCTCATTTCATCGACCAATGCCATAGCCGGAGGAGGCTCTCTCGGACGACTTCCTGTTCCCGATGACTTCACGCCTGTCCTACGCCTCCTCCCCGGAGAGCGATCTGGAGCTGAGTCCCGCCCCATCCTTGCCCGGTACTCTGGGCGTGCCGTCCCGTCTCAAGAGCAGCTCTGATCCAAGCATCGCCACGCAGGATGATGCGATCGCGCCACCCCCCTACACAACGAGCGGCTACCAGCACTCGGTGGCACAGCTGCTACATTCCGTCGGAGAGTCTTCCCGATCCACCAGTCAGTTCCAACCACCCGAACAGCTCGTCGTCCAGCACCGGCGCACACGTTCCCATCACCAACAGCAGCAGCAACAGTCACAACAGTACCACCAGCAGCAGTCACAGCAACACCATCATCATCACCATTACTCTCAGCATCAACAGCAGCAGCAGCAACAGCCACTTCCGCCAGACCTGCCTCCTCGGCTCGACCGAAGTTCCAAGCCAGCGGCCACTTCGGCGCGGATGCCCTTCCAGCCACGCTCTATTCTCAATAAGTCAGATTCAGTTCTCGACGTTGGAAATTACATCAACGCCACACCGCATCGCTCTGGAGCTGCACCACCACAAACAGCCGCAGCAGCAGCAGCAGCAGCCAATTCCTCGCTCGAGAGAAGCCAAGCTAAGGCGGTAAGAAATCATGCTTTGGAAAATAATCTAATGTCGTTCGATGCTTTGACAGTGAAATTCTTTTTTGCACCTACAGGGCAGCTACGACAGTATGTCCTCTTACGATTCGTACAACACAAACGGCGGTAATCTGGCTGGTCAATACGTTACGGGCCTAACAGCAACCTCATCTGTGGTGACGGCAACCGCAGTGAGCTCGACCAACAATAGACTCGGGCCGAACGTTCCCGATGACCTCAAGAGCAGCAATCTAGCCTTGCACTTGAGACCACACGATCCCTACAAGTTTACGAGGTCAACGGCTATTCCCGTCCAAGAGTCCCAAACACGAACTGATTATGCCAAGTACAGGTACGCGTGAGCACCCGCACTTTTGTTTTGTCTATTTTTGTTAGAGTACTATGATTCAGGTGTATAATTACGAGTTACGGTATATAGTTTTGACATCTGTGGCTCATTTGTAACTCATCGAGCTGAAAGAACGTAAAAAATTACTTTTGCAGATCGGTAACGAGGAAACCTCGACAGTTGCGAAGAGCTTGTAGAATTTACATATCCCAACGCGATACTTTAGTTTAAAAATCATTTTTGTGTTTGTCAAAAATTTTTTATTTTACATCGTTTATGCTCCCCAATGTAAGCTAGAAATTTTTGTTTGCGTTGTAGCCGAGCAGGTGATTACAAGCCTGTGGTAGTGCCTCCTCAGTTGAGCGGAAAACCAAACACAAACACCTACAAGCCTGTGCCACCTCCTAAACCAAAAAATTATAGGCCACCGCAGCAGCCAATCATACAAGACGAAAACAATAGCAACAATTTGTACCAGCATTCAAAAAGCTATTCTGTAGCTATGTTAAATGGAGTAAGTCGTCATCAAATTATGTGTAACAATAAATCCCTCCCCCCGTAATCCCCTTTAATGAGTGTTGGCTCTTACCTCGGTATGATCCTTGTACAGGTCGAGAATGGAATTAATGCTCATCAATACTATTACAACATATCTCCTTCGAACCGAAATCTACAAAACGATGCCTATGCCGTGAATTCCAATCAGATGCATCCTCTATCGAACTCGTCAATGATGTCGCACTCCCATAGCACTAGTCCAGGACAAATCGGTCTGGCACTTTCCCACAGCCGCACAAACGGCCACAGTCACAGTAACAGTCACAGTGGCGTAACACTTCAAAATTCCTCCATGATGAACCACAACAATAATAACGGCACCATTGGCCATAGCAACAATAACAACAGCAACAGTAACGGCATTCACAATCGAGAATCAATGGATTTGGCAAGCAGTAGGGAACAACGTGGAAGTGCCTTTGAACTTTACAGAAAGCCACTGCATCATCATAATAGGTGAATTAAACGGTTTATCATGTATTTTAGAGTTACGTTGCAAAAGTTGTCGTTTTAGTAGCTAATCGCCAATATTTAATGCTGATGACAAGTCGCTATCGTTTGTGTTCAACTTGCTTACTTATGCTTTGTCATGAATAATAGCGAAACGCCTCATTAATGTTATATTAACCATGTAATGATAACAATTATCAAAATACTAAGCAATGCGATTAAAGGCAGCTTTGTTTTTTATTAAAACAATTTAACATGGTAGAGTGTAGGCATGTGCGATATCTAATTTGAGATGAGATGCGACGATTTTTATTTGCATTTCTCAGTATCGCACATACCTAATAGAATATCCACTAGCGCTCAATGTCAGTGTCAATTGTAAGATGGGATGAAAATCAGTTTTTTTTTTTTTTTTTACTACATCACCTTGGAAATTTGTCATGATTTAAAAATATCTAAATTTTTTCTGTCCTCCAACGCATTTAATCTCATCTAACAGATGGCAATGGCATCACATTACAAAAAATAATGGGACTAATATTGTTTGGTGATGGTTAATTGTTATATTATGCAGGGCGATGGGGATGGCACGAGGCGTGTTTGATGATAAAGGTGGCGTTCTCGAGGGACCAGGAGGTGTTAGTTTGATAATACCTCCTGGAGCCTTGCCACTAAATAGTCAACGAGAGATCTACTTCAGTGTAACCGATCCTAATGGTGTTGAATTATATAGCAATACTCGTGGCCATCGCTCGTCAATATCGCCTCCCATGAATAATGGTGAGCTTTCTTACTAAATCATGCAAATTAGATACGGATTTTCATTAATTTAATCATCCTCTTTAATTATTTATTTAACATCTGTACTGGCTGCAAATTTGTTAATCTTACTAAATTTTCATAGCTACAGTGATAATTGAATATTGTTTTTTCTTTTCATCGTAATTTTTTTTTTATATTCTTTATCTTCCAAAATAATAAAATTATCTGACAAAAAATAAATCGTAGGTGAGTCTATGCTTAGTCCACTTGTGGAATGTGGACCAAAGGGACTTGAATTTCAAGTTCCCGTTGAGCTTCGAATTCCTCATCAAGCAACGCCCGCTCACCGGCTCGCACTGAAGGCTACGGACACTGAAAACAATTCGAGTGCCGATTGGTTGAACGTTAAACTGCCAGATCCGACCTCAGACCACGTTATCGTTCGTCTGGATCATTTCTGATGTTTCTTCATTAATTCATTAACATGTACTTCATATGTCAGTTATGCTCATTTTTACGTTAAAAATAGTATGCGTTCAGGATGTTACAATGTAAATAACTAGTGAAATGTTTAAATGTCATGTTGAAATTTTTATACTAAAAAAAAAAAAAAAAAAAAAAAAAAAAAAGACTATTGCCGATAAGAAACTTTCACGTTTGATGATTTAGTTTTTAATTAATAAATGTGCGAATATTATTAAGGTACTGTCAATTTTATTTTGTTGGCGTGGGCGATTGGGAAAGAATAGTTTTACAAATATCTTGCGAATCTTAATATTTCTCTTAGGATCTCTAAAGCAAAGATATTATAACTTTTTTTTTAGACAAAATATCTTTTATAAGCAACGATTAGAAAAATTGATGCCAAATTTTTAAAATCATTTTAAGATTATTTAGTTATACGTAAACTTTGCATTTATGTAAACTTAAGATGACAATGATTGTGATTTTCGTTTTTATACATGTTCTTATACATATTTTTGTACGTGCAAAATTGTTATGTAAAGTAATGAAATAGTATGTTACGCTACTAGGACGCAAAGTGCGCTCGATGGTGCAGAGGCCTGCGCCCGAGTCGCGTATCCTGTTTTTCTCTTTGAGGGTGCAGAGTGAGGTTGTATTAAGTCTTCGTGATGGTTAATTTCACAAGAGTCAAACTGCAGAATTAAAAATATATAAATGTTAATTAAAACGTATATTTTACATGGAAAAGCTTAACTTTCTCTATAAGTATTTTCACAATTTTTTTTGTAATAATGAATTAACTTGTATATATACTAAATTAATACGTTCAACTTGACATCACTAGTTATCACTAGTGACGTCAATTTGACGTCAGTTCTTCAAGTGTGAGAGATAAAAAAAAGATGATTTCTCAATCATCTCACTCGCGAAGAAAAATGGGAAGTCAAATTTTGTATCACTCATTTAAATTTGTATAACCAAATTTTTTCGCAAGTTTTCAATCATTCAACATAAATTTTAGTATGATTTAATCTTTACAAAATAATACAACTCAAAAAAGGTGGTTTGAAAGGAATTTAAATGATATCTGAATAACCCTCACTTTTTGCTCGAAAAGAGGAAAAATTATTTTATAGTAGTATTGCATTTAATAAAAAACATTTGTACCGATTTACATTTTGTGGTAACAAAAATCTCAAATTCTAGAAATTTTTCTAGTCTTACTTTCCACTCTAAATAATCTTAACAAAGCACCAGATTATTCGCAAACTTTGTATTATATATACATACGCATATATAAATGAATGATTAAATATATATAAATAATAAAAATATTAATTTTATAAGGAGAAAAACTTTAAATTGAGATTTTATATTCTTTACAGATATTAATTCGCAATTCGTTAAGAATATTCGGCCTTGAAGCTAATCTTCACATGTCTTCCTAATTATTTTAATAAGTTTCGAATATTAATCATCTAAGTGTACAGATTCACTTAGCATTGAAAATTTGATATGAATGATTAAAACAAATTAACAAATCTACGATATGTATTTTAAAAAATTCCATATTGTTTCTTGTTCTCTGTTTTTTTTTTTTTTTAATAAAGTTTTGTTGGATAATAAAGAAAGGCGTTCTTTTTTCTCCTGAAAACGGATGATTATTTTTTTTCAGTGCCACTATTTTATTTATGATTTATTGATTTATTAAACTTTGTGATCGTATGTTTTGGTTCAACTGCTTATAAGGCCATAACTTTTTTCGCAAAAGTGTACCAATTCTCTTAAAATAATTAAATTAGTATTTCTTCCTCGAGTATTTGCCGGACTGTCATTGGAGGATAATTTTGAGGAACATTTCTTCCAGAGCTTTATCTTTCTCGTCAATCTGGACCTCATAAAACTTTGTGCGCCACTTTCCTAATACTTGTCCGGATTGTATTTTAAACTAGCTAAGTGATATTACTTGAAATACACATAAAGAGTTGTATTTTTCTCGAATATCTTGTTTGCTTTCGCTGTCTTCTTTCCTGGTTGTCTTTTTCTTTTCTCGTGTTGATATATCGTACCAGGAATTTTCTTTGTTCGTAGTAAAGAAGAATTCTATATTTTTTATGTCGTTACAACCCACTGGTGAGTTACATACAGATTCATAGTTCGTAAGTATTCATGTACTGTAAGCAGTAAATCTCAAACACTCGAGTCAAAAATCAGAATAAACTGTTCCTTTTCTATAAACTGTCATAAACTGTTATAAATTCAATAAACTGTTTTTTTTCTGGGTTAGTTTTAAAAACTTAATGATAGCATCTTTTAGACGGATTGTTGTGAACATCGTCTCAACACTTCCTCTTCATATATGTTCTACTTTTATTCTGTAGTAATAAATGTCATAAATGTCGTTCAATATAAAAGCTTAATTGTTCTTTGATGCTCTATACTTTTTTTTTTTTTTTTAAACGTTTCGTTTAGCTTTTTAACATGTACATGAAATGATCGTAAGCTATAGAATTACACGTACAAAAGTTAGTTAATTACTTATAAACTCTACAAGTATATCGCTGTTGGTTGTTACAATTTAAACTTAAAGCTATTTAATAAATTTCAGCTGAAAAAAAATATTGATACTAAAAAAGGAAAATTAAAAATTGATTTTACGGTATTCAAAGTTGCCACGTTGGTGTTATCATTAGGATGGTACGTCGAAAAACACATCTATACAGATGTTTTATGTTTTTTTTTTTTAAATGAAATAAATTTCTTTAATTCTCAGGTGCTTTCTCAGATGAGATATCAGATGAGCTATTTATATCGACCCTAGATATCCCTGTTTTATTATACAGTTTTTTGTTACTAATGAATTTTTGGTAATCGCAGCTCGGGTTTCCATACGTATTTAGACTTGCTTTTAGACAGTTCCTCTTAATAATTCTGATCCTTTCAAAGGCGAAGGCACTTTGATTAAACGATATTGGTACAGCGTAGGTAATTATTGATCTAATTAATTAGTAAACAGTAACAAATGATTTTGGCTTTACCGTTCAAACGCTTGTTATAAAAAAGTTTGCCTTGTGCTTAAAAGATTCTGTTTGCTGTACGCAGCTGTGCAATTGGGTATTCATGCATGCATACTTTTAATAAATAGTCGATTTTTACACCCCAATATTTGACATATTTTTTATGCGGAATATCAATTTTTGATCGTGACCAACACTAAGTACCTTTAAATTGTATTTTTACTTTTCTGATTTGCTAAGTCTGCTATGATCTAGTCTCATTAAAATTGCGGTTTCGTTTTTTTGCGGTGTCCGCCGTTTTTGCTCTATAACATATATAGGTTTAAGTCATCTGCGAAAAACGTTGCATATTTGTTTTATCTTGGTTTAATTCGAATAATTTAGCATGTATATGATTGCCGCATTTACTGTTCCTTGTTGTAGACCTATGAAAAGTTTAAATCAGCGCGATTGTTTGTTACTCATATTTACTGTGAATAATTTTCTGTTTTGAAATGGGCTAAACAATATGTTTGTCATGTAATTCGAAAATATTTTTTTAGATAACTGAGTTGCAAGCTTTTTCAATATCTATTAGACATGCTGCAATCATTTTATATTTGTTTGGATGTTTACTCGTATATCTTTTAGCAATTTATGTATGTACAGTGATCTTGTGTATCTGTTGGTTTAAGAATGATTCAAATACTTTGCTCATGCTGGGTAATAAATATATTGATCTGTGGCTTTTTGCTTTATCGGGGGTTTTACCTTTCTTTAGTATCGGTACTGTTTGAATAATTTTCCATGAGTTTGAGTAGTAAGCATTAATTATTGATAATATTATTAAATAGTATTGTCAACGATTCAGAGGTAATTCCAAAAGATAAGTCTTCAGGGTACCCCCATAGCATTGATATCATTAACGGAGACTTGTTCTCGGGCAAAAAATCCAAAAATTTCGCCCGAACAGGGACTTGAACCCTGGACCCTCAGATTAAAAGTCTGATGCTCTACCGACTGAGCTATCCGGGCCATGAACGTGTTGAGGCGTGTTAGTGTTCCGCCGACGCGCTTTCGTACTTTTATCTGAATTTTTCGAGTTTCAAATCTACCCCACTACTACTTTCACTCTCTTTCCTAGAGCTTTCTGTTTTACACTCTAGGTTACGTGACCATCGACCAATGGCTATCAATGTCCACCGATAGTACCATTGGCTGCTGCCCATAGTACCGATGGATATCGATCGTGTCGTCTATGTCTTCTACTGTAGGAATACCTGGAATACAGATTAACATTAAATTTAATATTTTTGTATTTATTTCAATTTTAAGATTTTTAAACTCGAGTTGATGAAATTCAATATTCATGTACTTGTTAAATTGTCAACATGAATTGCTATTGAGATTATTAGATATTATGCAATACACTCTTATGATTACCTACTTTGCCAGCGTTATTTTATATCACGCATTAAAAGGTAGTATTTAAGCATTAAAATTTCTATCTCCCAAAGGTCGTTATAATTTGTAGTGTTGTATCAGGCTTGAGCTTAACATGAAGAATGTCACAGGAATGCCACTGAGCAGTTTCTTTTATACCTTTTTATGCGGATGGTGGCCATACAGCGCATTATGTGGTTGCGCGTGGCGGCGCGGACCGGCGGACACGGCGGCTTGTAGTTTTACTTTTCTTCTTTTAGGCACGATATTTCGAGTTTAAACCAGCCAAGTTTAGTTCAATAACCTTCTCAATACATTGCTTTCATTTTTTCGACATAAAATGAAAAATGAACTATCAATATCATTTTTTAAATCACAGTTAGTGTCATTGTTTAAATTAAAAGGGTCTAAATGAGATTATCAAAAATTCACTATTTTTTTAGTATCAGTATGTTAGAAAAGGTAGAATGAATGATCCATATTATTATAGCATTATAGGTTGATATTCGAGATTTTCGAGATTCGATTAGTGGCTGCGGTACGATGTACGATATTCGACTGCGCGTAATTCATAACATTGCATTTGAAGGATAACCTTCAAGGCATTCAAGTCAAGCAAGCTTTAAGCAGAGTTTACTCATCTCTGCTTTAAGTGGTGCATTCAAGATATAAGACTTGGTGTTGATTGATTATTTTTAAAAAGCTGAGAGAAACAAAATTCTTTTTTTACTTAGACTTAAGTAGACGCAGGTTAGTTGAATACAGGAGCCTGCAACGCTAGTTTTTCCCACTAAATTTTAGTGTTTAGGTGTAAAAGTTAATATTGTGAAACGATTAATCATCTTGATTGTTTATAAAAGGCACAATGGAGTCAAGGACGGAGTTCAAACTTAAAAGCCCACCAACTGATGCTGTTTCAGCCGTTGAATTTGGCCCAAATTCTTCACAATTTTTGTTGGTCTCCTCTTGGGACAGCTCAGTTCGTTTATATGACATACAAACAAACACTATGAGATTAAAATACACTCACGATCTTCCAGTTTTAGATATAGCTTTCCAGGTAATCATTTTCTTTTCAACGTTAATGGTACATCAATTACATTGCTATGCGGTTTTGTCAGCCTTTTGACCAAATTTATAAATGCATAAATTTTTTAGGATGCAGTTCATGCTTACAGTGGAGGTTTAGGAAATACTTTAAAAATGTATGACATCAACACAAACACAGGTGAGTGGAAATGCTTTAAATAGGGGCTCTTTTTCTAACTTTTATGGCTTTTTTACGGCTAAAATAGAAACTGTAATGGGAACACACGAACAACCAATTAGAAAAATAGAATATTGTGGTGCTGTGAATGCTATTTTGACTGGAGGCTGGGATGCCGCCGTGAAGCTTTGGGATCCACGCACACCTACTTGCGTTGGAAGTTATATTCAGCCTGATGTGGTCCTAGCACTTTCCATTTGTGGTGATAAATTTGTAGTTGGTACTGCTAAGAGAAAAGTGTGTATTTGGGATTTGAGGAATATGGCAGGTATGTTCCAGAGGCGAGAGAGTAGTTTGAAATATCAAACCAGGTGTATCAAAGGTTTTCCTAATGAACAGGTAATCATTTTGAATTACGTATCTGAATTCACAAGTTTTCAATCATAAAATCTTATAACAAACAATTTTTGCATTTTCAGGGATATGTATTAAGTAGTATAGAGGGTAGAGTTGCAGTAGAATATTTAGATACTACTCCTGAAGCCCAGAAAAAAAAGTATGCCTTCAAGTGTCATAGAATAAAGGAAAATAATGTTGAACACATATATCCTGTAAATGCAATAAGTTTTCACTCTGGGTATAATACATTTGCTACTGGTGGATCAGATGGATATGTCAACATTTGGGATGGGTTTAACAAAAAACGTTTATGTCAATTCCATCGTTACAATGCCGGTGTTGCGGCTCTTAGTTTCAGTCAAGATGGTTCTGTATTAGCCATAGGTGTTTCATATCTAAATGAAGCGGAAATTCCACCTGGTGGTAGTGATGAAAGAGAAGTTTATATAAGATACGTTAACGATCAAGAAACAAAACCAAAATAATAGTGACTAGCATTTGATAAAAACATTTTTATTACATTCGATGATCGAACTCTTGTTATTTAACCGCATTTTTTGCATATTGTACACATTTTTCGTAAGTATAAGTATTTTATTGCTAAATTAGATATTTTTTTAATTGTTCCGATTTTTTTTTCTTTTTTTACCATAACAAAGGAGTGAATTACACAGTTTGATAAACAAAATAAATACTTTTTTTCAAATATTAATAGTGTTTTTATTTATTTTTTTCTAATATTTTAACCTTAACACGTATATTTTATTTTTTTTTAATAAAATGCACTTTTTCTATTGAAAATAGATTACAATTCATTTTTTAACAGTGTAACATGAAAATTACAATTTTATCTTTATCAAGTTACGATTGACAGCTTTTTAAGAAAATTCTTTATAAAAATATTTTACTGTCAACATTTCTTGCAACGCAAAGTTCTATGTACAGTCGTAAAATTACAAGCGCAAGACCTAATCTGTTAATTACATAAATCATTAGATTAATTTTAAGCAAAGATTATAAAGTAGCTTTCGGATAGATTTTCTTGCATTATAATGATTGGCGTATGATTTCCACACATTCGGATAACAATATACACATTTACACGATATTTGATTAAAATTCCAATCTTAGAGACTTTTTATTTTATCTTTCCTCCCCATAAAATTAGTACTTAAAAAATGATTTAACTAGAGATCACATGAAAATTTGACGGGTAATCAACAAATTCACAATAAAGCCATAAAGTTTCAACAAATGTTTCATATTTCTCTCACATAATTTTACAATTTTCAAGCTAGTTTCACTTATCGACTATCATCTCAAATCATATATGTACTATCAAAAATAATATTTTCAAAAGTATGAAATTAAAAAAAAACCATATGATTGCACAACGTCACTTCATTTTGTTGTCTAATGACTTGTTTGACGTACAAAGCAATGATTCGAGAATAATAAATTTTGCAACCATAAAAGTTTTTACTTCACAATAGAAATCTAGATAAAAAAACAATATGTACAGCACGATTAGTGTCAGTCACGAGTCCCCGCGCGACTTAATTAAAGCATCGAGACAAAATTTCGGCACAATCCCTTTTTTCCAGATACACACATGCTCACAATGTTAACAATACATTCAGTACAAAAAGTTCCTGAGCAAATCCTTGACCAAGTCGTAAGTGGCAAAGCTAATGCCCACGGCGATCGGTCCTTTGATCCAGTTCATGCTCAATCCCTTGTAAAAGGACATAAGGCCGTCCTCCCTGAAACAAAAACCCAAATGAGAGGCATCGCGCAGGAAAACATCCGATTCGTCGTATGCAGAGAGTTACCTACGCGTAAATTTTTCGTGTCATCAAGATGACACCAAGGCTCTGCTGTTGTTTCACCGACGAGGTCTGCATTCGCCTGCGAACAATGTCCAGGGGATAGCTACTGGCTTGGCCGAGCATGCCGGCTACCGCGCCCGCCAGTAAGCCCGACATTGCCGTGAGCCCAGGACTGTGGGCCGTGTAAGCTATACATGGGAAAGATAACTCGCAATGAGGTCACGACAAATCATCAACATTGCGGCGACGTCTTACCGGAGAAGAAGCTCTTAAACTTGTCGTAAAAGAAGAAGCTGCAGCCCGCGTAGGGTATGACGCCGAGTATCGTAGGAGTGAAGCCCCGATAGAAGGCGGAGATGCCCTCTTTGCGGTATATTCGGATGAAGACATGCCGCAGGCCCCTGTACTCCTCCTTCACTGTGACGGCCATCTGTGCCCTGGCCAGGTCCAAGGGGTAAGTGGCAGCTTGGGACGTCACGCCCGCCAAAGCACCGGCAAGGAAGCGCCTCTCGTTGCTCCTGAAACGTCACACGGAGGAAAACACATGGTCAGCGTCATTACGAAAGTCACGAGAGCAAAATGTGGCAATATAAGAGGAGAGAGAATCAAGTCTAGTAAGTATAGGTACACTTCGCTCGAGTCGACTTTGAGAAGTCTCTTCCACTGCTCGTAGGTGGTGAACTGGATGGCGGCGTAGGGAATGATCCGGACCATGGTGGCACTGTTGCCTCGCCACAGGCTGAAGAGGCCGTCCCTCTTGTAGGTGGTTACGAGGAACTCGATCGCCGCCCTGGCCGAGTATGGCTGCTGTGATATCTGGAAATTGATTTTCGTCCTGTCGAGGGGAGCTATCGTCGTCTTGGCCGCGCCCCCGGCCACCGCACCGGCCACGAGGCTCGTCCAGACTCGCTGGGAGTTCGTTAAGTGCGCGTCGCCGTCCGCGTGACTGCGGTCTTCCATCGTTGACTTTATCGATTCCTAAAATACACAACGAATAACTATAAAGGCATAAATAATTCTTTGATGGCGATACTGCTATTTTTTATTCACGAGATGAGTATCAATTATATTTACGATGTAAAAATTTTGCAAAAGTAGCGCTTCTCCGCTTGTTGTGACGAATTACTTGATATTATCACGTGTAACTATAATATGGTTTATTGACAATGCTGATAGAGCAACTGGAACAGAAAAAAAAAAAAAAAAATCTTTTGCTCCAGTAAAGTTTAATCATCTCGTGGATAAAAGTAGCAACATTTCCTTATAAAAAATGTGAGAAAAATGAATTTTTCTGGATCAGTTGGGTGGTTTTTTTGTAGCCAATCGTGAACGTGCGTGCTTACCGATGCATCGCTGCCCGTCGCCGATTTCATCGGATGCGCCAGCAACGGCTTCCTGCTCTCGCTGCTCACTGCGGAAATTTGTATGCTGCTCCTGAGGCCGCTTTCCACGTGCCCGCTCATTTCTTTTTCCTCTCCTTTCCCCTTTTTTCCTTCCTCTCATGTAGTTTGCGTCTACAGGCTCGATTTACTGTTAACAGTTTTCTCGACGTGGACTGCTTACTTCATAGAAATTTTCGTGCTGCAACATACCAATGTATACGGTTGTTATCTCTCGGAAAAGTTTCAATTTATCTGTGAATCATGGAAAAAAAAAAAAAAAAAAAAAAAATGATAAATCATACGCAAACGAGTAGCTTGTTGGCTTGTTAAATGGCGCGCAACCTTATATAATGATATAAGACGATAGCACGGTGACATATGTGCAAGTGTATAGCATTACCAAGTTCCATTTGTGGCTCGATTGTTGAAACTGATGAAAATTGATACAGTTGAGAATCGCAGGCGCACCTCATGTCGCATCAGGTGTGTCTATACGTATAGTAAGAATGATCGACCAATAAAAAAAAAAAAAGAAAGAAAAAGATGTATTGCGCGTATCTTTTTAGGTCCTATGGAAAAAAAAAAAAAAAAAAAAAAAGAGTTAGAACTCAACAAGTACCGATCTAGATACGGTCAAGGGTACGAGATGGATTTAAGAAATAAACAATCATCAAGTCGCGCCAATTGCGCTCGCGGTGACCTAGAAGGTCGCTTTTAAAGCCTGAGCCAGTTCGTGTCACAGACTCGATCGACTACTATACTTAATACTTATCTTAGCTGATGTGAGCTACGATCGGAAGAGTGGAAAGATTTACGCGTTATCCATAAGAGAGATACATATCGCTCATTCGTGTTTATCATAGAGATTTTTGTTTTACTGCTGTTTCGCTGAATATTTGCATACGTGTACGAAACATACACACAAATGATATATTTAGATGATAAAATCTTTGTCTCATCTGGAATTAATAACAATAATAATATGAATGAGCACGCTAAGCCCTGAAAAAAAAAAAAAAAAAAAATGTAGAGGTGTTGTCGCGAGTGACGTGTTTACCATTGGCATATTTTTATCATTGGTTCGCAAATATTAACATATTTAAAGTGTCGTCGAGAGAGGGAATGAAGTGATCAGACAAAGAGAGGGAGTGCGTGTTTTCGCTAATACACACACATATATATATATATATATATATATATATATATATATACTTGTATAGTATAGTTATCATCAAAGAGCTTTTCAATGCAATGACTGGCAGAAAAGCTGCCTCCTCGTTTTTTTCATGTCCATCTGATTGTGGTGGTTAAAAAAGAAAAATATTTGCAAATCTGCGCAAAAAAATGATCAACATATGCGTGTTTAGCATATCGCGAGGATTAAAAAAGTGTGCTGTCTCTTTGTTCCAAAGTGCTGGATTAATTAAGACGTGACAGCATATACATATATACATATATGAGTATTGCAATTGATATAATACGATACAAAAATAGGTAATGAGTAGTACTTAAATTGTATTCATTAAAAAAAAAGATAGGATAGGAGAGCCGGCGGAGCACAAAGAGGCCTCTCTACGATACTGCCGAGCGTATAGTGGATGTATTATACGCGAAAGAGTATGCACACCTGTATCTATAAATATACAGATACATATATGATCTCCCCGAAAGAGATGCTGGGTTTTACAATGATGTATAAACTAAGTATACCTGTATAGCGATTACCTTGACGTTTCGGAGCGGTGCATCACGACAGTAGCGGTGGCAGCGTTGCACGGGATCGAAGGCTCGTCGGAGCGAGGAGAGATCTTACCTAATTGTAATATAAGTATGTGCAGTAAAACCAAACTGAGCGAATTTGGAGCCAACTCTTGACAACAACAACAACAACTATATGGGTAATGGGTATATATATATATATATATATAGTTATACACAAACTCACACACACTCGTACACCATAACTTTAAGTACCTATATACCAACGGACTGACTAGCCTGCTTACTTGCCCGTTCCTCCTCTTCTTCTCCTCTTCGTCATCATCGTCATCAACAACATCTTTTGGGCAGCTTCATTTTTTATCAACAACAACTCCGTTTACTTTCGACCGATGCAGGCTAGCGATGTCGGTCCCGGCCAACTAACGACTGTCGGAGAGTCGGAGTCGGACGCTCATGTTAATCCGCGACTAGCGCCAGCTGATGTGTGTTTATAAGTTTGCTTATACCTATATATGGCAAGTAGTCCCCCTCCCTCCGCCCCTCTGTACAACACCCTCACGATTTCTGTTATATATAATTATAATTTCGCTTGGTCTATCCCTTTTTTTTTTTTTTTTTTTGGGTGCAAATTTTGCAATTGACTTTTTTTTGTTTTGCAAATTTCCTTTTTGAAATAATTGTATCGGTATCGGCACTTTTTTGTTTTATCGATTTTTTGAAAAATCGAGCAGTAAGCGATAAAAGTACAAGTTTAGTAGTAATGGAAGACAAATACAGTACATTTCAGGGCGAATAAAATACTGAAATTCAGAAAAAAAATGCTATAATTATGTAGATGATGAGGTTCAAACGGAAAACCTGCGTTAACGATTGTAGGTATGTGTACTCTCGAACTTGGAAAACGATACGAGCGCTCATAAAATTATTATCATCAACGACAGAATCGACGATCGCTCTCTGTCTCTGTTGTTCCCCCGATTGCCAAAAGGTGTCCAAATATATCTATTCGTATAATGTTTCACCCTGTAAGTACACACATCAGGATATCTATCCCAATTCCCAATACTCAATTGGGCACAGAGAAATAAGAATGTATACATGTACTAGGCAGTAGACATTTTTTTTTCTTCTCATCTCTCTGTAAGCATATACGAATAATGACTCCGACTGCCTGACGGAGCGAGCAGTATAATATTATATATACATAGTGGCTTTTTTTCTCCTCTTCCTTCGCGCGACGCGAGAGGAGGCTTTCTCTCTCTTCGTATCGGCATACTCTTGTCGTTGTTCATCAGCACTTGTGTTACCTTATTGCAGTTTGTCGCGCGTATAAAGTATATACCGCTGATGTTTGTGACTTGTGACATTTTTGCTTGGTTCAGCGATTAGCTCTGCAGTTCTTCGGTATATAGTCTGCCTGTTGACGCCACAAAATTACCATCCAGTACCTACCCGTCTCGCTCACGCCTTGCACCTACTTATCATCATCTTCTTCGAGAGGTAAGCCACCCGCGAGTACTTATTTGTTTTTCTTCGTTACTTGAATCATTGTTACTTGGTATTTCCGTTACGTCAAACGATCGAATGAAATCAGCGTACCTGTGGTAAAAAAAAAAACAAAAAAACAAAAAAAAAAAAACTCTTGGCATACGAGAGAGATAGAGAGGAGCACGTTTATGGCATACACTGTATGTGTTTCTTTTTTCTGGCTCTTTCTCTCTCTTCCTCCGCTCCCCCTTTAAAAGCGTATACAGATATTTCTCTTTTAAAGCTACATTACGAGATGATATACATTTTATCCTGCACAATGTGCTTATCACTTCGACTCGTCCCAATTGCTTCGATCTACGTGCCCAAAAAATTTCGACTGCACAGCTACATATGTATATGGTATAGGTTCTGACAGTAGCGCTTCCTGCATGCACGTCCAGGATGCTTCGTGTTTCATGTCCATGGGCACGCGCACTAAACCCCTCATCTCCTTCCTCGCAACCCCTGTACCTATATACCCTTGTTTACTTCCCAAGTACCCTTGACTCGCGTATAGTTCCGCGTGGGGGCACGTTGGAAATGTTTTAACTTGCGATTTCGATTTCCCCCCCTGATGCTCTTGTACCTATACGTTGATATACGTGCACGCATCGACCGATCTTCGATTTTTCTCCTTTGCCTTTGCAATCTATGAATACGTCATGTCCTGATACACCCGCGCACACGTCAACTCTCCCGTCAACGAAGTTTGGTATAATTTATAAGTAGGTACATGTTTTTTATTTCATTTTTTTTTTTGCTTGAAGAACTTTTATCCGTACGACTTGCAAATTAGACAAAGTGAAATCTCGCGAATTGTTCTTTTAGCACAATATGCACAGTTACATGTACGCAAAGTGTATTTGTCGAGTGCAAATTAATAAAGCCCACGTATATATATTTATATATGTGTATAATTTATGCGTAAGTAAGTAAGTGCGTGCCGCGCGAGTCGATGACGATCGACAATTTCGTATATGTATATTGATGTTGTAAACGCCGTTGCTATTACACGCTTACGTGTATACTGGCGCGAACAAGTGCGCAAATCGTTTTTTTGTTTGTTTGTTCGGTTCGCGCTAAGAGAGGCCGCACAGCGCGCGCTCGAACGAACCAATGATTTACAAAGAGTGTAAATGGGCTCCGGAGCGCGGAGTAAAGAAAAATATATGCGCCCGCGGAATCAATAGGCACCTTATCTCCGTCGCCGTCAACGATATCTCCGCGGCGCTGATAAGCGCAAACTCTGCCGTTGCCGTCGCTCGCTTCAACTCGGCCCAATACCGCGCAAACACACGTGAGGAGACAGCTTTTTTCCCTTTTTTTTTTTGCTTCGCAAAGTCTCGGATAGAGTACCGTCGTTATTTATAGATATAAAAAATAACACGTATGCAACCCGGCGGTGGCAGAGAGAGAGAGAGGGAACGCGCGTTACAGATAAATAATGTGCCGACAAATCGCAATTCGAAAGTTAAGTGGCACGCATCAGCGTGGAGAGCATATTATAATATATAGGAACAACAACCGGGATGTAAGCATATACGAAAACATCGCCAATATGAGTTTGTAAGCGCGTTGCTTTCCAAACAACATCGAGGACTCTCGCTTTTCCTCGTTCCTAATCGATAATTACTTATTCGTTATTATGTCGTTATCGCGTAAAAATACGCGAGCGTCGTTGTATTCGTGTAACCGAATAACAAAAAAGTTGATATATCTCTGGTCCGTGGTATAAGTGCATGCGTCATGAATGTGTTTATTATACTTTTGTTTTGCATTCGAGTGTACGGCAAGGATACATATGTATAATATATAACATATACATTGAAAATTAATCGATTGCGCGGAGGAATTCCCAATGTATATATGTATAGAGTTGTCTTGGTGTGGTGCTATACCATACGAAAAAGGAATGCAACGACCGATGGCTATACGGCGGGTACGTGATTCGGTTGGAAAATGCTCGATCGGCCGGCCGTTCTTGTGTATATGATAAAGTATTACGCGAAGCAACTGTGCACTGCCTTATTACAATATTTATACTCTCGCACCGAGTTTATGACTTTTTGCCACAGTCTACACTCGACGATCACGTATTGGTGCTTTGCAATCAGTAAAAGTGCCATTTTTCTCTACAACATGAGGTGATGTCCTTGCCATTTAATTTGCTTCTCACCTTAAAGGTTTTCCATACCACAAGATTGGTGTATAGCCCACACATTTCGGTATATATTTATTTTGTTGCACGTATATCGTGGTTATTACTCGTTACGCTCGACTCTGTAATGCCTATACCTCCAAACGAGTTTCCCTCCAAGCAACGAAGAACGTTGAGAGCTACCGACAACTTTTCGTTACTTAACTTCCGCGTTTGCAGTTCGCTCACCGACTTTCACTGTTTGCCATCCTTGAGATGCACTTCTATATTTCAACGTGCTATATATATATATTTGTGTACCCGTACCTGCTGCCATTACAGCAATCGAAATACGCGCTCCTTTGGTTAATTTTAATCAATTTTCCAACAGTGCCATTTTTCACTAGCCATCATGTACATGAATCTTTTTTCAAATAGTTGTTTCGGTAGATTTACAACAATGCGCTTATTGTCGCGAGGCAGAACCTATTTTTAATACTATTGTTTCCCAATGCACGTTTTTGGCCAATGCTTTTCTAGGTCCACTTGATACTCTTCGTTATTCCAACTGTACTAGTTCGATGCATTTTTTGGCAACCTTATCTAGGTATAAATTTAACGATTTCTGAATCACTGCAGCTGTAGTTTACATTGTTGTGGAATTCTGGCAAATTCGTTTCAGTGAAGTTAGCGATCATTACCGTAAATTTCTCTCTCAATTACAGCATGAAATATAAAAAGCAATATTTTAACGTTATCACACGACTAGATGTTAATTATAATAATAGTGTTGTATCTTATTATATATTGATTTTATACATGTACAAGTACTAATAATATACTCAATAGTATAAATATTTGCAAACACCCAGATACTGTCATTATTAATATTTCATGTAATAGTTTGAATTTAAATCAGTACATTTTCACCCATAGGATATAAATTTAAAGAAAAATTATACCGAGCTCCTCAGTACTTACACATAATTCGTTGTTGTTGTTTTTATTATTTTTTTCAGATAAAATAAAAAGTAGAAGAGAGAAGAAGATAGCAAGAAACGACGACGATGGCGACACAGATGTGATCGAGTAAAGGCACACGACCTCGTATCACATCGATAATTAAATACGCAAACAGCAGCCGCGTAAAAACCGACGTTCACCAGAGCAACCAAAAATGGAAAAGGAAGAGGCAGCGGCCGCGTCCGCGAGTTCGATGGCCAGGGAAGTCAACGCGCCGGTACCCTCGGCACCACCCTCGGCACCACCATCTTACGAGGAAGCCATTGGCTTGATACCGGGTGCAGTGCCAAACGTCCTCCAACCGGGAATGGCACCCTATCCGCTAGTTCCGGCCCAGCCGATGCCCATGGTGGCGCCGATGACTACAAATTGTACGTTTTTTTTTATATTTTTTTTTTTTTTTAATTATCAGTATAAACCACCAGCCTACGTATACTGTTAGCCGTGTGCCCTTTTTCCTCGTACGTTAAAGATGCGCCTACGCTGGTCGCTCAGCCGCAGGTACAGAGCGCCGCCCAGTCGCAAGCGCCGGGGGTACGGATCATTCATCAGCAGACCGTTCACATAACCATGGGCCCGAACCCCATCAAAATGAGCTGCCCGTCCTGCCACAAGAACATTAAGACGACTACGACGTCCGACCATCAGCCGGTCGCCCATATTTGCTGTATCGTCCTCTGCTTGTTTGGGTAAGCTTTGTTTCACGATTAAGAACTAACAATTTGAGTTTTTTTTTTTTTTTCTTTTCATGCAGCATTCATAGCATTGTTTTAGGCAGGTTTTTAACAATTTCTTTAACAGGTTTAATAAATTTGCACGAAAAATTAGTACCGTGAAAAATATTATCAGGCATTATCAAGTTTTTCCTCGTTTTATACAATTTTAATAATATTTATAAATTCTTACAAAATCAAGAAATATAATAAAAAGTATAAATAATCCTTTTGGGGCTTTCCTACGTCAAAATTAGAAATCAATATCAATAAAAATACACGTATAAAATAGTGTGGATTTTATTTCCAAGTCACTTGAAGCAATATGATAGACAATATTTTTAATTCGTGCAGGTTAAAATTGGCGATTTTTGGCGAGAGGGTATGGATTGTAAGACATTTTTCTTATCGTATAAAATAAGCACGCAGAGCTATCAAGTTTGAATTGGTAAAGATAATACTATCTTTCGAAAAGTCTCGATAAGTTTTTATACATTTCACAAATATTATGTTACTTTTTATTTTGGACGAGAAGTCCAGCGATTAATAAGTAGTCCAACTTCAGTTTAAAAACTTATTTCCTCCTAAAACTCTAAAAATGAAATATATATTTTTCCCGCCAGCATTATGTATTTTTTAAAAACTTTTTTCAATTTTTTTCCATGTATAGTTAATCATAGTTGTAAAGCTTTAAAACATATTATATTTTGAAACTTTATTTGAAAAGGAATTTTTTTTTAATGCTCTGGAAGCAAAATAGAATCGAAGTAAAAAATAATGATACGTAACGAGTATAATGTTTGGTATCAATGAAAAGATATTAAAAAGATTTTGTTAAAAATTAGCAACGTCATAATTTATATCGTACGGATTTCATAATCATACATTTTGCTCCAGTCAACATGTAGCAGTCATTTTGCCTAGCCGTGCACAAGTTATTCTTTTTATAGTTTTAATGACTTTCTGAGAAATTTCTTGCGATTGAAAAACTTGTTTTGCGTTTTACTTCGACTTTTTCTACGCAACATATTTACTTAAAAAAATATTTTTCATTACCTACCGGTACATGCGTAAACATTGTAGTTGTATTTTCCACAGTATATAACTTTTTAGAAAATGTTTCTCATTCTTATACATATATCTGACAACAAGTAATTTTTTTATATGAGTGACGTTGCTTTAGAAATATTTTGTTCACTTTTTCAATTATTTGTTGTGGCCTGGAAAAAAAAATTTATGGTAATTTTTGATGAAATTTTTTTCATCAGTCAAGGTAGATTGGGAATAGTTGATAGCAAAACACCAACCTAATTATGATCAGTAAAAACTCGTGCTAATTGTAAAAGGTATATACAATTTGGTTAAAGCTTGTAAACGGTATAAAGTTCAAAGCTTAGAGGAGTACTAGTTAAGTATAGAAATTGTAACTAAGTAATAATGAGTTGCCGGTCCTCGCAGGTGCTGCCTGTGCTCGTGCTTGCCCTACTGCCTGAGCGCCTTCATGAACGTCCATCACTTCTGCCCGAACTGCAAGGCGTACATCGGTACCTGGAAGGGCTGATTGTTCGATCTGTCTAGCCTGCGAGTCTAGAGTTTACAAAAAAAGCCAATGTGCAGTGCGCATTCACGCATAAGCTTATTATACATACACGACGTGATCAGCGAGGAAAAAAAAAATTTCGTAAAAAAAATCTGAAAGAGATCGAGAGAGCTCCTTCATCAGTATTTTTGTGTTTCATTGATTCGCTTCACGTTGGTATTGAGTAATAATCATGCGATTGTAAAAATAGAGAATAATATCGGACTATGAATGTTGTTGCGATTGAAATGGTTTGCTGTAGCTATTTAGGTTTAAGTGTAAATTGATAAGAGGGTTATCGCGATTCGACCAAAATAAAACAAAAAATAAATCATCGACTTTTCTCGTGTCCAGAGCACATCTAGTCTCACTTGGTAAGGGAGATCTCTCATCAAAAGCTAAAATACTCTACAATTAATCTATCTTATTTCTATCTTTGAAGACCAATTATTTGTAAAGAAAATAATGTGCGTAGCTCGAGATTCAATTGTTCGAGAGAAAAGTTTTTTTTTTATACAAAACTAAACAGCAAAAGTGTTACCAACAAAGAGATCGTAGATTTCAGATGGAGGATAAACGTTTAATCACATATTTGCGTCGCACTATTGAAGAGGAAAAAATATAAGGAACTTTGACCAATATTGCATTTTTTTTTTTTTTAACTTGTTTCCACTTATATTTTATGTGTATATATTTTTTAAAATACAACGTAAATAAACCAAGATGTGCTTTTTCGCACGATTAATCACCAGCCCTTCCAAATCGCCGCTCCGTTGTCTAAACTCACTTATCAAAATTCCCTACAAATTTAATTTGATGTGCAATACTACTCTAATAAAAATTTCATCGGTGTAAATAAATAATATTGGTATATTTGACATTTCACTAGTTTAGTAAATATTCCAACGTCAAGAATTACCATTAAGACGAATAAAAATTAATTTGACAATTCCCGATTACAAAATAAATCAATAAATGATATTGTAATTGAATGACAAGAGGGGATCGGAGGGTTCGCGACTCAATTTCATCCGATGCGACAGCAATAAACCGTGCAATCTCCATATTATGTGGGGCTTTATGTATGATATTCGATATCGTATCTAAATTGTATCTGCCCACTCAATTATTCCACGGGAACAACACGAGAGGAAATGGAACGAAGGGGCCTGTCGTAGCCAGCTCAAGCTAGTCAATCAAACTTACTCGGAAATGTTGCGCGATACTTCAACCCCTGACTAAATATCACATGTATCGTTTCCCTTAAAATCTTTTCGATTGACTCGACTTTGATTACAATCCACGTTTTGATGTGTCAGCATATTTATTATCTCTCTCTGACTATGGAACATAATGTCATCCGAAATCGAATTAGTATTCGCTGTAAATAATATCAAAGGACTAAATACGAATTGCAGTACGCGGATTCAAAAAAAAAAAAAAAATCACAATTTTCAACCAATCATACAAAGTATGAATATAGAACATAATGAAAAGACTCATAATTCATAAAAACTATTTATTTGAAAATATTTAGTAAGTATTAGCATTGGGTTTCATGGGTTGCCAAGGTAAAAGAAAAGTAACACCAACACCCATAGATACGTATGTCTCTTCGAAGTTCCGAGAGGCGAACCCCTAGACCTAGACAAAAGATGCACAGCTTAAATACTTGAAATTCCCGATCCCCAAAGACAAAAAACGTCGCACTTGCCAAACGAGATGCTACAGAAGCAAAAAGTCCCTCGCTTGGCAGCCGGCCGATTAACAATCCGGCGGCTCAGTGACGCCGATGTTCCCTCTTCATGACTTCCGGTTCGGGGGGTGTAGTCGGGTGAGAACATCTGTCGCAGCAGCCAAGGTACCTCTCCCTTATTGTTAGTAACGTCGCGTGGGGTGATTCATTTGAGTTTGTGCGGGGCCAGCTCGGCAGTATCCACACAACAAATGAATTGGTATATATTTGTATGCTTGATGGGGTAAAACTACGTGACGTTATTAATTTGAGGTCTGCTCAACTGTAGCTCTACGTGGATGACTGGCGTCTACGTTTAATTGCGATGAGAAATCTAATACCTATTTCTTCCGACAATAAATAAAAACTTGATGACTATTGTGGAAGTTTCAATCGCTCTCTATTCGCGATTCTTTTCTTTACAAACTGCATCTCCATCATTCGGAAAAACTAAAATTAAAAAAAAAAAAAAAAACACTTTTGTTATTTCTTTCGCTTCTCTATGCTCAGCGAGGTTAGTTGTGTTCGACTATACATAACTATTTTGTTTAAAAAATTTTCGAATTTTCGAAATTACTAATTAGTATTTTACCGGTTTTAATATGACATGGACAAAAATGTCATGAACTTAAAAAGTGCAAAGCTTCATTCAGATTCGTTCTTATAGTGGAAAAAAAAACACATCTTGTTTTTATTTTTTTCATGACTTACCAAATTGAAATTTGATTTATAACTGATAAAGTACATTAGACGCACAGTTAAATTCGTAATCGTCGCTTTGGTCAGCAAATCAACTGATAGACGTAATAATTACAAATTAAATACATGAAGCTCAAAAATTTAGAAATCAAGTCTGTTTGTATCAAGCGTTTATTTGCATTTTTTCTTGGTGTTGATTAACGTTTACGTTTACGAAAAAATTCGAATAAATGAGATTTAAAAAATATGGTACTATAAAACTTGAATGGTATGAAAAAAATCAAAAGAGAAATATATGTAAGGCGATTGCCGAAAGTTTTATCCAACGTTAAGGGAATCATAATATTGTTGAATAAGATGTGTGAAAATTCTAATACTAAAGTCTCAAAGATTTTGTAAAAAACTGGGTAAAAAATGAAATAAAAGTATTTTTTTGAAACAAAAAAAATAAAAAAGAGAACTTACCAAACACTAGTATTCTATGTATCTATTTATTACCTCTCATTTTTACTTTGCGTATCGTTAGTTGTTTCAGTTTAACTATTGTTCACCTCATTTATACTGCAAAATTTTTTATCCACGATGAATTATCAATTTTACATATGACTTAAACGAAAATTCAAAGAAAGTACCTAGTACTGTCCATCATCACTGTTTGTGTCACGGCACATATTTTTGCGTCGCGCATCAAAAGAAAAACAAAAGGAAAATACAATCGAATGACCGGCTACTCAAAGAAACTGGTAAGGTGGATAAAGTCTTGAGATCGGGATGAGGTAATTCCGGTAAAATATTTTTCTGCTCGAAGGACCGATAAATAGATGAAATTTAATTTCCAGGAGCACAGCCAAGTCTGAAAAAGGCTCGACGGTCGCTCGCCGCATCAGCATTGTTTGCTCAGCAAGACTCGGTGTCGCCGAAGGGTCGCAAGGGATCACAGGTGAAAGGTGAATAAATTCAAGTAACGTAACATTTGCCAACTGTTTATTCCGTGAAAAATCGTCAGTGCCACGATTAGATAAACGTACATCCATCTGTCCAGGGGAACCAAGAACATATTATACACTCAACAGAGTTGATCGTAAAAAAAAGTGTACCCGATTGTTCAAACAAATTCCTTCAACTTGTCTAATCGCGCTGTTGTGCGGCACAATTCATGCCCGTATTAATTATGTACAGAGATTGAAAAAATGGTATATTTTAATAACACGGCGTTAGTCGCACGATAGGTACACATGTATAAATATCATAGGCAGTGTTTCGACGCGCTGCTCATCTCCAGATTTTAAAAGAATCGCACCCAAAGATGCCGGTCTTTGTCTATTCTCATAACGCAATGCAATACATGTAACACATATACGCTTAGGTATACGTTGGATAAAAATTGCGTTCACCGCGTACAGCAGCAAGAGAGAGAGAGAGCAGTGTATGTATATATATGGTAGGTACTACTCAATGTACACAGTATCGTTATTATTGATGATTAATAAATAATAAAAGTGTAATTGTAGGTATTGGATTAGGTAGAAGTGGGTGTGTGTATTCAGTGGGGCAGCAAGTTTTCGAGCTGCTTGTTCGGCTGGAACATCTGCTTGGCGACCGTGGAGAGCTCCATGTCGATGGGCTTGGTGTCGTCGTAGAGGGCCGGGGCCTCGCACAGGATCAAAAAGGTACCCACGAGCGAGGCGATGGCGAATATCCAGAGGAACAGCCGGTCCAGCACCATAGCGACGAAGCCCCAGTCTTGGTCCTCCTGTTTGATTTGAACGAGCTCGGTATGAAAAACAAAGAAAGAGAGGGAGAGAGAGAAGGGGGGGGGGGGTCATAAATAGTATTTGGAGCACCGACCGCGTTGAACTCATCCTGGCGTTGCATGTGGTGCTGGATGAACATGACGTTGTGCAAGGCCTTCTCGAGCTCGAAGGGGTACTTGGTGCGGCCGGCGACGTCGCTCATGGACTCGTCGAGACCCGGCACGACGGGGGGCAGCCCGTTGTTGTACCCGGCCATGCTGCCCACGGCGAAGCGATTGTGGGCGTTGGTCGTGTGCTGCAACCCGTTGCACCGCTGCTGGGCGGCGTTCTGCTGCAACTGCAACTGGAGCTCGTGGGCCAGCTGCTGCTGGCGCATCGACTCGGGCGAGGAGAGCAGCGACGAGGAGCGCTGCACCGCCGCCACAACCGCCTCCCGGAACTTGCTCGTCGGCTTCCCACCACCACACGCGCTGTTGTTCTGCTGGTGGTAATATTGTTGTTGTTGTTGTTGGTGCTGCTGCTGTTGGTGAGAGTGCATGCCCGTGGCGGCGGCGTTGAGGGGCGACTCGCCCAGTCCGGCGACCAGCTGTTGGAGGGTCGAGAGCGGTGGGGGTGGCTGGAGGGGACTGCGCCCGTATATCTTGTGGGCGGCCAGGTCGTCGAGCAGGTCGTCGGGCACGCGCATCCAGAGGAGCTTGGGTAGCCTCCTAATGAAGACCCTGCGTACCCAAGGGGCCATTTTGTGGGTGCTCGGCTTGCGATAGTGGACGTTCAGTATGACGATGGTCACGACAACCGAGAGGGCGACGAGGACCATCGTGAAGAGGAGGTACTTGCCGAGGAGGGGCAGGGCCAGGGATGTCGAGGGTATGATCTCCGAGATGAGGAGGAAGAACATGGTTTGGGAGAGGAGGATGTTGATGCAGAGGGCTATCTTTTCACCCGAGTCGGCCGGCAAATAGAAAGCTAGGACCGACAGGTAGGATATCCCGACGCAGGGGATGATGAGGTTGACCGTGTAGAAGAGGGTCTTGCGGCGCAGAGTTATGTTGAAGAAGATGTCGATGTAGGGCTCGTTGCAGCACGAGTAGTACTTTTCGTGGCGCTCGGCCGGCACCCCGAGGATGTCCCACTCGACGCTGGGGTAGTACTCGCGCAGGTCTATGCCCACCGGCACCTGGTTGCCACCCGCCTTCTGGTTTATGTGCTTCAGGTCGATCTGCGACATTACGCGTCACGTGAATTATCTCCCTCGTCCTTGTTATTCGAAGCTTTTGGGCCTTATAAGGTATGCAATGCACCCTGTCTGAGTATATACAAATGGGTGTCTATGTGTACCTGGAAGCCGTCGTAGGTCCACGAGCCGAACTTCATGAAGCAGATCTGCTGGTCAAAGGGGAAGTAGCGCACGTCTATCTCGCAGGAGGACTTGAAGATTGCCGGTGGCGTCCACACGACCTTACCCGTGTGGTGCAGTATCGCCTTGGTCATTGTCGTCACTCCGTACTCGCCATCGGCGCTACAAGCCAAAACCCGACATTTAGTACCGGTCGAATGGATGAAAAAAAAAAAAAAAAAAAAAAAAAGATTGGAGTAGCGAGTACGAACTTGTTGTAGAGCACGATGTCCGGTAGCCAGATGTGCTCGGATGGAACGTAGAGCTCGGTGACACCCCCGTACTCGGACGGATCCCACTTGAACTTGTGGTCCTGCCACTCCTGCAAAGGTCATATAAACAGCAATGGTCGAACACATATTGGTAATTTAATCGACATGGGAATCGGATGGTGAAAAAAAAAAACAGCTTACGTGCTCCAGCCAGACGTTTGTGGTGAGAATTTGATCCTTGAGATTCTGCAGCGGATGATGGGAAAAAAAAAAGAAATGAAAATGTGGTTAATTTGAATGACAGGGTAGGCGAGATGATGGTGTCGAAGGGCAATTACCAAGTCGATGAGCTGCGAGAGCCGCAGCCCGAGCTTGACGACGATGGTGTCGTTGTTGCTGGGTACGGGCCTGATGAGCCGATTGTAGTTGGAAAGGAGATCGTCGTAGAGGCGCTTGGCGTCGGCGTTGCCACCAGCCGGGTCCGTGCCCAGCCCCAACAGCCCGAGCACCAGCACCACCAGTCGGGAGCCAACCATCGTCCGTCGGATCGGGCAAACGATAGCCAACGGCTGATTTATCCCTGCCCGTACGGAGTATCCCAATGGCGGGCCAACTAGTCCTTACAATTGCTACCGGATACTTCCTCGTCGTCGTCCTCGTCCTCGCGGTTGGGCATAGCTGGACGTGGTTGCACCGCCTTTACGTGGGTCGCGGGTGTGGAGGCTCCTGCCGTCGCCGAAGCACTGCAGGCACGGGGTATATCGTATCTTCACGCCTCTCTGGCTGCCCCACACCCGCCGTGAGAGATCGATAGGTCACGTGAGCTTGCGCGCGCCACCCCACACCGAGAGAGAGAAAGAGAGGATGGGTGTGAGTGTACGGCGCACACTTTGCACCCCCGCCCCATACCAAGTTGGAGCCAGTTATACCTATATACACGCGGATGGGTATAATACCCACTCGGCTTGGGCGCGGAATTATAGTGGCCCGTCTGTGCCTGCAGCTAGCCCTCGGCTCTCTCTTGCCCCCCTTCCTTCCTTCCTTCCTCCCCGTCAACTCCATCCCTTACTTTTCCAGCGGCAGCAATCATTGGCCCCCGCCGCCGATGCTCATTGTTTCTTTTTTTTTTCCGAACCGTCCCTTTGACCACTCGGGTCGTTTTCTTGTTTATTTTTTTTGCTGTCTTTTATCGGCGATGCACCCGTGATTTTAAAACCTCGAGCGCAATCTTGCCCCCCGAGAACCAAAAAAAAAAAAAAAAACACCCCGAAATGCAGAGCTACGAAATACGTATACAAAATAAAAATTCACGATTCCACCCGCAAAAGCAAACAGCTCGGGGGCAGATTCTACACGTTTCCAAAGTATCAGCCAGCACTGACCCCGCCCAATGTTTTTTTTTTTTGTTTCAATTCATCGGCATCTCGATGCAATTAACCACCCCCCTTCATTCGCGCACTCGGATTGTGTAAAAAAAAAGGTGACAAGTAGTACGAGTGCGCTATGGGGCCGGACAGTAGAACAGCGCCAAACGAGTCAGACCGGCTGACTCAACGTTGACCAATTTTACTTTGTACACGCGGCAAAGGTCCATACATATAGCTCGGTCTTCGCGGAGGGGAGGGAAGAACTTGTACTAACGCTGATGCTGTTGCTCGCTTGTAAATTGTATACCGGTATCGGGGAATCACGATATAAAATTGACCGCGACCCACCCCATTGGAACGGAAATGAGGGGGAAACAGTGGATTCGGATTACCCCGGTCGAGCCGATTGGCCGTGACGAGGCGCTCCCCGTTGAGATTTGAGAAAAAAAAAAAAAAAAAAAAAAGACCTTTTGTGCGATGGGAGAAGGAGAAAAATCAGCTAAACGGGCAAAAAACAGCGCAACGCTGCGTAGCTTGGAGCTCGCGATCAGCTACATTATAAATATACGTACGGCAAAAGAGAGAGAGAGAGAGAGGGGGGGGGTTTGCAGTATATACTTACGAGCTGCAAGGGACGCAAGGAAAAAGCTGCACAGAGAGTCGGCCGAGCTTGCAGAGGCATCGGCCAAAGCGCAGCAGTACAACCGTATGTATATGTGTATGCGCGTATACGCAGGTGAGAGGGGACGAGGGTGGTATATATAGGTACAGATGATTGCCCAGAGAAAGAGGGTGGGGTTGGGCGAAATGTATTATACAGAGGTGCACTTTGAGAGCTGCACGTGGCTCGGAGCCGTCTCTCTGCTGGCCCAGTGGATATACCTATTATGTATACGCGTATATGGCATAAAACTCGGGCGGGTCGGCGCTCCATACCCATACCGTGTAGGGCTACTGGTGTACTATTTGTATATAAGTTTGCTTGCCCATGTGGAGGTGTATATATATATACATAGTGTATATACCGTGTAAGCAACTATATCTTTGGAGTGTTGGGCGAGGGCGTGTGCCCGACTCGGGTGGCCTCGGCACCGCTCGCACCCCCTCGGCAGCCTCCACATGGCCTGGCATTGGCTCCCGGGGCGACGACGACGCCGCCGTCGACGCTACCACCGTCACCCCCTCCCACGCACACCCATACATTCTCCTCCCTGGCTGGCTGAGTGACTGTTTGGCTGCAGTCAGTCTCCTCGAAGGAAGCGACGCGCCGGGGCGCTAAGATAAGCGCGTATGTGCCGCCGACCCGCCCCGAAACGCTTGTTCAGTGCCGTCATCAGCCGCGAGTGAGTGCACCGTCCTGAGAATCGCTAAAAAAAAAAAAAAAAAAAAAAAAAAAAAAAAAAAAAAAAAAAAAAAAAAAAAANACAAAAAAAAAAAAAGAAAAAGAAAAAAAAAGAAAAAAAAAAAAGAAGAAAAAAAAGGAAAAATTGTTTTTACGCATTACCCAGCTGGTGAGCGGCTCAACGGTGGACGGGGGCATGAGGAGGACGAGCCGAGGAACGCCGCGAGTAGCCACGGGCTACCGCTGGCACTCCTCCTCTTAGACTCGTGCCGTTGATGGTGAATTAGTTGGTGGGTGGTGGTGGGTGGTGGTGGTGGTGGTTGTGGTTGTGGTCCGTACTGGATAGGTCCCGTGTGGGTGTGAGCCGCGACGAGGGGCCATGCAAGCCAGCAGCCCCGAGGGTCCTGATGGGACAGTGGCAACTGCAAGAAAAGAGCCTCGTCGACGGCTGAAGCGCAGCCGGTAGCTCGCGTCCGAGGCTCGCCCGAACCCAAGGCCCGCGGGCGATGTGCCCGGCCCGAGGAAGCGCAGCGTAAGTACAACGTACACAAAACAACCCACTCCCATACACGCCCAGTGAGACGATGGCTATTACCTATATACATATACTCGTCCAAGGTAGGGAGGGAGGGAGGGGGCGCCGCCCGACAGCAACACACCCATATTTCCCGGTCCCTCCCCTGGCCGTCTGTGCGCGCGGGGGGGGGGGGCTATTTATTTAGGCAGGCACCTCTACTTACCTGTTCGTGGCCGCGACAAAAGCCACGGACTTTTGTTTATGGCCCAGCCTATCTCGGCCGACAATACAACGCACAACCCCCCCTCCTACCCAAGGAATATACACACACACGTATGCCGAGTCACTCGAGCGTATCGTTACTCACGCCTACGCCTTGCCGCCTGCACTTGACGTTGGCTCATTTTTTTCCACATCCCCCCTCCCCCTTCGCCCACGAGTACAAATGTATACACACGCTTGCTTTGCTCTCCAAATCCCATGTAATATATATGATGGCTTACACGCACTCGATGGTTTAGACGTAGCCCCTGTATACGCAGTGACGTAAGAGCCAGCACGACAATGACTCCTGCCAGTGCATCATCATCAAAAGAGAGAGGGGGAGAGGGACTCTGTTTGCGTTGATGGTTGTTTCGACCCTCGTAAAGAGCGGTCGTATACCTGCTTTATATACGTCGCGCAGCGCTACGGTCTCCAGCCTCTCGTGATCGCTCACACCGTAAAATGCGACCCAACTTTACGAGCACACTTTCGTGGTCTTGTTTTTTTCTTTTTCTTTCTTTTTTCACTTGGCGGTATACGCAAAACAACAGCGCCTACATTGACAAATCCAGCTGGTGTGCGCGTGACATTCGAAATAATAATACACTCATGAATCCGGTACATCGGATTTCATGTGGGGTAGGTGTGTATCAATACGGTGGGGCGGACGTCGGAATTTGCGAAAAAAAATGTGAAGGAGGGGCGGGGAAGGATCAAAGGACGAGCCGAGCGAGGGAGTGGCCGGGGGTGGTTAAGGGCCTCCAGTAAGTCGGGGGTGTCTCGAAAACCCGCGTCGCCACGCCGTTCGGGGGTTCAGATTTCCCCCCCGTCCGAGCTTTGAAAAATTGTGTCGGCCGCTGTATTATACGCGCGATATGCATAATGTGAGCCGTGCGTATTATGTACTCGGGGCTGGTATACGCTCGTGAATGGGTATAGCTGCTCGGCGGAAAAAAAAGAAAGGAGACGAGGCTTGTGCGTGTGCGTACAAGAGCCCGTAAACGGAGGGATAAGTGACAAGAGTAGCTTATTGTTCGACGCCCACATTGTGTCTGCTGTCAAGGCCAATGGAATTTCGAGGTTGGAGTTATTGAGCTCGACTCTCGGGTGACTAAAGAAAAACAAAAGGCCAACATAGGGGGGGGGGGGAAAGCGCTCGCAAAGATATTGCTCAAGTTTGTTGGAAAATTGAAAAGTCGAGAGAGAGAGAGAGAGCCACCCTCTCCGGATGATGGAGGGAAAGTATGTATAATCGACCTGTCGGGTACGCGCGCTCTCGCGTGAGCCTCTGAAAAATCCGTTTGGGCGTAAAATATGCAAAGTTGGCCAAAGTGAAAGTCGATGCCGTGAGGAGCGTATCATCGTTTGCGTTGCTGCCCCCAGCTTGAGCTCGTGTGGAATTTATTGTCTCCGGACCAATAGTAGAGCTTTTTTTTTCGGGAAACTTGATTTGTTTGCCTCGAGCGAGTGATGGGAGGACAAATAATCGTTGAGTTATTAGAAAGTGCCGAGTACGACGAATCGAAAGACGAGGGCCTATACGAGGTTTCTGCGATCCAGTTTACACTTTTTTTTTTTTTTTTTTCTTCACAAATTCTTGAAAAAGTTGACTCGGACAGGATGCAGAGTAATCGTTCGGTGCGTCCACCCGAATGTACCAGCCAGTCAGCATATGACTATTGTCCATTATTCCCGCTGTAGGAGGGTACATGTACAAATCACTGGAGGTCAAAATACCCATGATCGTAAAAACACACCAACGTTTCTTTTACTTTAAGTAAACGGCCAATTTGGTAAAATGCAATTTCTCATTTCGCAAGCAAGAAAAAAAAAAAAAAAAAAAAAAGGACCCACGAGGGGGATAATGCAGAGTTAAACGATGAACCACGAAAACTTGGCTGAAGCATAAATTTCACGATCGAAGCGGTGGGTCTGAAGAAAAAAAAATAGCCATCTCTCGTTCCGTCAGATGCACGAGGACGGCATGGCCAAAGTACACCCCAACAGGCTCAGCCATTATTCGTTGACAGCAGTCGTCAACGGCAGAGACCACGTGCGGCCTGGCTCTTCTTTGGCAGAGACCGCGACCGCTGACGAACCCATACCGCTGTATACTTTAACAACACACACGCTCGTCCGGTAGAGTGATAAAGCCGTAGACCCTTCCACTGATGCCTCGTGTCGCGCGCTACTCATGCAGCTACACGAGTTGGAAAATATTCTTTTTTTTTTTTTTTTTTTTTTCCAATTAAGTAAAAAGAGCAACTCATCTCTGTGCTTATAACTTACCCATTATACTCAACACTCGAATCGACACAACTACCCGGGGGTGCAATTCAAATACATGCTCCTAGTAAAGGTTGCACGGGACGTTATAAGTACACGGGTGAAATATCCATTGGGCTATTCCGAGCTTTCGTATCGAGGGATGGGGGTCGAAAAAAAAAAGAATAAAGGAAAACGGGTGAGTTGGGCTGGAAAGTGTTAAAAGGCGAGGGACGGACCTTGTACGTGTATACACACGTGCAGTGTTCGATTACGGAGCAGAGCGCGGCTCAATATAAGATGCATCTCGCCGGTAGATTGAGCACGAGTTACACCACCACCAGTATATCATACTACCATCGTTGCTTGTTGGTTTATGCTAATCAATAGGCGCGTGCACCCTTTCAACAGGAGTTGCTCGAACATATTTTAGCTGGTGTTTATATTATTCATTTTTTTTTGTTTTTTTTTTTTTTGATACCCCGAGTATAAGAATGACGGGATATACATATACGTATACCTATACAGAAGGGGCTCTTTCCGTGTGCTTCGCACGTTTCTTCGGCTCTTCTTCTTTTACTCTTTGCCGCCGTCGTTGGCCTATCGATTAAGCCACTTCTCTCTCTCTCGGCTTGCCATCAACCTTTTTTCCTCCTCCACCTTAGCCTGCACCTCTACTTTTTCCACCTCCGTCTCTATACGGTGTGTATATACATACATACATATACATATATACACATAGTCTCGCGAGACGGCTTACTTACCTGCTTGATGCTCTCACATCCGTTTAGCTGTAACGTCGTTACTTATGCTCGCTTACTCGCCCTCGTTTCGCTTAAAAGAGCGTTAAAGTGCTTACCCTCCCCTGCACCCTTAAACCATACGGCGGCGGACAAACACACAGTTTTAAAAACGAAAACTTGCACCCCCAAGCAGGTACATAATGTAATATATGAGGCACCGCCAAGGTTACCCACGACAACAACGAGCCCGATGGCGTCAATATATTCCCATTATATGTGATTGTCGATCCCGCAGGGAAATCAAAAGGAGCCCGTGCGCTATCGCGCGGGAGATTTGTCGGCGCTTGTCCACACAATACATGGTACACTCGTTCCTCCCTCCACGTTGTACATCTATAATACACACACATATATATATATATGTATATGTATATGCATGTGGTTGGCATCGGTGGTTAAATGCGCAGGGGTGGACAAGGCGTACGATGCTCGAGGATGGTAAGACGGCGGCGGAGACGGACGGTAGCGAGGGCAGCGGCGGCGAAGGTGGCGACGGCGAGGGCAATGAAAACACAAACAACACCAAGCACAGCAACAAGGAGGAGACGGAGAGGAGGGGGACTCGGAGGCCGGCTGGTCTAGCAGGGGCGGCCGGTTTGCTGCTGACGATAGCGGCCTGCCTCGGCTTGCCCCTCGTAGCCGCCAACCCGGACGCCAAGCGCCTCTACGACGATCTCCTCTCCAACTACAACCGGCTCATCAGGCCCGTCGGCAACAACAGTGACCGGCTCACCGTCAAAATGGGCCTCAGGCTCTCGCAGCTCATCGACATCGTAACTATACCTTTTATATATATATATATTATAATATATACACCTACGCGTATCATTATCCACTGCCGGATTACCTTCATTTGCGCCATCTCGCGGTCAAAATGCTTGAATAAATTAGGTCACCGGGACTACGTTTAAAAGCGCTGGATATATGTATATATATATATATTATCTAGGTCTATCAAAACGGAGAGAGTGGTAAAAATGACGTTTACCGATCACGTAACCTTCATACTAAATTTTTCACCGATTCGGAGGGACACCCATTCCCATGGTCTACACATACGTTATATTATATACACCGACTTATTGGTCCAAGATTGATGACGCGAGAGCCACTTTATTCGGATACATCGGTGTTTGTACTCCACCCCACCCCCTCCTTTCTCCGTAGCGTGTAACAATCGCCACCGTACAATGTACCAAAGAACCGACTTTCCTTCTCCCCCCCTCCTCCTCTAGCCCCACAGCCAGCCGACTCGCCTTTATTTATTTCCTCTCCACCACCCCAGTTTCTTTCATTTTCATCCCTCTGACGCCTCACTCGCCACTATAACATGCCCCACTATATATATTTATTGCATATCTATACCGCGCGGGAGCCTGGAAAAATTTATCACGACGAATCTCTCTTCGTCCGTATACGTGTGATATACCGGCTCCCTTTTCCTCATTACCGATATATTCTATACCACGGTATTATCAATGAGAGGGTCGTCCCTATGTATCATAAACATTTATAGGTACATACGCCGGATGCGTGGGTACGTTTATCTTTGTTATACTATTATTATTGTTATTCTTTTTTTTTTCTTCTTCTTCTTCTTTTTGCAGAACCTGAAGAATCAGATCATGACTACCAACGTTTGGGTCGAGCAGGTAAGCTGTACTTTTTTTTTTTTTACCTCTGTATCGTAAAATGTGTATAATCTATACGTCGACCATCCGAAATTATATATATGGGTATGAATATACACCTACGAAAATTGTAACGAGTTGAATCGTGTTTACGCGCGTAAATGTATTTATGAAAATTGGGAAGCCGAGTATAATGCTAATATTACACACGAAGTTTCGAATCGCAGAGTTGAACGTTTTTGTATGGGCAATAGAGCGCGCTTGATGATGCCGGTTTAGCGAGACTTGATTCGCAAAATTGACCTTTTCAACTTTGGCAAGCTACCAACGGTTCGTTTATTTTTCGGGTCGAGACGAGGCAGCGGTATATACACGTACATATACATATATGTAAATAAAGGGGGGGTGGTGGGGCCCAACGAGAACTGCAGCGGTGGGCTTAATTAATATTGAAAATATTCACCGAAGCTCTTTCATATACGTTTCGAACATTCAGTCGTTTTGATTTATATTTGAAATTTTTTTTCCTTTTTGTTTCGAGCAGGAGTGGAACGATTACAAGCTCAAGTGGAACCCCGACGATTACGGGGGCGTCGACACCCTTCACGTTCCATCCGAGCACATCTGGCTGCCCGACATCGTGCTCTACAACAAGTAAGTGTGTATACACGCGACACCTATATATAAGGACTGAAAAAAAAATCATGAGGCCGGGCTAGAGAGAGTATAGAGCCCACGAATGTAGGGAGGCTTATCGTGCCGAAAGTGCCGGAACAAGAGGATGGCAGAGGGCAGGGAGTGTAAGGAGGTGAAAGGGTCGCAGGGGCAATAGGTCATAGGTAGCTGGGAGCTGTGCAAGCGAGTTTAGCTCTCTTATCTCGCCCGCGCGCGCGCAAGCCCATTAGAGCCATGCAGTTTTCTAAGGAGCAACGAGCAGCTTTTGCTTTTTCGCGATCCCTCTCCTCGAGGCGCAGGCTTACATATGTATACATATACTCGTGCATATACATGCAGCTCGTTAAGCTGCACCTCGCCTCTTTTCTCCGCCACTTGGCACTCCCAATGCTGCCAATCAAACGGGCCCGGACTAGTTGCGTCCCTCCCACCCCCTTTGGATACCCATCCTATCTCGCTTTTTTTTTCTCTCCGATGATGATGGAAACAAATTTTAAAAAACAGTCCAAACGCGAGTAGAAAAAAAAAAAAAAAAAAAAAAAAAAAGGGGGGGCATTTTTTAAAAAAAAAAAAAAAAACACTTTTGTTATTTCTTTCGCTTCTCTATGCTCAGNTTCTCGTATCATTATAAAATAATGACGAATATAAACAGGATCCAAAAAAAAAAAAAAAAAAAAAAAGAAAAGGGGGGTCCAAACTGATCTCGCGCCTGATGATGATTTACCGTAGCGCCGACGGCAACTACGAAGTCACGATCATGACCAAGGCGATACTGCACCACACGGGCAAGGTCGTGTGGAAGCCGCCGGCCATCTACAAGTCGTTTTGCGAGATAGACGTCGAGTACTTTCCCTTCGACCAGCAGACCTGCTTCATGAAGTTCGGCTCGTGGACCTACGACGGCTACACGGCAAGTGTCCCCCTCTTTTAATCACCATTACAGCTGTGGATGAAAAAGTAATATTGGGTCGACGATGGGCTGTACAGGTGGACCTGAGGCATCTGCTCCAGTCGGAGGACTCGAACGAGATAGACGTGGGCATCGACCTGACCGACTACTACATCTCGGTCGAGTGGGACATACTGCGGGTGCCGGCGGTGCGCAACGAAAAGTTCTACATATGCTGCGAGGAGCCCTACCCGGACATCATGTTCTACATAACGTTGCGCCGCAAGACCCTCTTCTACACGGTCAACCTCATCATCCCCTGCATCGGCATCTCTTTCCTCTCGATCCTCGTGTTCTACCTGCCCTCGCACAGCGGCGAGAAGGTCTCCCTATCCATCTCGATCCTTCTCTCGCTGACCGTGTTCTTCCTCCTCCTCGTCGAGATCATACCCTCGACCTCCATCACCGTGCCCCTCCTCGGCAAGTACCTCCTCTTCACGATGGTCCTCGTCACGCTGTCCGTCGTCGTGACCATAGCCGTGCTCAACGTGAACTTCCGCTCGCCGGTCACCCACCGCATGGCCCCCTGGGTACGCCTCGTCTTCATCGAGATGCTGCCCAAGCTCCTCATGATCGAGAGACCGGCGAGGGACGACGACGATTCGGCCAACCCCGAGGGCCACCCGAGCCAGGGTCCCGGTCACCTGGGCCCAGGCGCCGACGAGGACGACGACGACGATGGGCTGGACGATCTCGAGGAGGACGAGGAGCCCGTGCAGGCGATGGAGAACGGGGACGTGCGGGGCGAGCTGGAGGCGGGGGGTCCGAAGCACCACCCCGAGCACGCGGTCTTCCACGTGCAGGAGCGCTCGCCCAAGTACCAGCCGGGCTACTGCAACAGCTCGATGGCCGGGGCGAGGTTCGCCGAGTACGAGTTGGCCTACCAGGTGCCGGGGCTGCCGTTTGGCGTCGGGCTCGAGGAGTCGGGGCTGCCACCGCTGCCGGGGCCCGAGGACGAGAGGCTCTTTGGGCTGGCCGTGGTCGGGCACCCGGGGGGTGTGGTCGTCGACGAGTTGCAGGTCAGCCCGAGCTTCGAGTGCAAGCCCGTCAACCGGGAGGTCGAGCGCACCATGGAGGACGCGAGGTTCATTGCCCAGCACGCCAAGAACGAGGACAAGTTTGGCAGCGTGAGTAATACAATTACAGTACAATCATATATACATATATACATATATATATGTAGTTTAGTGCTAATGCGTGTGGCTTATTTTTTAAATCATCAACGAGCCGTGCCTCCCCCCCCCCCCCCGATCGAATAGTACGGGAGTGGTGGGTAAGTAGGTAGGTAGGTATTACGTCCGTCCGGGGGAAACGCACTGCGGCAGAACTTGGTTTTTCTTGCCAAGCTCGTGCACCCCCGAGCCAATCGAGCCGGCTTGTGTGCGGGCGTACGTGCGGCTACGATCTATCGCGTGCCGAATCGAGAAACGCGAAAAAAGAACGAAAGGGAGGAACAAAAATTCGCACATCTGCTCTCTTTCTTTTAAGTTCGAATATCCGACTTGTAACGTTTGCGCGAGATTTTACACGAAAATCAGCCAGCTGACAATCCTTAAAAATTGGAAAAAATCTTTACTTTCCTTTTTTGTTCTCATTTGCGAGGCACACCTTCGGGATAAATAATTTTTTTCCCTCGAATTCCTCCAGAAATGTTTGCAACAGAAAATTAATGGGTTGAGACGATTTTCAAGCCACTTTGAGTTTCATAAGTCTTTTTTCGACTTTTTGGATGGTAAAAGTAATTTTTGGCATCGGTGCAACATCCTTGTCAACAAGCAAAGGGTTAAAGTTTTTTGGGGGTTAAACATTTTTAGAGAGCCAATGCAAAGAATGCAAGTTCCCAAAAGAAATTTTTTACTTAGAGGAAGTCGAAGAAACTAAAAAAATAATAACTTCTAAACCAAGTTCAAAAAGTTCAATTTAACCGACGAGTCGTGATCGCAGTAAGAAAAAAAAAAAAAATAAATAATCTAGAGAATGATAGGCCAATTTATGAAAAAACTAATGTCAAAAGAACACAATTTTTGGAGAAATATAATTAAACATATTAATTATATATATCATTAAATATTACAGAAAAACATATTTAGCAGTTGTGATTATGGTACATCAACTATTATCCGTTTGTTGACAAGTGTGAAGGTTTAGAACTTCAAAGTACGAATTTTAATCAATATGCTACTTGAATATCACTATCGTCAGTTTGGTATTTACTCTCTCTCTCTCTCACTTTTTTAGTACACAAAAATATTTTAGCATTATGAAAACGTTGGAGCAGTTTTTTAATAAGTGTCGAGACAATCCAACTTTTCTGACAAATACTATATAAACTAATCGAACTTGTCATATTTGCATATTCTTTTTCTTTCATAATAACGATCGCATTTAACATTCCACGGCGTATATTCTTAAATTTTAAAAACTCTTTCTTTTTATTTTTGCAAAGTTGCAATCATATTATATTATATACAAATAATAAAAGAATACTATTTTTTTACATGATATTTTAAAATAAGAAGAGTTTTTTCCCGTAAAATGTTGCATATTGTGTAGAAGTTAAACGATTGTACCCAAGTGCAAAATGCATGATAAACGAAAATTAAAACGTAAAGTATCGAAAAAGATAAATAATGCTGAATAATAACGAATTTCTTTAAACTACCAAGGACATGCGAGGGAAAAAAAATTTTTGTCCAAAAAAGAAAGCCTAAAAAAAGTGTTTTCCCAAATTCCTCCCGATTTGCCTACGTTCTCTTGTCCATCAAAATCGTTGGATGGCAACGCAATGAAAACAAGAGCGAAACTTTGAAGCCAAAGCGCGTAAACAAACAGACGCTACACGCGTACATGCATGGGCGTGCACTTACCGTAACAAGGGGCGTCGCTGGTGCTTTCAGGTGGAGGAGGACTGGAAGTACGTGGCGATGGTGATAGACAGGATTTTCCTGTGGCTGTTCGGGATAGCCTGCATCGTGGGCACGCTCCTCATAATCTTCCAAGCGCCGAGTCTGTACGACACGACGAAACCGATAGACATAATGTACAGCAAGATAGCGAAGAAAAAACTGATGCTCCTCAACATGGCCAAGGAGGAGGACTAGCTGCGAGCCTCGCCAGCCGATGAGTTACTTTGGATCGGCATCGTGCGTTTGGCTGTCTCGTCGATGGCCTCGCCATCATCATTGTCCCATCGATAACCAGCAGCAACAAAGGAGGAACGGCTATACATATACACAATAGGAGAATAAAAGTGCCAAATAACGCGGCAGATCGCGTAGCGTATTTTTATAAATCTGCTTTCATACGTAATATAATATATACATTAGTGTCGTTGTTGACTCGTGGCGTCGTCATCGTCGTCGTTGTCGTCACATACATACATATATATATAATAACTCATCGTCGTCGCCGTGATGATTAACGACATTGAATATTGCGATCAAGTGCACGTAATAATGGATGACGAGGATGAGACGTAATAGCCACAATATATATATATATATATATATATATACACAAACATACACATACACTATGGGTGTGTACAAAAATTCTAAAACAGCTATGAAAGTATTCCAAAGAAGCTTACAATGCTTTTGTGAGAGAACAATAAGAAATTCAATAATCGCCATCATTGTTGTCTTCACTCTTGCACAATACACTAGCATTACAAATAAAATCAAACCGTATTGTTGATAACAAAAGAGTTAATACTAATTATTATAATCGCAGTAATAATAGGACAGCATACAATTCGTCGCAGTAATAATGATAAAACACAATACCTACAACCCGCCAGCTTTCTATAACATCAGGAATAGTGGGNAATAATAATAATAATAATAATAATACGCATGCATATATCGATGCACATTTAAAACACGCACGCACACATACACAACAATTATACGAACGTTAATGAAAATAAACAGTGTTGCACTTCCGCGCGATAGCACAATTTTCACAATAACGAGTGTATGCGTATATGATATCGAACAATACACTACTACGCGTACATTGAGTATATATGTATATGAGTGTACATATTGCCGATACGAGAGTCGAGGTACGTAAAACAATATTAATAATAAAAATAAAAAAAAGGGCGCAAATGACGAAGGAGCGAGAGAGAAATGGAAAAAAAGTGACGGAATCAAAAGTAGTTTTAATTATGTGTTATTCCGCTGTTCTTGTCACAATTATTATAACAAAATCTCACTTGCAGCTCATTTCGTTATAGCTATAGGTAATAACAGGGGGATGTCAGACCGGTCAGGTTTAACGAGAAAAAAAAAAATGTTCATGTGCCAAAAAAGTTACTTTTAATGTTTTTAATCCTCGCTCGAGATAGCCATAGGTAGCTCGGTAAAAATTACCTAAAGATATACAAAAAAAAAAAAAAAAAAAAAAAANAGGGGGATGTCAGACCGGTCAGGTTTAACGAGAAAAAAAAAAATGTTCATGTGCCAAAAAAGTTACTTTTAATGTTTTTAATCCTCGCTCGAGATAGCCATAGGTAGCTCGGTAAAAATTACCTAAAGATATACAAAAAAAAAAAAAAAAAGAAAGAAATCCCTTTTAGGTTGGTATTAAAATCGCCACCGGAGCGAAATGAAACGATACTTTGCAGCGCTCAGGTACGTAGTGTATCGAGTCGCAGCCGTTGGAATTTTTGACAAAGGAAAGAAAAAAAAAACACGGTTCACGGAACGTCTATTCCAGTCGAGATCGGACGAAAGTGAGTGGGTATACACATATATAAGTACATCTACAAGCACAAGGTACAAAAGAGGAGGGACAGCCCCGAGATATCGGCGCATCGGATAAGAAGAGTTTGCAAGTTGTCCGATCGGCAGAAAAGTGGCCAGCCCGAGCTTTGCACAAGAGGGACGAAAGCTCCATTCGGCCTGGCAAGGAGAACAAGTGTGCCTCCGTTTCCCAAGAACACCCGAGCACGCAGAGTGGATCGAGGGATGATGTTACGATGGAGGAAAAGGTGAGTTGTTTAAGCTCCAGCAGCTACTTACACGTATACTCTTCTTCATGTATGTGAATGGGGGGGGGAGGGGGAGGAAAAAAGAATAAATAAAAAATATGACAGGCGAAAATAAAGGGGAGGACCGATTTGGCAGAGGGTAACTAAAAAGGGGGGGGGGAACGACATGGGGGTAGGGAAGAAGAACTGCTCAGTTGGCACGAACTCGAAGCTATACCCATCACGTGGCGACTTTTCAGCTGGAACGGTTCAGCAGTGGTTCAGTGCTACAAGTACAGCTTCTGTACCGCATGTGTGTGTGTGTGTGGAGAGGAGGCAACAGTAGCAGCAGTAGCAGAGTTTCTAGTCGATCGATAACGGTATAGCAGTAGCAGCCTTCCTGCTTCCATTTCCTCAACTTACACTTCTTCTCTCTTTTCGCTGTACAGCGCGACGCGCGACGCTAACGGTGGCACGCACTCCAGCAGAAAAGCTCGTCGCGGCGCCAACAAGACGAGTACAGCTGTACAGCTATACATACATATGTATACGTGCGTTATATCTTTTTTTATTTATTTTTTTTTTCTCACGCGGGCGGTGTGTATTTGTCGTATATATAATTATATACGCGTTGCACACGAGCTGTAGCGCTATACTGCAGAAGCAGCAGCAAAACTATCCCCCCGTGCTATCGCTGTCACGACTCAGCTTTCGCCGTTGCTGCTTCTGTTTCTTTTTCTCAATTTTTATATCTACGAGTACCCTCGCTCATTTTATGTTTTGCCACATGTCCAGCTAGCAACAGCAGCAGCTCCAAGTCTCTTGTTTCGTCTTCCATCTCACTTCCGTTTTGCCAAGTTTTTTTTTTTTGTTTTTTTTTTGTTTCTGTTTCGTTTTGTCCTCGCGTCCTTTTAGTCCCGTATGAGCTTGCGATTACTAACTTGACGCTTCTTCTTCGTTTGTGACATCATACGAATGTAGTCGTCACTCGCTCACGGTGGCTTCCGACAAATGAATACACTCACGTTGTGCCAAAGTATAATTACATCGTCTTTAGTCGTTTATTACAAAGTTTATGGTAAAATTAACAATATTACTGAGATCACATTATCCCTCTTTTGTTTTTTTTTTACAACTTGTGAACGCCTTGATACTAGTGATCGAGGAAAAATTACTCGCAACACGTATGTATACCTATTTAAAAATGTGTGATCAAACAATAATTACGGCACGATGATGCGGGGAAATAAATGAGACATTCAAAAATATTTTGAGGATTACGATGTACAAAAGTTGAAACCTTTTGATTAATTGTTGCGACAAAGTTCACAGCAAGATTTTATCATCACAATATACCGTATAAAAAATGTCTCGGATGTACTTTTTAACCACATTGCAATTGTCGTTAAATGTATATATAAATACAATAACACGATTTCTTGATCTCGAATACGTTCAGCACTTACTTAACATTGTAATCATTGTTGTCGAGAATAAAAGTACCTTCGTCGTCAGAAGTGAAGAATAAAACAATATAAGTATATAATTATTATCAAGTAATGATTGTCGGTTAAATTACTTGAAAGCCATCGAATGGAAAAATAAATCCAAACCAATCCATGCGTCTTCCCGTACGATAAGTATTTTCCATTTTTCGTACGTATAAACTCACTTGTACGAAGAAGGTCATTTATACTATATCTTTTCACGTCTGATTCAACTCGACATGTAAGTTGGAATACATTTATCTGATTTACCAGAAAAAAAATAACAACAATAATACGCAACAACGGAAACAAGTAGCTAATAAATTGTGCAAACTATCCGAACGAAATATTGTTCTTTTAATATCTCAAGAAAATAAATGTATAAAGTTTTATCAAAGTCGATCGATTAACCTGCAGAGCTTGTCGCGGTCAACTTAGCATCGCATTACGGGCTAACCTAACGTCAATTTGTCATTGTAATTGATATTGGTAAGATAAATTGAATCATTGTGGTTGTGGTTTTTTTTTTTTTTTTTTTCCTTACGAAACAAACAAAAAGTAAAATAACACCATATAAATTTTCGTAGTATTGTCTGGTGACGCATTCAAAAACGAGCCGGTCTTCTTGTCCTGTCTAGAAGTGAGACCATTTGCTATAAAGTTGAATGTTTGCTGCTCTCATGGTTAAAAGTTTGTTTATTTATTCACGGAAAGCAGACGCAAAAGCAATAAAGCACGGGAGTTTAAATATTCAACGAGTACCGAGAGATTCGTTGCAATTTTCAGTATCGAATGCCAAATGAGAAAATTCCTTTGAAGGCCCTGTCGACATCGATACGCACGGATTTTATACGCGTAAGCGAAATTTTTGGATTCCGAATGTATACACAAATGTGCAGCCTCCTGCCACAGCCATAGCAGTATTTGCACAGTTTTAGCTTTTATCAAGCGACAAATGACAAAGTGACCGTCCATTAAGAGATACGCGAGTAAATAGAACAAATTAACCCAAGACTTGTTCGTGAATAATAACTTAAAAAGAGCTTACAGAGATTTTTCGGAAAATCACCACGAGCTCGTCTCTCACAGTTGTAGCTCTTGAGAAAAGTAATAATATTTCCTACACGTAGTTATACATGTGCACATATAAGTATTGTAATAGAAACAACAATCAGAACAATGAGACTATACAAAACGAGAAATATATTATATATGATGGCATATGTTAATAACAATGACAAGGTAATTTCGCAGCTTGTTTTTAAGATCACCAATGAATACCTATGTGGCTGCTCGAATTAATGGCACAAGTATGTATTGTGCAGTACCTACTGCCAGTACAGGTACCTCCAGTACAAATGCTGTCGCATTTAATCAATACCCATCAATGTCCACGAGACTCCCTGCTGGGACTAAATGCCTCGTTAATGAAAATTGTCGTGTTGTATACTTGACTCGAGTCATCGGTACAACTATTCAATTGCATTTTTCACAAAATCATTACGTCGATTAATACTTTTTGATACTACTGCTACTGCTGCTACCAGACTACTTTAGTTACTCTAATGAAAAAAAAAAAAAAAAAAGATTTAATTAGTATAAATCATGAAAGGCAACTATAGGGTACCCTCGAATTTTTGTATATAATTTTTGGCAAACTTTTCGCCATTTCTCTTTGCCTCTTTAAACATTTTTTTTCTATTTCTCTTAAGCTCCATACTAGCGTCACGTTTTGCGTTTTATATAAATTTGTCATGAAAATTTAATCAACTCAGGTAATTGAAATAACGTATGTGAAATACGGAGTTGTCGTTAATACTCATGCATTATATCACAATTGTGAACACTAAAGTTAAGACAATCAGACTCTTGTATTGCTCTAAACAGCGCGTGAGTCATTCATTAAATTTTAATCGGCTTTTTATATTACTCATTTCATCTGTCGATCAAATAATATTTGTACCCACGTACGTATTTTAATGAAATAAAAGTAGATCGTCATTAGAATTTTCGAATAAATTTTTCATCCATTTGTAAAAGTGAAAAAAATGTACCAATTCAGTAACATTTTCGTTAGATGGAAGAATTTTGAAAAATTTGGGTTGAGGAGCAATTCACTGGAAAAACAAAGTAATTCATTAATAATTAAATTTGCAATATCCACTACTGTTTATTTTTCAGCAAACAACATTTTTTATAGCTAATTTTTCTACAGAAATCTGGCAAGGAGAACAAGTGTGCCTCCGTTTCCCAAGAACACCCGAGCACGCAGAGTGGATCGAGGGATGATGTTACGATGGAGGAAAAGGTGAGTTGTTTAAGCTCCAGCAGCTACTTACACGTATACTCTTCTTCATGTATGTGAATGGGGGGGGGAGGNAAAAAAATGTTCATGTGCCAAAAAAGTTACTTTTAATGTTTTTAATCCTCGCTCGAGATAGCCATAGGTAGCTCGGTAAAAATTACCTAAAGATAAAAAAAAAAAAAAAAAAAAAAAAAAAAAAAAAAACATACCTAAAAAGTATTACATTAATCGAAGAAAAATTTGTACTGGAGTAAGTAAAGTCAATGATATAAAATTATGTAGAGAACAAAGGAAAAATTAAAATAACGTAATAACAACCAAAATAGTGAAAATTAAGTAAAAATAGCCTTATCGTCTGTACTATTTCATTGCATTTTTAAATTGCGGAGTAAAAGTGTAAAATATTCGTATAAAAAGCAGGGTATAAGCAGTTGAATATTCATTGGTGCGTTATGTCTTCTGTTACGATAAAAAAAAATCTAGTGTTGCCAAATTTTCTAAATTATTATTATGATTACTATTATTATTATTGTTGATACTTTAGCCGATTATCCTACTGTCCATTGATTAGCTGATTCGTCATTGTGGAGTAAATTAGCAAAAAAATCTCTGGTGCGGCTAAATTTATTTTCCATGTAATATTGTCCTGATACCACGAAAAAATAAGTAATCAAATTGCCAAGAACGTAGCTGAAGACGCCTTAGTGAGACTTCAGTGTAGAAGTAACTGCCAAAAACTAACTGTGTGAGTGAGACAAGTGCATTTTCAACTCATGTTTGGGAGTTACTGAAGTACTCATCCTAGACGGCGCTAATTTTAATAAGTGACGTGTTTAATCGAGTCTTTGTAAGAAAATCGAGGTGTAATTTTCTTCATAAGAGCATTTCTAGGAAAATAAATTCTTAACAATAATAAAAATAATAACTGTAATAATGATAAAAATAATAGTAAGTTGTAACATCAATGGTGACAACAACAAAATTTGTCTGTTTGTAAGAAAGTTATCGCCAAACGAAGAAAGGAATCTCGAGAAAAAAAAGGTGCAGTTCTAGTCACTTGACATATACATGAGATGTGGAGCTTTTCGATACGTGATTCGTTAGTTTCGAAATGACGGTTTTAAAAAGCTGTATGGTAATGCGCTGATGATCAATTTCATGTGATAAAAAAAAAAAAAAAAAATGAAAAAATAAATTGAAATTATACATTTTCATGAAAAAAATAGGCTGACGACGATTCATGAATACTTAACACCACTGCATAGCCGTAATGTCGAATTTACATCTGTACTTGTATTATCATACACAAACATTCATACGTACCATACATGAATAAATTGTTATCATATATTCACCGGATTTTTAAAATACTTTTACTCTTTACTTCCGTGAAAACACTCGTGAATTGTAACGATCTTCCGTCTTTGAGAGGAGACAATGCCAAGTGATTTCGACATAGAGACAGCGACGAATTTCGCCGATAATCTACTTATGTGTGGAAAATAATAACACACATTACTGGTAATAATATTTATAATATAGTAATAAAATTCATAAAATATAAACAATGATAACCATGAAACCGTGCGACAGTGGAGATCAATTGTTGTTCATTGACATCGATCAAAAGAAATGTAATTAAGTGGAAAGAAGCCACAGGCCAAAGTGTTTTTTCACATATGGATGTATTATACGTCAAATAGATTATAAAACAGTGTACTCTCGACGGACGTGGATGTCAAATTTTTTTTCATCTGATGTTTCATAAAACCTCGATGAACAAGAATTTTGAAACTGCATATGCATACGGAGATGCAAAAATTTCGCTCGATACTCGCGCCGTCATCTCGTATACACACAAACACACTGATTCTTTGATGAATTGGAGTTAATTTTACAAAAAAAAAAAAATAAATAAAATAAGATAAAAAAAGATTTTCTACCGCAGTCGACGATTTTTACAGACTTTTGCCGATGTTTCGGGAGTTTTTATAAAATAAACCGTAATGAACGGACAATTGACCTGCATTACTAAAACAAATGTGTACGTATATGAACCCAGCCCGAGCGTCGAGCGACTGAATATTGGCATGTCGTTGAAGCGTTCGAAGTCCAGAGCGGAGACACGCGTAGGGATTATATTATACACGAGTCATTAAGTTGTTCGAAAAATGTAATTGGAAATGCACATAAATACCCACTCCCTAATATAAATATATATATATATACATACCTATAAATAAATTGTTATACATATGTAAATAGGGCGTAACGGAATGGAAAAAATGATGGAGAACACGAGTTAGGCATTGTATGAGATTCTTTATCGTATTATTCCTACACTATATGTTTGATGAGTCGAAACGCAAACGATTATCATTATATCGACGAATTGAAAATGATTATTGCGATTGTTGTGACATTATTATTGTCGTCAATAATAATAATAATAATAATAACAAGTAAGTGTGGGTGTTTTCATGCTGTAACGACGAAATTGTTGAAAATAAATAACAGAGACACTGGTATGAGAAAAGCCATAAAGCTAATAATATATCTGTAAAGATGAGGAGGAGAAAAAAAAATTACGGTAATAAAAAAAAAGGAAATACGAGAAAAAAAAGAACAACACTAACAACGAATAATAATTGAAAGAAATCACGCCTCTGTCGTATACTTGAAGCTCCATAATCTGATGGGAGTTGGTTTGTGTCTACAATTGAATCTACGAAAAATAATGAGATAGAAGGAGCTAAAATGTTGATCAAAGATTTTTTCGTGGTACACCTATACCAGAGTCTATAAATCATGTATTTTCAGGGTGGTCATTGTCTTCAACTTGGGTTCACCGATTGATTTTGCTAACAACTGAATAATACATTAAACGAGAGTTCACCAGTTGTATTCGAAGAAAAAAGTCTGATCGTTGTGCGACTCAAAAACGTGTGTTGCCGATCTCTCTATTTCACGATTTCTTGTAGATTCCGACTTATGTGAGAAGAGCGTATGATGTACTTGTGTGTGCGTGTGTGTGTAAATCAAGTGTGAATTTTTTTGGCTAGTAGCATAGCAAAGCTGCTACTTCTAGCCTTTCCGTGTCGCCAAAGACGATGTTGGCGTCATGCACTTTTTCTATTGCCGTTAGCCGGCGACACAAGTTAGACTCTTTTATTGTTATGATCATTATTATTATTATTATTATTAAAAAATATTATAACGATAGTCGTATGAATTTACATTTTCATAACTCATCCCCTTGTTCCCCGGGCTCCAGCATCTCGTGCGTAACGTATATAATCATTGACAATCGACAAGTCAACCCTCGGCCAATCAAACGTGTGTCCAAGACTTGTGTGTACTTACCGATCACTGCGGATGTATACTTATATATGTACCCGCCGCCGTGCCCTCTTGTATACTCTCTCCAACGACGTGATGTGTAACCGCACACGCGCGTCACCTCGAACGGGTGACGCCTTCCCCCACCCCTTTCCCCCCCAAGTAATGCGTAAGCTTGTATTCAGACCGGTGTGACGGCAAAGGGATGATATACATTACGCGATTGTTACATTTGTATGAATTTTTAACGGCTAACACTATAAAGGATAATGTTTGTATATGGTATTTTAGAGAGATAAAAAATAAATAAATAACAATTACGATAAAATATATATATAAATACAAGTAATGAAGAACGAGCGTAAAAGCGAGAGAAAGATACTTATAGAGATTGTTATGCATATACAGGAGCACGATGAGTCTTTTTGACACGGGCGACTAGTACGGTTCCCACGTTCCTCCACCTGACGAATTTTTCCTTTTAACGTTGTTAGCAAATACATATAGTATATACCATTTGTTTGTCCATCGCCACGTATTTTTCTTAACTATTATTATTATTATTATTATCATTACCAAAGAAGTTAATATTATTGAATTCGAAGAAGCTGTTTGAGANAAAAAAAAAAAAAAAAAAAAAAAAAAAAAAAAAAAAAAAAAAAAAGAAAGAAAGAAAACTTGTTACATTTGTATGATTACATTTTTTATTGGAATCGTCGACTTTTCCTCGATTGTATTGAGAAAAAAAAACGAAACGAAACGAAATAACAAATCAAGCGTTCTTCTAGCGCAAAACGGGAAAAAGTGTAAAAAAAAAAAAAAGCAAAAAACTGCGACGAATAGAATGAAACGCTATGTATAAATGAAAAAATAAATATAAACTAAATAAAGATAAAAATGAAAGAAAGGAAAAAAAAACAAAAAATGAAAAAAAAAAAAAATGAAAAAAAAAGCAAAAAACTAAAATACTCTAAAATATTATGTATGGATAAACCTAAAAGTAAAACTTATTTGTAAAGTAAACATCAGCAACATTCATTCAACTATCTACGTATGTAAAACAATGAAATAAACGAGGGGTTAAAATTATTGTTTGAAAAATAATAATAATAATTCCAGCGACTATTCATTTCGCTCCCTCGCCCTTTAGCCAACTACAAGGCACACACCGAGGAGATATCACCCTCATTGGGCGCACGAGGGCGGAGGGAAGTCACATTAACATTGGCCTGGGCGGACTCGACAATCACAGGTACTGAGCTACTTCATGATGAACCGCGCCAGCCTGGCCGTCAGCATCGCGTCTCCGATCCGGCCTCCTAGCGACGAACTTTCCACATTTCCGCTGTACCTGCCGAGAGCCATGTCGACGAGCGAGAAACCGCACTCGGGGAACGCCGTCGCGCAATCGCGCGTCTCTCCGTAAGCCCGGGCGTAAGCGTGATGGTCCTCCGGCTCGAAGGAGAACAACTCGTCCACCGGCAGTCTACGGAAATTCAATGCTCTGAAAAAATCCCATCGCCCCAACCCCGTGTGCACTACTTGCATCATGTACTCACGCGAATACCACCCTTATCATTTCTTCGACCAGAGTCTTGCCGCGCGGCATGAGGCGCCGAGAGGCCTCGCACAGCGCTCGCAGGACGCACCGTCTCCCGTCGAACCCCATCCTGAATGCACACCCCGTTTACACCTACTGCGATTTGGTATCGGTAAACGTATATTATATATGTATACTCACGCGTCTACAACGACCTCCAGCTTATTGTAGAGGTTTCTCCGGTAGCGCCTCTGCAGGTAGTAGTGATGCTCATCGGCATCCCCGTGATAAGCCGTTTTCCCAACCCCGTCCAGCTTGGATAAAGACGACCCGTAGTAGTTGGGTTGCCGGTTCCCGTGGTGATGGTCGTTTTCGCCGCCACCGGCCGGCGCGTGGTACTTGAGCTTCGTCCGGACGCGGTCGCGTCTCAGCTGGAGGAACGGGTCGAGCTCCGGTTTGCTCTCGTTGGGGAGGTCGTAGGAGATCCCCCAGTTGACGCCCTCCGTGAATATGTTGTCGGGGGTGAGGGTGTGGACGGTCAGGCACAGGGCGATCTGCGCGACTCGCGTTTTTTATTCGACGACGGGCATGCGGATTTCACGGGAGTTCGAGCGAGCGGTGCTTTGTTTGTTTACTTACGGAAAAACTCGATCCCTCGGGAAACACCACGTACCGCTTGCGTCTCGCTGGTGAGGAGGGTGGCCCTTCCGGGCTGGAATCCACCGACGAGACGATGAGCGAGCACAGCAGGACAAGAAGGACACTCGAGTGCATTTTTTTGTCGTGGCTGATTGCACTTTTTTTTCCTCCTTCAAAAAATCGTTTGCCGAACGAGCAAACGTTCTCTATGGACCCTCCGTTGGACGGACAATACGAGATTCGGGATGAAAGGCGACTCTGGCCTCTCTCTCTCTCTCTCTCCACCTCGTGTATTCGAGCTCGTCGAGGTGATAACGAGAGAAGAGACGGGGACGACGAACTCGGCGATTTGCCGGCTCGTGTTTAACCAGCTCGTTATCAGCGTTAGCGCGGGCACTGCGAACGTTACGCAACAACGGGACGACGCGTCGAAATTGCAATTCTCGCATACAGTAATTCTCGCTTTATTTAAAATTTTCCAAAGGACTTAAAAATACAAGCGACACAAGAGAGAACATTTGGTACATTACAACAACAAAAGAGACAGACAAAAAAATCATTCCTCGTCCAGGCCGAGCAACAGGTGCAAGATGGAGAACCGGCAATCGCGATACCTGGAGGCGCAGTCGTCGGCGCGCGCGGCAGCGTCGTAGACGTCGTGCTCGAGCCCAGCCAAGGGATAGCTGAAACCACAAGGCCGATTCGATTAAAAAACGGGGCTCCTACACACCCATTCACGTAATTGTATCGCGCACCTTACCTGAAGACGACTCTGATCAGATCTTCGACGAGGGAGACTCCCGGAGGATTGAGGACCGACTGGGCTTCGCAGATGGCGCGCAGTACGCACTGCTTACCCGGTACACCCTGGCTGGGGACGTGCACTTGTGTAAATGCTTGTAAAAAAAACTCTCAGCAAGCAAAGAAAGATAATGTCCGATTATGTATACCTGTCGAGGGCCAGGGCAAAGTTGGAGTAGAGCTCCCGCCGGTGGCGCCTGTGCCAGCCCGTAGGAGGAGGTCTCCGCATGGCATCGGGGCCCTTGGGGATCGGCCAGATCATGTCGAACTCGAGGTCGAGGTTCCAGTTGGCCGGCTCCTTCAGCTGGATGGCCTTGACGATCGACGTCGTCAGCTGCACACGCACACACGATTCATTAGCATCAACGTACCAATAGTCTACACGTAATGATAAGAACTTACGACAAAATTGGTGCCCTTGGGAAAGGTCAGGGATCTCTTTTTCCTGGCAGAGCTGCAGCCCGCGGGCTCGTCCCGGAATCGGTTCGTCGCGTTGCTCTCGGCGTGTCCCTCTCGGATGAGCCAGTCGAGGACCACGAGGACGAGGGACAAAAGCGCCGGCCAGCGCATGGCGCGACTGTGTATGGTGTACTCTAGTAGCTTCGACGCTCTTTGGCACCGTCGAGCGCTCTTTCGGGAGGACGGCGAGACCACCCCGGCCCGACTCGCTAATGAAAAAAGTAACAGCCTGGCTTCGCCGAATGATTCCTTTTTTTTTTTTTTTTTTTTTCATTTCACCGAGTCAAGGAGCGCAAGGAGGAAAAATAAAACGCACCGACGCGAGGCATAAAGTATTAGTTGAAATTTCATTTATTTGCTCTAAAATAACATGTGCGCACAGGGACTGGAGCGCGGCTCGCGGCAGAGGTCCGGCTTGGTGTACGCGGCGGCATACTCCACGTCGTCCGGCGAGCCAAACTCCTCGTCCAAAGGATAGCTAAAACAATAATAATAATAATGATAATGTAGATGGTGCATGGAGGTCAATGGCGCTGGACTCACGTGAATATCGAGTGGAGTATCTCGTCGAGAAAGGGAAGCTTGGCGGCGGTCGCGCGGCGGCTCCTCTCACCAGCCCGGCAGAGCGCCCACAGAACGCAGTCCCGGCCAAATTTCCGTTCCCCCTGCCTGCAAGGCAATTTTCAAAAAGATGAGGGGCATCATCGGTCGGGTATAGGATTATTTTTATGTGGCAACGAATCGAGTCTCACGTGTCGAGCATCCGTTCGATCTCGCGGTAGATGTCCCTCCTGGTCCTGCGGCCGTGGTACGGCGCGTCCGAGTACGTGGTCCTCCTGTAGGGGAGCTCGTACGCCACGCCTGCCGTCACCCCGAAGGTGAACAAGCCGTCCGATCTCGCGTAAGAAGCCACCGTCAGGCAGTACACCAACTGCCCGGAGACACATACACGAGGGTGACATACATAATATATACAGCACGGGATGCAAGGTCATGCGTATAGGCTTTATCGTAGGGGGCGGGGGAAAAAAAAAAAACTAGCTGACCTGAACGTTGCTGCCCTGGGGGAAGACGAGGTACTTTGCGTCGTCGTTGTCGATGCCTCTCGAGCTTACGGGTGAAACAGGATCGGTGGTTCTGTTGGCTGCAGTGCCGATGTTTAGGCAAGCAATAATCAGTAGAGCAGCGAGCTGTTGCGACTTTCGCTCCATGGTCGTGTACTGTATCGGTACGGTCACTCGATCTCTGTGTGTATACCTACTTACGACAATAATGATGGAGCGACCGAGGCTAGCTGCCCCCTATACGGTCTGACCAGCACCGCTACTTAACTGCAGTAAGTAACCACTTGACGCTTACTTTTGTCCGAATGCCTCTTGCCGCTAAACGCTATACAGTAAAAAGGGACGCCTATACCTATTCATGGGGACGAGCACTAATTTACAATGTTCCGATGTATACGATCCAATTTGCCTTTATTCGCCAACGCGTTAATAACCACATGAGTTTATGATGGTTCTACAATGATTCCATGATTTAGTGATGATAAAAAAAAAAAAAAAAATACAAATGTTTCTTTTACGGTATTTTTGTGTGCATCGAAACAATAATTATTACATGATACCGATTTAGTTGGCAATCGACACGTATGTACAGCGGATACGTCGATGCCATTAGAAATTCAAGTCGTAAATGGAGTATTTGCAGGTTGGATAGAGTTCCGTGCAGTTTCCATACGAGCCGTGAGCGTGGTCGTACTGCCGGTGTTCCTCGCTCTCGAAGCGCGTGCCGTCCTCTCGTATCCTGAGACATCAAAATCATTTAATACGCATGACTGATTGCACCTCGGCCGGTGTAATTGAATAGGCTCACGTGAAAATGGCGTGAAGCAGCTCGTGAAGAAAATCAGCCCTGCCGATCGAGGACGGGCTCCTCTGGCCGGCCTCGCAGAGAGCTTTCATCACGCAGGAGCGGCCGTCGAGGCCTAATCTGCCGAGCACCACCCGCGCAATGGTATAAAAAAAAAAAAAAAACAGCAAGTGTCAGATAAAAAGAGGGACGGAGAGAGAGAGAGAGAGAGAGTCGAAGTTGAGCTAAGGAGAGACTCACGACTGGAGGAAAGCCTCGATCTTCGGGTAGACGACGCTCCTGCTGCGCCTGTGGAGCTCGAGCGAGTCGACTTTCGCGGGCAGCTCCCAGGCGAGCGCGGCCGTCATACCCACCACCAGTTGCCCGGCCGGGCGGCCCTCGGAGCCGATCGTCAAGCAAAATACCACCTACAAGCACACACGTGGCACCCGTCAATTACCACATTCGTTACAAATATCGAGGTTAATGATTGATGATTTACCTGGACGTTGCTGCCCTGGGGAAAGATGAGGTACCTCTTCCTTCTGGTGGTAAGGGCTGCTCCCTCGTGGCTCGTGGCTTGGCAGGTGGGGCCCAAGAGGAAGTGGGAAAGAAGAGCGCAAACCAGGAGACCGATGACGACGTGCATGCTCCTCGGGACGAGTGACCATCTCGAAAGTGAGGAAAGACGATAGACGCTAGACGGGGGGGTATACGTATACGCAGTGAGGCAAAGAGGAGGAAAGGCCGTGGCTGTAATGTACTCGGTCCGGTGGTCGGTGTTTTATATGGAAAAGGTGCCCCTAACGGCTCTGCGCATTTTTTTACGGGCCCGTACGCGCGAGAGTCCCTCTTGCTGTATAACTCGCTCGGCAAACACACTCTCGGCTATAACATCGAGCGCGGGCGAGACAACTTTTTTTTCGACCTCTTTGTTTTTTTTTTCTCTCTCTCTCTCTCTCGTCTTTTTTTTTTATGATTTATTAATGCGAATTTTGTTAGGCTGATGCCACTGTATTAGCTCAGTCATTTTGTTCTTTTTTTTATAATATATACACTATGCCTCGGCGTTGTAGGACCTTGAGTCCATGGTTGACTAAATAAATTCAACTCAACTCTCGTCGCGCTTTACACTTCTCACTCTGGCGTTCGTTACCGCATGGTATGTACCCATTGTCATTATTTGTCGAGCAAATTCGCATGTACTTTTTACCTCTGGACCATCTCCTGTTTCTATACGTCTCCCTCTCCGTGTTTGGCTTGCGACAACTTTTCTTTTTCTACTTTATTTCTGTCTCTATATGGCCGAACCAGTGATTCATTTAGGGTGGAAAAAACTAGCAATTTGTACATGTGCGCTTGATAGGGTAATCGGGAGCGGTTGTCAAATGATACAGTACTCCTGAAGATTTGAAATTTAATTATCGTTTATTTCAATTTCCCAGGTATGGATACAACCGGTTCGAACGGAGTCGTCCAGCGATCAGCTTTTCGCAAAGAAATTCAATCCAACGAGGTGAAGCGGGCAGGCGTGGCTGTAGTTTTTGCACAGCGAAGGGTCCAGAGGGGCCGAACCGTTTTTACCATAAGAACTGGAACCAGATACAAAGGACAGCACAATAACGATATTTTCAACGCAAGAGAAACAAAAAAGAAAACGCTCACCTGGCCAGCAAGTCCAGCATTTTCTTGAACACCCCATCGCTCTCCCCGAGAGAGATAGTAGCCTGGCACAAACTCTTCAAAAGGCACGTGCTTCCGTTGAACTCGTAACTGTGCGAAAAATCAATTCAACAAATACATAATTGCTTATAGTTTGCGATATTTTTATGTCGTTCGGTGATACTGATTTTATGCTATTTTTCTTGCAAAAAATGTAAAATTCTGTTGAATGCCCTATCCATATTGAATTCACCTAATTCTTTGATACACTTCATTCATTCTTCTATTGATATTTATATTATACGCAGAATCGAACGCCGTACGTTTGACAGGCGTATGATACGAAAAATACTGAGCGTTTAACGAGTTCTTTGGCTTCTTAGGTAGTGGATTGTCGTAAGCGCAAGTAACTTTGAATTTGTAAAAGTTTGTGTGCATTTTGCACAAGTCAGGTATAGCATATTACATTGTATTTTCTCTGATATTTACAATAAGTGGTACGTTACGCGTTTAAATACCGAACACAAATCCAGCAATACATTATCGAGGCATATTTAAGTCTCTATTATCATTTGCTTACACGAAGTAAAAAATTCCAAGAAACATGTGTTATTATAAATATGTTGTAGCAATTGAATATTACCCATTGTGTAAAATACCAGGCGCGTCTCGAGCGGCATCGCCGATAGACACCGACCGTCGTTTCCGATACCTAGCCCCCGTCGGGAGTTCCCATGCGACTTTGAATCCACTTGCCTGCGTGAAAACCGTGGTGTGTGGTAGAGTGCTCACTTTGTAGTTGATTCGATACTGCATTGATTTCGTTGACACAAAGCTCGGGATTATCCTCGTCACGTGCCATTGTTTTATTTGTAATGATTATAACGTTTGAAATACACTTACGAAAAAAGTGCTACCCTTGCGAAAGGCAACGTATCTCTTGCGCCTGGTACCCGCCGACGCGCCCCGCCACGTTGCCTCAAATAGGAGGAAACCCAGCAGGAATAGGAGGACGAGGCGGCCACCAGCAGGAACCCTTGGGAGCATCCTTCGAAATTCGAGCTTCGATGCGAAATGCCGCCCGTTCCTGCTCCGCCAAATATCAGCCGTATATGTATAAGCCAACCAGTCGAGGCTTGTTGTCATCCCCCATTAGTATCGGATTAACGCCTCACATAATATATACACGACTGGCCCGAGGTCTCATTTTATTTCGGGACAAGTATAGATATAACGAATCCTCTCAGCGATTCTCGTCGCTCTTTCTCTTCATTCTTTTTCTTTCTCGTCTCGCCAATTTCATCTGACTCTCTTTCTCGATTTCCCTTCAATTTTTCAGCTCCGTGTAATTTTTGTACAGCCGTGCAACGTTTTCCATTGTTTGAACCACAGGAGGATGAGTCAAGGCGGATACAAAACAACACTCGATTCATTGTGACACAGTTATTTTTAATGGTCAATCAAACGATACAGTGATTTGGTGCAAGGGGCAAATGAAAATCGGCAAGTCAGTTGTTATCGGTGCCCTCGAAGACCCGAGTTATGTGATCCAGAAGGCCGAATCCAGCTGGGCAAGAGGCGTAGGTTGCGGAGCAGTCGCCGCCGGACCTGCCCACCCCCGCTGCCTCCGCGTACTCTCCATCGACGCCCGAATTGGCCCCGTAGTCGGGACTGCGCGTGTGATGGACAGAAAAAAAACCGTTGATTTAATGTAAAATAATAGAAAAAGTCAATGATTGTCAACTCACGTGAGCAGCACGTGGAGGATCTCGCCCACGAGGCTTTCGTCCTGGAAGGGCGACTCGGCGTACTCGCACATGCTCCGCTTGAGGCAGTCCCTGCCTGGACCCCCTTGTCTGACGATCATCAACACATTTTATGTATACTATGGTCCCAACGGTGGACTGCCGTTAAACAACAAATGTAAAAGGCACCGCCTAAACTCTATACGCATACCTGCGCACCTCTTCCTCGAGGAGCCGATAAAAGACGGACCGCTCCGCCAAGAGCGAGGTTTCGTCGCTCCGTCTGCGTCGACGCTGCGGCTTCTTTTGGGCAAAGTAGTCGCTGAAGAAAGTCGCGTTTTGGGGCAGCGGAAACTGAAACTGGAAGCCCTGGGAGTAGACAAAGATCCGGCCGGGCATGCTGATCGGCATCGAGACGCCCAGTACAAGCTGTGCGTGATGTGTATTTTTTTTTTTATGTCATTTTTTTTTTTTTTTTTTTGTCCTCACAATGTACCAACCTTGAACGTTCCTCCGAAGGGGTAAACCAGTGGTGGAGATGGAAGATCCCTTTTGCTCTCGAGTTGGGCGCGAGACTCGCTTAGAGTGCCGGTAGCTGGTGAATCGAGCAGGAGGGCGATCGACGCAAGTAGGAGCCAGAGCATCTTTCGTGTTTAAAATGAGGAAAAAACAAAAAAAAAAAACAAAAAAAAAACTAAGAACTTTCGTTCTATACGGATACTTTTTTTTGTGATCGAGCTGATTAGACAATTTTTTGAGCTCGGGAATACAGTACTCGAGTAGCCGCACTTGCTCGGTGGTCGCTGGTAATTTGAAAAAAGAAAAAACTCCGTCTTCCCGTTCGCCAGCTCCGCTGGGTATTCCAGTGATCGGCGCTAATCCCAAAATAAATATTCGCGCGCCGTTCGGTGTTTTCGAAATTTCGTGCACGTGCGCGCGTGCATTCACCTGCCCCCCCGCTGAACGGTCATTCTCGGCATTTTTTTTTAGATTTTTCCTTTGGCCATACTTAATAATACAACGATGACAATAATTAGAAAATCACAGTATTTTCCGTACATAAGACATTTCCAAGTTATCCAATCAATCAGGGAATCGATTGAATGAAAAAAGCCTTACTTGTGAAGTTAAATAAGATTTATTCGTCCAACAAAAAAATTAGCACTCCTTAAAAAAAAAAGGCAAAATATATTCTTTATAAAACATACTTAATCTCGGGAGTAAAAAAATAATATACAAAACTCGCAACGTGAGAGCTCAATCTTAAGTACAAAATGAAACATTCGGCGAACGATGGTAAAAATGGGCGACGTGTATAGTTCAGCCGAAAGCCGCAAGCTCGGTAATGTAGTCCAGGGGCGAGCTGACGCAATCTCTGTAGGCCGTAGAGCAGGTGCCCCCTTGGCTGCCCAGCCACTCGGCCTCCTCGTACAGCCTCGCCTCGTCGGTCCAGCCATGACCATTGCTCCCGTCCTCGGATGGCCTGCGAACATACACCGCGATTTGTTACGATTACGCTCGAAAGTTCGGTTCGTCGCGTGACTCACGTCAGAAGCAGATGGATGATCTCCTCGACGATGTCGGTGCCGGTTCGATCGATCGGCGTGTCGGCCAGCTCGCAGATCGTCCTCAGCAGGCACGACCTACCCTCCCTCCAGCCATACCTGTCCCAGAAAATTTTATCAACACCAAAATAGCACTCGGGGGTTATTTGGTACACCGTAAGTATATACCTCTCCAAGAGTCCCTCGATCGAGGCGTAAACGTGTGCCAAGCTCAGTTGCGTCGGATCGTCGGCGCGCGCGTGTATGACCATGGGCTCGAGTTGGCTCAGGTTCATCGGTAGAGCGTAGTTGAACTGAAACCCGACCGAAAAGACGATGCCACCCTTCTTGCTCATGACGATCGGCACCGAGACCCCTATGGTGAACTAACGATCGCAACGTAAAGACTTCAGATTTGCATGTATATGTATCAACCGCGAGTACTTATATATATTATTACATCGATGTTTGAGTGCAGAGAAAAATTGGAAATACCCAAAGTGGGGGAGTGCCGGAGGGTAGAGAAAAGAAGGATAATAAATGGGGCAAAGCTGGATCGCTGCGGGGGTTGCATTGGTATATACTTACCCCCTTATACGTATAGATGTTACGGTGATAATTAACAATAGGTCGGTTTACCTGAAAGACACTCGTTGGTTGCGGGAACAAGAGGACCGACTCGTTGGCAAAGGCTAGCCTCGGGCTGGCGAGGATCGGCGGCGACGGTAGCAACACAACGACCACGACAACGACGCAGAGACAGCGCAGCATCGCTCGGCAGCCAACCGACTACCTTACGCCGTGCGCCACTGCCCTGTACTTGCTCGTTATTCTTTTTTTTTTTTTTTTTTTTTTCTCTTTTTTTTATTTCTTTCATCTCTTCTCGCCGCCTCCCACTGCACTGCTCTCCGCTCAAAGCCAAATATTGGCTAGCCGGTCAATGGCCCTACCTGTTAATGCGTGCGAGTTTACACTATATGCGTGCTGTTTGCTACATCTGATGTCGCGCTGACTCGCTTGTTGCGTACTAATAAGTATACCTATACAACGCCAAAGTGTTATTGCCGTTTTCAATCTTTTACCCAACGATCGGTTTAATTCTTCAAACGAGTGGCTTCTCGATTACCGGACACGGGGGGTGAGAAGTGGAAACTGGAGGAGGAAATAATGTAAAAAAGGCCGGAGGTAAGCAGCGCGAGGATGATAATCGAGCAAATATGATCATCCGTATTCCTCGGTGTGAGTCTCGATCTTCTCCCTCGCTTCTATGCGTGTATATATATATATGCGGCAAACCTCGGCATCGAGACACGCAATAGGTATATGGGAGTCGCGCCGGGGAAAGGGAGGGAAGTGGAGAAATTTTCTCTCATTTCCTTTGAAATTTCCGGGCGCGGACCGACAGCCGGAAGCCAATCGGCCGGTCCGTGATTCGCCATCGATCTCCTCCTTACGACCCACCGCCGCCGTCTACCTACACACCGGTTTATTTAACCTCGTCGCCGATCGCTGTTTCCTTGAATTATCCCTGCCTCTGCAGTTTTTTACCCATCTCACCATGTTCGTTTTATTATTTTTCCGGAATAATCACTTTTAACTCAGTGGGCTGTTGTATTAAATGAAAAAAAAAAAAAAAAAAACAACAACAACTTGTTTCGATTTTTTTTTTTACCCCCGCAGTTCATTCGTGCGCATTGCAATGTGCTCCGGAGGAGAGAGAGGTTCAATCAACTCCACCTTCGTTATCACGATATGGCACTCGGAGCGAGAGCCATACGTGAAATAATACACGCTCTATTGACATCGTGGTCATATCCAGTGGAACTCATTACACGCACCTATACTTAACGCCCCCGACGTGGTCGTACTTTAATCGTAAGCGTGTACGAATGATTCGAGTGGCTCTCTGGTACACCCAACGCCTCGATCGCTAACGAAGCGCATGTATACCTACTTACCGGTCATAGGAGGCAGAGCCAAAAAGTCAAGTGATCGGCTCCTCTCGTACTCCTCCATACTTTTGCTTGAAGTGACGACAGCAAAGTACAATCTACGATACCTATCGGCTTTATTACCTATACTCTATACATATTATATACCGATAAAATAATCACAAATAACAAAAAGTTTGTACATGTATAGGTATACACATTTTATTATACAATCAAATGAAATGAAGAGCCGATCGCACACGATACACAGTGGCGAAGAGATGTTACAAGTGGTGTAAAAAAAAAATTAACGTCAGAGCGTCTGCTCGGGCGCGGTGAAGGCGTCGAGGAGGCTAACCGGGCAGTCGCGCTGGAAATTGTCCCGGCAGACGTCCGGCGATCCCCGGGCGCCCATCCGCTCGGCAACCTCGTACTCCCGGTCCTGCTGCTCCTCGTACGGCTCCGGCTCGCTACTCGAGGGCCTGCAATGGCCGATGCCTACATTAAAAGTACAGTAGTATAACGTGGGAACTGGAGGTGGTGGACACATTTACGAGAAAAAGAGCTGCAGGAGCTGCTGGAGGAGTCCGTGGGCGGGCTCGAAGGGCCCGGCGGCAGCCTCGCAGATGGCCCGCAACACGCAAGATCGGCCCCCGAGGTTGTACAGCTCGGCCAGGTGGCCCAGGTGCCGGTAGAGGCTCCAGCGGCTCGCCGGCTTGGAGTCTCGCTGGTGGTCCAGCTGGCTCGCGTTGGTCGGCAGGTTGTAGATCGCCTTTGCGAACGAGCCCAGGATCACGCTCTCGCGCTCCAACTGCAGCGGCGTGCCCAGGCCGAAGATCAACTGCGGCACGTGCATTGGAGTTATTTGCCGTATAGGTATACAAGGGGTAGGTATATAAGTTGTGTGTCGTGCAATCTTGGAGTATAGGTACTACTTAATTGTTTCCAAAAATCAATATTAAAATGGTATAAGCTCGAGTTGTGCGTATATATAATATTCATGTACATTGTACCTATACAAGAGTTAGCGTATATTATGATATGATTTTTTTTTTAAAAATAATTTGTGTATATTTTGCCAAAAGTGTCATACGTACGAGAAGTTGCGCGGGATTGGCGGCATTGGGGAATAGGAGAGACCGCTTTTGGGGACCAGAAAATTCCCTCGAAGCCACAGCGGAGTTGCCAAGGATAACGAGTCCTAAGAGCATCTTGATACTTCGAGTCATGGTGTCAAACTAACTGTTGTTCCATCACCTGTGGACGGACTCGCAAGCCGAGTTTGACCGGTTTCTTATTTTCTCTTCGGATTTTTGTTTTTGCTGCCGATTAGCACGCGCGGTCGATTATTTTTTGCGAATGAAAATATAAGTTCAGTGTAGACGTAGGCGCGCGTGTGCAATCGTCCTTGATTACTTGATCGGTTAACGATTACCGATTGCACATACAACAAAAAGATAAATAATTGATATGACACGGATGGAGTGCTTTAGTGTTCATTTTGTAACTTCATAAGGACACTACAAGTTAGTTTGTAAAATTGAAGAAAAAAAAAAAAAAATTAACAATACTACGTGTATTGCACATATATATCTGCTTCCACATTCTTTAAAGCTTGTATCAAGCAAACACTTAAGAAGACACTTTTTTTTTATTGGCCCCAGCAGCAGATGCATATTTATACTAGAGCTACAAAACGAAAGATTTTACATTGTTGTCGAACTGAGTTTGAAATGAAACCGTCTATGAATAAGCTACAGCTTACACATGTATCATGTGGCGGGATGAATTATGAGGGGACTGATAAGACAAAGAAAAAAAAGGCACAGGTCAAGTAGGTCACACATGTGCGTCGGGTAAGCATTGTATTTCATACAGTTATATTATTCGTCTCTTGAATAAATCATGATCCAGCATCTTCATCAATGAATCACGCTGAGATGCTCCAAAACACTCGTGCCGCAGTCCCCGAACGCGTGAGCGCAAGCGTCTGCTCTCCCTTGTCCCTCCACCCTCTGCCCACGACCAATCAATTCAGCCACCAGGTACTCCTGGTCCGTCGCCTCGACAAAGCTCTCTTCCGTACTGGATGGCCTGCTCCGAACGATCGATCGTTAAAAAAAGTAAAACGAAAATGATGAGGAAAAAAAAAAACGACTTGCGTCAGGAACACGTGAAGCAGCTGAGCAAAGAGGCCACTGGTGTTCAGGGGCGTCGAGGCTGCCTCGCAGATGGCCCTCAGGAGGCAGGCCTTCCCCTCGCCTCGAAACGCCGACTCGAGCAGCTTGTAAACTTCGTACCTGCTCGCGAGACTCCCGTCTGCACACCCTTTTGAAATACCCCTCACGCGTTTGACATAAAATGAAATGTATAAATATATTCTCCGAGTTACTCACCTTCCGTCGATCTCTGCTGGCGATCGTACGAGTTCTGGTCCGCAAAGTAATAGGACGCGTTGTAGGGCAGGTTGTAGTTGCTCTTCATCACGTAGCCGATTATCGTGCTCGCGGCGCCCTCCATCGGCAGACCGAGACCGAGAATCAGCTGGATGGTGGTTTTTTTTTTATTGCCAACCACGCAATAAATAATATACATGTACCTTTGCAAAGGAAAAAACCAATCAAACCTGAACTTTGGTGGGTGCACCGTCAGCCGGGGGTGGGTAAACCAGGTACTTTGGAGTTTCGGCCCCACCGCGCGCAACTGGTGCGAGCAGACTCAGCATCAGCCCGACGATCAGTCGCTGCATGGAGGTCGTTAGAGGGAACAAACTAATGTGCCACCTTTCGCGCTCCCTTACTGGCTATTATACTCGGCTATTACCAGAGAGCACGAGCTACTCATTAGGACTCATCCGCTGAGTCGGGATTATTAGCGGTTTTCTCGAGCGTTGCGTACCTCTAAAAGCTTTTTTCCTCACGTAAAATCACGATCAAGCGTTGCGCTGAACTTTGACTTTTTACATCCGTAATTCGTGGGTATAAAAAGAAAAAAAAAAGATGTTGTACTTGTAACGAGGAATCGCTCACGGAAGAGGCGAGCGTCTTCGTAGAATTTTCGGCTGTTACTTAACACCTTTTTCGCGCGGCGATCGAACCCGACGACGTTACTTTTTCAGGACAGCCCGCGTCCACATTTTTCTGCTCATTTGCTCCGGGATCAACGGAGAGTCATGTTTTCGTCGTTTCTGAGCCTCGGATCGGTACTGGGACTGGTTGGAGGAGTCATGGTTGTGGCAACAACGTCGGAGGCAACGCGCATCCACCATCGGCCCGGACGCTCGCTGACATTCCCAGAAAGCAGCAACATAGGCGTGAGAGATACCTCATTTTTATGAATAATCTACAGAGTACAGCTTATCAACGGTTATATTTCTTCCCCGCATGTCGTTAGTTTTACTTGGCCCTCGCGGTGCCCCTCGACGACCCGTACAACTCGATCTCGCTCTCGTACTTTTTCGAGGCCAACCACAACTTGCCCACCAACTTTAGCCAGACCCTTGGGCAGGGTAACAATAATTTCACGCGAGGCCGCCGCGAGAGAAGAATCGACCGATCGGTCGTCTACGCACTTCTGGCCAACAAATTTGAAAGGTAGGTTTGCACTTGCTTGGCTCTTTCGTCTGTTCGTAATTCACGATATTTCACGAAAGCGCCGGTTTCCCGGGCCACGAGTGTCTTCTGCGGTCGATCTGCGAAGCTTCCGAGTACCCCCTCGAGCACAACGGGGTACTGGGTGACATCTTCCGCGTCGTTTTCACGTGAGCACAGGATCGTTTATCTGCAGAAAAAGTTGTTGGGAAGAAAAAAAAAAGTTCTTTTAATTATTTTGTCTCGCCTAGGCCGTCGAGCTCGAGGGCAGAGGATGATCTTCCGGAGGGCGTTGCGGAGGCCGAGTCGAGGGGACGCAATGGCACCTGCACCGATTATCACTCCTCCTGTGGATTCGGCCTTTTCGACTTGATCGGCGTTTTTTCGTGAAAAAAGCGTTGTACCCGTGTGGTTTTGCATCGAATAGATATATGAAACAAATACAACATTCGAGCCTGACTCTAACTCATTTGGCCCCCACTTGATCCCATTGAACCTCTTCTCCTTTGCTTTTCCATCGATTCCATGACAATGTGGGAAAAATCGGTTAGACCATTCGAGGCAAACGAGAGAAACGCTTTCGTGGAATTCGCGGATTAGCGCCTCCGGGCGACCGGACTGCAGCGGCGGTCGATCGCTCGGCGCGTGTCACTGCACCGCGAAAAATGCCGAGACTGGGTTGTCCGTGGGGCCTCATTGTCGTCACGGCTGCCTGCAGTTGTCTCGCCGTACGTCGCCTCGCGCCGGCCTCAAAAATGGCGCGCATCCTCCACCGGCCCATCCGATCGCTCTCATACTTGGAAAACAGCAACATGGGCGTGAGTCCCTTGAATCGCCCCGTACATGTTTTGGTACCTATATAATTATACATACCATACGTTCGTCTCGTTGGCAGATCTTTTTCGCCCTCTCCGCGCCTCTCGGCGAGCCGTACCATTCGATCGCGCTGTCTTACTTTTTCGAGGCCAGCTACGGCCTGCCCGTCAACTACTTACCGGTCCAGGACGCAAACACGACCGCTGGCTCGGGCAGACGCGCCAGGGGCATCGACCGCACGACCATCTACGCGGTTCTGGCCAACAAATTCGAGAGGTAGGTGTTCGTTCTTTTTAAAGCTTCGCTACACGCGATCGTTGTTTTCTTCTTATTTCAATCATTTCAATCGCCAATCAAGTTACGTGTACCTATTAGCTCTGACTCGACTAATATAGGTATATACGTAACAAATCGGGAAGCGAAGCGCGTGACGCGATGTCAAAGTGTACATATTGGGTACATATACAACATAATACACAGATATCTTGTTTCACGAAAGCGCCGGTTTCCCGGGCCACGAGTGTTTGCTGCGGTCGATCTGCGAAGCTTCCGAGTATCCCCTCGAGCACAACGGGGTACTGGGTGACATCTTCCGCGTCGTTTTCACGTGAGTCGCCCCGTCATTTGTCACTTTTGGCAGACTCCGATAAATCCATTACGTCGTAACACGATTCTTTTGATTTTCAACGCAGGCCGTCGAGTTCGAGGGCAGAGGATGATCTTCCGGAGGGCGTTGCGGAGGCCGAGTCGAGGGGACGCAATGGCACCTGCACCGATTATCACTCCTCCTGTGGATTCGGCCTTCTCGACTTGATCGGTAGATTCGCGTGAGAATGAGTAAAAATAAATCAAAGTTAAAATCGGCTACTTTGTTTGTTTTTTTTTTTTGGCGATTTTTCTACGATTAAGGGTGTTTTTTTGAGTTATCCTTGGAACGATGCACGCAAGGAGTAACAATAAGAAAAATTGCCTGGCTTTTAAAAATTAACATAATTATACCATGAATGATCAGCATACGATGAGTTTCTCCCTACCGCGTGTTGTCTCGTTTCGGCATAAATTATGCAAATAAGGGACATGCTTTTCGTGGGGGCATCGATTTTTCAGTCAAACAGTGACGGCTACGCAGCCACGAGTTTTTCGGGGTAATGCTTTAATTTATGAACTTGCTTGATCGAGGGTCGGAGGGAGGCCTTTTGTATTCAACAGCTAAAGCCGAGCGTACACTGCACTGTCCAGTGCTTATATAGAGTTTTATTAATAATGTTGGGGTAAGTTTTTTTCTTTTTTTTCATTGTTTCCTCTATGGATCTTCTTTTATACGAAAAAAAAAAAAAATATTCCCACAATGGTGCTCGAAAAGATCAATACACGAGCGATTTCTAATTACTGAAAGTGGTCGAGGGGTAAGTGTATCGCAACGCCTATTCATGAGGGACAATTGTATAGATATACCACCCCCAAGGGCGGGGTTTTGGGGGATGTTTTTTTTCTTTCTCTTTATAACACACAGGAATATCTGAAAATTGACGCGTGAGTCGCCATCTTTAAGCAATTCGACTCACCAAGTTTCTGGTTTTCTCCAATCAATAACTCCTCCACCAACCCTTGAATGTTACGCTGCATGGGGTTTATAGCGTTGGTAATAATAATTAAAAAAAAAAAAAAAAAACTTGACTCTCTGATTTTTTTCTTTGCGGCAATTAACACGTTAAACGTATATTAAAACAAATTGTGATAATGAAAACTAATGAGACTCGGATTTTCACGTCTCACCCGCGCACGCAGCTCTGAACGGCAACACTTGGTACCTATTCATCGCTGGAAATTGTCGTTGTTAAAGTTTTCCGAAAATGCAAGAGAAATTTTTCAAAGTGCTCCCTGTTTTTTTGCTGTTCTCGTCTTGGCAAGTGATTTTGAAAGGCCAAGAGCTACCGGAGCCCAAGAGTCTGAAGCACATCGTGAGTCGGCACATCAGATCGCTAGATTTTCCATCGGCAAGTGGAATGGGCGTAAGTGAATAATTGTCATAAACCAAAAATCCTTCCTCCATCGGCTTACCTACACGTACTAAATCACAAAAAATCGGTTAGATTTTTTTTGCCATAGCCATACCGATCGACATACCCGACAAGTCGGTCTCGCTCTCGTTTTACTTCGAGGCGAATTACGGCCTACCGAGCTTCAACGAGTCGACTAACGCCGCGAACGGCACCACCGCTCAGTTCAAAAAACGTAGCGTCGACAGGCGCCTCGTTTACGATGTCATTTGGAACAAGCTCGAAAGGTAGGTACCGAAGATGAAATTTTGTCGATCGCGAACTAAGCACTTTTTTCAAATGACGTTTTCAGAAGCGGTTACCCCGGCAAAGCTTGCCTTTCGCGTGCAATATGCGAAGCTGCCGGGTTCCCGTTCGAGCGAAGCGGCCTAGTGGGCGACATCGTGCGCATAATTTTTACGTGAGTTGCTTGAAATTGTTGTTCGAGTAATGGAGTGCGTTACAGGGAAGCTCTGTCGTTTCAGGCCTTCGTCGTCGCTCGAGGAACCCTTGCACCCTGAGATCGAAGAGTCCGAGCGTGCCTCGAGTTGCTCGAGGTACCGAGAAGAATGTCCCATCAGCATTCTCGATCTGATTAGCCATAGCTACAAGTCCAAGTAAAATCGTTTTTACCAACGAGGATCGTTAAGTTAAATCAACACGTTTGCCAAGTTTTTTCAGCAATTGTAAATTTATTCCCCTTCGTGCGATAAGAAAATATCCATATGTACAAGATACATTTATGTACAAAGTTGCAGATTCCAGTGAGAAGCGCGGGACTAGCTCGATCCGAACCAGTCGCTGCCCATGGCGCCGAAAAATGCCGCGGCTCCGGATTTGATCGTCGAGCCGGTCGAGTCGCTTTTCGCCTGTTCCTTGCCCGTTTGTTTCCTTCTCTGCTGTAAATCGTTACATTATTTTGTTTTAGTCTCCAACGAAAACCGCGCGAAACTAAACGTTTTCAAATAATATACTACCATTACTTTTAGCACTAGAGTTATTGGTTAATGCCATCACAATTTTAAACAAGAACATATAGAATGAAAGTCACGGAATGATTTCAAAGTTAGTGTAAGTCAAATGCAATCGACACACACACACACGCGCACACACTCTACTGATGTATCTTACCAAATTTGTTTTCAAACGTCTTTTTTAATCTTACAAACGTGGAAAAGAAGAAGTAGAAGTGAATACACAGTCCACCGAGAGACAGAATAAATGGGGAGATCGAATAAATTATTATACAGGTGAATGATAAAATTAACAAGTAAAAGAGCAAGGTCGAAGAACGGAAATTATTTTATGGAAACGCTTCGATTCGCATACCTGAGATTTTTCCAAGAGCGGTGCCGGAAGCGGAGCAGACGGATTTTTAATTGGTGCTGTGACGGCCAGAGGAGGAAACCAAGGACTACCCGAGCAGAGGGCTAGCACACCTGGGGGATCTTTGACGGCGAGTTTCACTCCTTCGCTGTGCTCGCTCATTTTGGCGCCCAACACGGAATGCAGCTGTTCCATGTGCGGCACTAGACTTCCAAATATCAACTGAAACATCGAGATGATGATTTGATACGTTTTTTCCTTTGCTATAGTTACTGTATTTTTTTTTTTTTTTTCGACGAGATTTGCTTCCTACCAATGTTCTTTGCACGCTTTTCTTTACGTTGGCATTTATAAATGGATAAAAGACATCGAGATCGAATGGATCAATTTTTGACGTGATGCTGCTACAAACTTGATTTGATTTTTCAGCGAGTAATTTGCTGTCTCGAGGAACCATCAGTAAACTCAAGTATTTTACATCAAACAATATTTGCATCGCTTGCTTCTGACGGATTCCTGGATTAACGCAAAGTTTGTCATAGTAATCCAAAAGCTCGGCCGCTATGTTGTTTATTATTTCATTCAAGATAGCCCTGGCAAAAACAAGAAAAAAACAATTCAGCATCATTAGGAACATTTTTATCATGCAAGTGAGAAACTAGAAAACTCTACCGTGGCATGGTATGTGGAATGATTTTGTTCAAGTCTTGACAAATTGACGCCAAAAACTTTTGCAGGTGAACAGCTGGTTGGTGCGGTACTAATATTTCCGACTTTATTCTTTTGCCTTCTTCCGCTTCTTCCTCAATCATGACTTTTTCCCAGTCAGCTATGACTACGTGAATACGCAATTCGTTGTCTGTTTCTTTGATTAAGCAAACGTTTCGATGATGAGATATATTTTTCGTAAAACACTTGGCCCAGACGGACCACATGGCCGCGCTCTCGAGCTTGAGCTTGTCGCAAATTTCTTGCCATTTGGCATTGGACAAGGTCAAACTGCTCGATCTGGACATGGTAAAGCATTCTTTAAAGTGAGTACACAAAGTTGGCAAAGCTTGAAGGAATCTCGCAGCCACTATAGCATTAACATTTTGCTTTCCAATTCTTGGGTTATCAATTGTAAATTCGTGCTTCAAACAGACAATGAAATCCTCGATGCATTTCGTGCCAGTTTTTTGCAGATATTCTTGAATTTCGTTGCGATCGCAAAATTTATTTGTCGTCAAATAGATATCAGCTGCAAGTGAGTCGTTTTTTAGTTTGACCGGTTGTTCCAATTCGTAAAGATACTGCTTCAAGTGGGACAAGAATTCGGAGAGATCGCTTTCAAAGCTGTCACACAACTTTATTAGGTTGGGAGAAAAAGCTCTTGCTTTCATTAACAAGGGTCGCTTGGCATCCGAATTGGCGCCTTTCATTAAATTTTGCGGTACATCTGTCGGTTCATCCTTCCAAACGTACCACCTTAAATCATTTTCTGCATAGCGACACGAGTCAGATGTTACCTCGCCAAATAACTTTGATGCGTTTGTTTTTAAATTATCGAAACATAAACTTAATTTTTCATTCAAAATATCTGTTGGAAGAAAAATTTTTTTTTTTTTTTCAATTTTACTTTTAATAACTGTAAATTACTTACTAGTGAGAAAAATTTTAATTACCTTTAACTCTATCAGTAAGTAACGGCTGAAAAAACTCTAACCAGAAATTACTACTAGGTAAGGAAAACGTTTCCCATGCATGTTCCCAATTTTCAGGAACACTCACAGCCAGACATTCTTCTCTGATACTGTAGACTCCTTTGATTGACGTTATTAAATTAAGTAACTTTTTAACTTCTGTCAAAGTAATTTGTTTAATCCAGTCAAAGAAAGTCTTTACACTTTCTTGAATGCTGTCTATTGGAATCTTTTCCAAGTCGTATTCCTTAAAAGGTTTGTAACTTTTTGTAGTCAGAGGTAAGAATTCGTTCATTAATTCTTCATCTAAATCCAACTGACATAGGAGAAAAATAGCATCTTGTTGCTTTATGTCATCTATGTAGTGCGAAACGAGTCCACTATGAAAATCTCCATACTCTGTAAATTGTAATTAACTATTTATCCGTACAATAATGAACACAGTATCCATTATGAGTTATTGGCCTGGATGCTTACTTGTAAAACAGTGACTTATAAGCGGAATGGTTTTCATTAAAATACTTAAGCTCAGCTTGATTTTATTTTTGACATTGTAGTTGCTTTCCGAAGTAATCAGTGATGTGATTGTCTGCTTTCTCAAAAATATCAACTTATTCAACAATTCACACGAATTTAATCCATCCAAAAGTGATAAGGCTGCAAGACTATTAGCAGCAGTCTGAAAAGCAAATACATACATAAGAAAAGTAACAGACCAATCGACACACAAACAAAAACACCTGGTCTTATAAATTTGATGTTTAAACCCAACAAAAAAGGAAAACAAAGGTGAAGAGCTAACCTCCGTTGAAAGTTCTATGGATTGCAAAGATTCGATACAAAAAGTGTTTATTAAATTTTTGAACTGATTAATAATGCTCCATTGCTTTGAGACTATTGGATATTTGATTGGGAGATCATCCCCAACTTCAAACGTCAAACTATAGTTAATATGTTGGGCCAATAAAAATAATTGCGTTGCAAGTAAAAAGTTTTTGTCATCGATGGCTGACCAAATTTGCTCTGGAATATCCATTAAAATTTTTATTTGCATAACTACAGAATCAGAGATGTCGCTTGTTTCTCTGAAAGAATTTATAGACATGATGTACTTGTTGCAAAAGATAGGATCATTAAAAAGAAAAAGAAATAGTAAAAACATACTTGGGGATACTTCTTTGCTGAGCATCCATATTAAATCCTATAAGATATTGTTGGTGCAAATCGGAAAACTTTTCCTGAACATTCACGATTTTTGTAACAATTTCTTCTGAAGTCTGTTGCATCTCTGAAATCGTATCCGCAGCTTCGATCAGGTCACGATATCTTTCCCTACAAAAAGTACAAAGGATGAGAAATCAGTTTGAAAAATAGAGGATGTTGATGAAGTCGTTTGAAGATTTTTATTACCCAACCAGCGTTCGTAATTCTATTTTTTTCCTGTCTAATTCTTGTTGAACTTGTTTAAGAATTAATTCAATTTCTTTGATGGTGTGATTCTCAAACAACTTCTTTACATCAAGATCTACGTCCGTGATTTTATAGTCGAAAGACATTTTTAATGGACAGCCTCGTTGAGTACTTTAAAGTTCAAAATTATTTATTTCCTATTTATTTTACTTCGTTTGACATTTGACACATTATTGTGTATAAGCGGGTGTTTAGAAATTGAGTTTGACAGGTTATACTCGACACAACACACCAGCAACTATGACGTCGACTGCTATTACATGAATATAGATATACCACACGCCATATACATGAGTAGAAAGGAAAGGGTGATTGCAGGTCTGCAGGGTTCAGTTAGTCGTAATTATCTAATCTTTTCTAAGCATTACTCTTTTCACGTCAACAATAATCACTTTTGCGGACTAGCAAACAGTAAAAAATACGCAAATTTGCAATATGTGCTAAATTTGCCATTAGCTGTTTTTTCTCTTGCTTCAAAAATGATGAATAAAGAGGAGGGGATATAGGCGCGCAGGTAATAATCAAATATTATCTAAAGTAAAAAATAATTTGATTGCTGCATTATATTTGTTTGCTTATGATTATCATTATAAGGTAAATGAACGTGAATGTATTATGTGCTACGATGATGATGCTGCAGGTCACCTACTCCGCGTGCTCTCAAGACTTTCATCTCAACTATCTCAAGGAAGCAAAGGGGCGTCCAAAAGATAACAACGACTATTTATGTGTACATATGTAGTTACAACATATATAAGTACAACAGTTTGCCATTGCTGTTTGTTGCAAATCAACTGCAGAGAGTGCAGACAGAGTCTGCAGAGTTGTTGCGTGCAGTGCGCGAAAAAAAATAAACCTCTGCTCTTTCGGAGCTCACACACGGATACTTACTTTTGTCAAGTACTATAATACACAATATACACCTTGTATATAGTGTTACGGACAGTGTTCGCGAACGGTGTTTATTTTTTTGTGTACATCACCTGTTGTCGTCTTCGTCGAAGAGGCACTTGGGACAGGCCTCCGGATGCCCTTTGGCATGAGGTAAAATAGCATAGGGCCACCACCACCACCACCAACAACAACTACAGTGTATACATAAGAGAGTATAATATACCTACATAAGGTGGGCAATTCATATCTACCTATAGGAGTGTTACATACCTATAATATATAGGTAGCTGTGCGGGGGAGTCTCTCCGGCGGCTGGCTGCTCCTGTTCGCGCTCCTGTATCAGCTACAGCTGCAGGCCGCGACGACGGCCAATCTGCAGAGAGAGCGTGCGTGGAAGGTGGCAGCCACCGCAGGTACTAAAGTTATACCAGGACTACTTGATAGTGGCGGCAGAGTTATTGTAACAATAAAAAGCTCAAGTGCCGCAGTGTGTGGGCATTAAGTGCGGGCGATGAACGCAACGGTGACCGCGATGGTCGGCAACGCCGGGAACAACAACAACAGGCTGGGTGGTCCTCCTGCTCAGCAGCATCAGGCGCATCATCACCATCATCAGGCACAGTCGCAGGGGCCGCGATGCGTGACCATCTACAAGAGCGAAACCGGTTTCGGGTTCAACGTGCGCGGCCAGGTGAGCGAGGGCGGCCAGCTGCGCAGCATCAACGGCGAGCTGTACGCTCCCCTGCAGCACGTGAGCGCGGTCCTGCCGCACGGGGCCGCCGAAAAGGCCGGGGTACGCAAGGGCGACCGAATCCTCGAGGTGTAAGTGTCATAATTATAATATATCATCACCACCCACCGCGACACCCTTTCTGTTATATACATATTGCATAAATATGTTGTGTACCCGTATATTTATATACTCGAGCACACCTTAGCTGTCAGTGCAGAGAATTGCATTACTATTTCGGAGCAAGCCTGTATACCCATATTCACGCATGTATATGTAAAATAGTTACGAGTGTCGTCCGATGCATTCCATTCATTTTTCAATAAAACAAGTTGCAGGACGAAACTCTCTCTCTCTCTCTCTTATACTTATCAATTTGCATCCTCTATAGGTGTATACAGCTGCAGCAAGCTGATAATATGTCTGTTGGCTCCTGGTCTTCGTGATTCTTACGTTGATGTACAACCTCCTCCTCCGTCCGCCCTCTTTTGCGCGCGCGCTCCCTTGCTGGTGACTATCAAGTATATGTGTGCCCCTTCTCTCTCGAGCTCTCTCCTTTCTTACTTAAGTATATATTTTTCTTTCTTCCTTTATTTCGCTGGCTATTCTATTTTGCTCCGAGACGGCAATTAAGGAGAAGAATAAGAGAGCCTCGAAGGGCAGAGAATATAATATATATACAAAGGGGAGCGCGAATGCAGACTTACTCCCTCTCTGTATGCGTGTAGTACTTATATACGGGATATGAATATTCATCCCGCGAGTTGAACCTGCCCTTCGAGAGAGAGACTTATTTCGTGCGAGTCTCTGGTGTGTGCAAATTGACGGAATGGATCGAAAAATTCGTGGGTTATTTACCGATCGATCGTTCAACGTTGATGAATAACGGTAAAGTACGTACAGCTAGTTGTCGTTGCCCGAAACGAAAAACCAAAAAAATACCAAGCTCGACTTGCGGCGCTGATTTTTTTTTTTTTATTTGTACTGTATCTATCGTGAACAGATCTTTGTTACACTTCGCTACAAAGCAAGGGACGGAAGCTAAGTTTTCCGCGCTTTTATCAAGTATGATCATACATTTGAATTTCATTTTGGAAAAATCGGGAAAATGAAAAATAAATCGGTAGAACGATTTAGCGAAAATGAGTGCCTTCGCGATTGTCGGTGGAAAGCTTGTGCGTTTATCACATTGTAAAATATATATGCAGTGTTGAATAATGACAAAGCAGATTCTCGTTACTAATTGAGTATCCGGAAAATAATTAACCACCGGCTGAGATGCCCACACGGATCTGAATTACCATTAGTCTTTAATAGCTTGATGATGAGACAAAGTGATTTCAACGATAATTTACCGAATTGGCTGTTCTCTGTTTAAGTACCCATATTAATATAGTATGTAAAAAAAAAAAAAAAAAAAAAAAGAAAAATTCTCTGCATGTCGACATTGAGAGAATTTATCGAGTTAGTTACTATTAACGTTAAAACAATAAACGTTGCAAGTCGCGCTTGAAACTCGAATCATCGTTTTGCCAGATAAAAGCTGAATCACCACGACGCTTGATGCCTCTGAATTTCTCACACCCAGAAGCGCACAATAAAACTTTATCGTATTAGTTTATGAAACAGTTATGTTTGCGCATGTTATACAATAGCGTATCGTGTTTTCCCTGATTATTTTCTGATTTTTATTGTTCAAAGCTTAGTTATGCGAATTTTTTTTTGTTTATTTTACCAATTGTTGCATCAACAGAGAGCAGATTGAGTCCAAACTGTACGGGAATACATTTACTTGGCAAGTCAGAATTAGGTACCCAACTATGTCACGTGTGTGGCCTAACGGTTAGCTATATATTATATATATATATATATATACAAATTTCACAATGTAAATACTAAATTAATGAACTAATCTGTAAAAATAAATTTCTACTGCGTGTTTTGGTTAATTTTGCTTTGGGTTACTTAAACTAAATTAATGGATTACTACGATGAAATAGCGATTTTCATACAAGACTAAACGTTCTAACTTAAAACGGAGGACACATNTGAAATTTCAAATTATATGAAAAAAAAAAAAAAACGGAAATTGATATCTGTGATTTCCCACTTGTATAACTATGAGGAAGGTATTCATATAGGTTTTTTTTTTTTTTTTTTTTTATTCAGCTTTCTCCGACTTATTACAAAATCAATATAGCTAAATATCGATGTAGATATACATAAATAGACATGTACATATATACAAAGCACCGCGGTGTAGTTGACGGTCAAGGAAGATCGATAAGACGCAAACACGTGTTTGGTGCTTATACTTATTCGCTCAGTTAGTTCTCTGAAACAGATTTTTCTTTCTTTTTTTCTCTATCGCGTACTTGTAGGTTCAATAAAAGAGTTTTGACAAGAAATCAAGTACTCATTTTGTGTTTTCTCTGCGTCACTGTCAAACGCTCGTCTTCCACATATAAAGGAAAAAAGAATCTGCTCGAGCTCTCGTAAATCTGTTAAAAATGCCTATGCTTGTTCGTCGAAAAAAAAAAAAAAATCAAACAAGGAAATAATTTTAAGCCTCCGATAAGTCAATGCCAACTATATAACGTATTATATATATATATATACGTACAGCTTCGTTGTCAAAGATTCCTAGGTTTTGGTTCATAGGTAGGGCTTCGGCTGGACAAGACAAACAATCATGTATTTTCCACACATCTCAGACATAGGTATTATTACAAATTAAGATTAGACGGCATGAATGAGCCGATTGCGCATATAGCTCGGTCGCTGATTGTTGCACGTGCGCGAGTCAAGGTCTTAAACGACTGCAGCTTTTTTTTTCCATCGTGCCCGTGTAAAGAGTACAGGCCAAACATTAACGAGCATCATGATGATAAACAAGTGTGTATATTATGCACTTGAGTAATTTCATTGCAAGTTGTACAAAATGCATTCTTGATCGACTTATTTGACGGTAAACAAAGAGGCCAACGCTCGCAGCTCTCGTGTACAGCTTGACAAAGGAATTTGCGCTTAATTGGACTTTCCAGTTTTATCACCAATCAGCCGGATACAGTACAAGGCTCGCATATCGCTTGTTTTCGGACAATGCCCCAATACGAATTCAATTGGTTTGAAGATCGGGTATCCCCCATGAGAAGGTAATACCTATACTTACTGATGAGCTTCTTCCTTTCGTTTGCAGGAACAACGTGAACGTCGAAGGCGCAACGCACAAGCAAGTCGTGGACCTCATCAAGTCCGGCGGCGACGTGCTGACTCTGACTGTGATCTCCGTGACGCCGCAGGAGGCGGAAAGACTGGAACCCTGCGAAGATCTGAGGTGCGTACAACAAATTCATTCGAATCCATAAACCCACTGTATGATAATAAATACCGTTGTGACACGATGAATTCAGCTACGCATCGGTGGACTACAGCGAGAAGCGCTCGCTGCCCATCAGCGTGCCGGACTACCACGTGCGGGAGCGCAAGCAGGAGCGCTACGTGGTCTTCAACGTCCACATGGCCGGCAGGCACCTGTGCTCCCGGCGTTACCGTGAATTCGCGGCCCTCCACGCGGCCCTCAAAAAGGAGTTCATCGGCTTCAACTTCCCCAAACTGCCCGGCAAATGGCCCTTTCAGTAAGCCCCCGACATGTGTTTGTTCGCATACTGCACGTATACATGTACGACAATTGGCTAACGTAATGATGAAAAATAAAAACAATTAAGGCTGAGCGAGCAGCAGTTGGACGCGAGACGCCGGGGCCTGGAGCAGTATTTGGAAAAGGTGTGCGCGGTCAGGGTGATAGCCGAGAGCGACGCGATGCAGGAGTTCCTCACGGATCGCCTCGAAGAGGACGGTGATCAAGGACCCGCGGTCGATCTCAAGGTGCTTTTACCCGACCGCGAGGTCGTCACCGTCACCGTACCCAAAGCTGCCACCGCCAAGGACGTATACGAGGCTGTCTGCTGTCGCGTCGGCGTAGACGCTGAGACCTCCAAGTACTTTTACCTCTTTGAGATCGTCGAGTACAATTTTGGTGATTATTGTTACTATTCGTATGCCTCGTACAATTTTCGTATCAAAATATCACGTCCCTCTTGCCTTACACCCACAGAGAGGAAGTTGCAATCTCACGAGCACCCGCACACGTTGTACATTCAAAACTACTCGACTGCCAGTGCTACCTGTCTGTGCATTCGGCGCTGGCTCTTTAATATTTCGAGGCCGCTGAGCGAGCAGGCGCTCACCTGGATATTTTGGCAAACCGTCGACGAGGTCAATCGGGGACACATCACAGCCGGCGAGAGGCTGTACCAACTAAAGGCTCTGCAGGACGCATCGAGAAAGCACGAGGTAGACAGAATAGTCGTATTTTTTTTTTTTTTTTTTTTTTTTTTCCGTACCATCAGCCATGTTTTCGTTAATTTATCTTTTTTTGTCAACTGTTGATTCAGTACCTCAAGTTGGCCCGAGAGCTCAGTGGTTACGGCGACATTGTGTTTCCACACTGCCCTTGCGACTCGAGGAAGGAGGGACACGTTGTTGCGGCGGTGGGCATGTCGTCTTTCAAGCTACACGCAGCCAAGGAAGACGGAACGCTCGAATCACAGGTGGTGGAGTTTCAGTGGAGCACCATAACTAGATGGGAAATCGACGACGAAGGCATGGCCTTTTGCTTCCAATACACGCGCACCGACAATCGTCCTCCGCGCTGGTTGAAAGTTTTTACTCCCTACGTGAGTTTGCGCTGATCTTTTTTCGTTTGATTTTACTGTGGAAAATTATCATCACGGGGAATTCTATGATATTCTTTTTTTAGTACATGTTCCTTTCGGATTGCTTCGACAGAATAGCTGAAGAATCAAAATGGGAAGATCCAGGAGAATGACAGAAAACTTGTAATTAATTATGTTTCTGGCGTTTCACGAAGAATCATCGAATCATCAATAATCCTTAGTTTAAGTGAAAATTTGTAACGTACGTTAATCGATAATTTAAAAAGAAAATGTACTTTCTTTTTTGCAATGATCATTCAATGATTATGAGTACAGACTGTAAAAGCCGTCCCCTACGCAAGGCAATATGCTAAAACTCTTATCGATTATTGTATGCTATTATTTTTAGTGTTAATAGCGAAAAGTACACATAATGTAATGAATTTTAATTTTTTATCAAACGTATTTAAAATGCGTTTTAGTTTATACCCGGTATTGCAACAACTTTTTTTGCTGTAATCATATTTTTTATCAGTGAAATGAATTTATTGAACGTTTTTATACTAGTATATTTGCCTAGTGATCTGGCCTAGTTTTTATAATTATATCTCGTGTAATCGCCTTTTTGCTAGCCTAAAAATCTTGGTGATCTATTTGAAAAAAAATTCCAACTCTATGAACATAATGTTGTATCTATATTACAAACAAGTATTAATGCGTTTCATATAAGTCACTAATGCTCTGCTATTCAACTATAATGAAGATTTTCGGGATCGTTTTAAACTTTTTGGTTAATCGATTTCAAAAAAATAATCAACTATCACAAATTGTGCCATAAAGAGCTTAAAAAGTTATTTTGTTACTTTATGGTTGAATGGCTGTCGAGTCTTTAAAAGTATTCCTCATATTATTTTAATTTGTGCGTGAAGTTATGATAAATTATTCAAGTGAATGGCATTGAAAACTGTAAAAATTTGAGCGGTGCAAAAAGTATAAAATACACTTTGTTTCTGTCAAGAGTGAATACTCATCTTTACCGTGAAATTTCAAATTATATGAAAAAAAAAAAAAAACGGAAATTGATGAAATGCATGCAGTAAAGAATCTTAAATTTGCTCGTTTTCTAAACATTCTAAAAGTAAGCTTTGAAAATTTTAGGATTAAAGTTACGTACATGTCAAACGATGCATTTATCTATCTTGTAAATATTAAAAAAAATTTATCGGATGAACGAAAATTAATTTGTAAGCTAATTAATCTTTTGATCTGTTATTTAAGTGAGAATGCACTTACTTTTAACAAATGAACGAATCTCGTACAAATAAGTAATGCTGAATCTATTTGCTGAAATTTTTATTTACAAAGTGAAAGTAGAGGTAATGGTAATATTATTAAATATTATTACTATTATTATTATTATTATTATTATTTGAACGAAACAAATATTGAAATTCTCCGGTCATACACATGTTCAAGTACAAGAGCATATATACGATTATCGTTGACATTTTTAAACTTTATAAAAAAGTAATTATATAGGAAAATGGAGAGTGCGAAAATGTAGTAATAATGTTGTATTAATGTTAGACACGTGTGTTAGGAGCGAGGCGTCGCAAAAATTACGATTTAAAACGCAAAAGGATAAAAAAAAAGAGCTGGATTTTAGAGAATAAACGTAACGTAGTAAGGTAATAATGACAACAACAATAACGCATGTGTCGTAGCATACCATTCAAAGCATGACAAATTGTTAGAAGTGGTATGTGCTGTATAGTTCACCCGCTGATTCTCTCGGGCTTATATTTATTATGCACCCAAATACTTTGCCTCTCTATCAAGTAATTGCGATTTCTACTTTATTTGACGATTTTTTGTGCAAAAAAAGTAAGTTAAATTCAGCTGCCTTGAAAATAAGATTTAAAAAAATATGGATTAATTTACGTCATGATGAATTCAAATATATATATATTACTGATACTATTTTTTAAGTCCCGCGCTTCTTGTTATTATCTGGTATCTTTGTTACGGTCGTGATTGCATAATCATAAATACTGTTATTTTATTTATTTCGACACACATATTATATAAATTTGTTTATAAAGTTTACATTATTTTGATCTTTATGCGATGAACAATTAGAGAAATGACATTTTTATGGATATTGTTGAAAAAACTATATTTCAAGTATTTACACTTGTAACGATTCAAAACACTCGTTGTTGTACGTATAGAGTGTTTTGAATGGATAAACGTAAATAGTGACAAAATTAAGTTACACGAGAGTAATAGCCGTTTACTTTCCTTTCACAATATGTTACACATTTAAGTCTATCGCAATAGTAAGAGCCCGTATTATCCTCAAATAAATAATGAAAAAAATACTAAGCATACTGTGTACTCATTTTTTTTACTTCAATTCCAACATCAAATTTTAGTTATTAGGTACGACTTGTTTTCCTGGAGCAAACAGTGTAACCAAACACGATTCATTTTATTTGAAACAAACAAATGAGGATGATCCAAGTACTTTGCATTACGTAGGTAATCGACTGTATGCACGTAATCAAGTTTCCGGACTAACTCAAGTAATTTTCATCCGATTGGGTTCAATTTTGGTCTTTGGTTATCGAAGGGAAAAAACTCCTTTCACCACCGAGGTTTGAAAAAAAAAAATTTTCAAACTACTGATTTACACGTTACAAGTTTTTCCCTGAGAAGTCAATTGAACGCTTTATTTTGAAAAAAAAAAAAAAAAAAAAAAAAAAAAAATTAAAAATAGATTGCAACGGTAATAAATTGACGCGACACAACAAAGTGACAAAAACAACCCTCAACGAACACAATGGTATAATGTACAAACATATCAAAAATTGGAAGAAAAAAAAGGTTTTTTACTTATTTCAAATACCATTTTTCTCCGCAATGCCATCCACGCACTCTTAATGATAAAAATCGATTTACAACATACACCGCTTAAAAATGATATTTTGGGGATGAGCGCACAATTGAAAGATTCGTTCGAAAGTACAATTTTCGCAAAACAAAACATTATAACATTCTTTTAGCTGTAAACGCTGCAGTTTATATTATTCGTTCCACGTACAATTGCCATTTATTGAACAAAAGTTTCCAATTGAGCAACGACCGATAAGTCAAATATGATTAATCTGTCGGTTCTTTTTTTTTTTTTTTTTTTTTTTCTTCTTCTCGGAAGTACTATACTCACACACACCGCGCAGATCTCGCTCGGTTTCAACAAAATACCTATGCACAAAATTGTGTTTCACTCCCAAAGAGGTAAAACCAATACATTTGAGCCGTGTCAGCTTGAATTTTCCGATGAAGAGTTTCCCAATGCACGTACACCTCGAGTCGTCCAAAGTAAATTTGTATGCGCAGTTATAGGCTCAAGGTGCAAACTTTTATACGCGGATGAAATAAAAGCGGCGAAAGATTAAAACAACAAAGCAGATATCGCGTGGTGGTGGGGGTCGATTAGCGTAGCCAAAGGTAGTACGCCTAATAATCCACGCGTGTACGTGCATCATCCAAGGGTGCGCGGTAAGTAGGTATTAATACACTTGGCTCGGGGAGCGAGAGATCGGCGGGGCGGCGGTACAATGTAGCCGGAGAGCGAGGCGTCATCGCCAGCGCAGCGGCCAAGGCGGCGCGAGCTGCGACCGTTTGCCGATACTCTGGGCTCTTTGCGCGCCGATAGGACCACTAAACTTGCGTATATACTTGCTCGCCGAGTACAGCGAGCAGATATTAGTCCAGTGCTAGTTAGCCGAGGGAGCCATGGACATCAGGAAGAAGAAGCGCAAGCTCACCGCTGGAACCGGCCCTAAAAAGGTGCGTGTGACTCTGTGTCCCATGATCGGTATCGGCGCCACCCGAATCCTCGTACGGAAAAAACACCAATTATTTTATTGTTCATTTTTATATCGTTGATAAGTACCTAATGCTACGTTGTTTGTTGCTTGCTCTTGTTGTTGCATAACTTTTGCGTTGACCGATCGAAAACTTATCTACGCATCGAGACCGAGATACTTTTATTAGCTGCGACGTGCATTTATATAATAAACAGTGTACGTATATGAAAAATTCATCCAAATCGATCATCTTAAGCGCGTCGCTCGATCTTTGGTAAAATCAAACTCTGGTTACTTTTAAATTATTATTCGATCGACAACATTGTAATTATGTACCATATATTATGGTGTATAATTCTCACTCGTATGGTCCAGAATGAAAATCGAGATGAGTGTGGGCGTTTATGCGGTTGGACGATCGGTAACTGTGTGCACCCTAAATCACACAAGTTATATCGTAGATGTGAAGCGAAGATTTCTAAGAAACGTCGGTGCGGTTGTTATTTTATTTTTAATGCACGCTTAGTATATAACTACCTGTGCTACACCCGTGCGATCGGTAACGTAAAAGCTGAGAGCAGCGCGAATAGCGCACTAAGCGTGGATTTTTTGCGCGTTCACGAGTGGGAAAGAAAAAAATTGTTTTTTCAGAGTAATAATGATAACGATGAACACAAAATACACATATAAAATGCCGCAGGATTCTTTCGTGACGGAAATCGGAGAGGATCTCGCTCGAGTGCTTCTCTAACGCACGGCCGACCGCATATTATATGCCTAATAACAATGTATGTGACCGCGATGTTACGTCAATCCATCTTAGCATCATTATGGCACAGGTGTGTAACCACATCTTGCGTGTGTCTTACACCTTTTTCGCACACTTTTCTACATGTATATGTATAATACGTACACTGTATTGTTCTGTAAGCGTATACGCTTGTAATTAAGTAGGTGGTATCGATAAGTAAAATCGGTAGATCAATCATCAAGATCAGGAGATTATCTGTACATCTCGCTGATATAATTTTTTCGTTTGCACATGATGATCGAAGGTGATGGTGACGTTTGATATGTATATTGTTGGATTATTTCCTTATATTTTTCATTTTCATTCGCAGCTCAAGTCAACTTTTTTATGAGATTCGATTCGCTAAAATGATAACGGAAAAAAGCGGAAGATGAGCCACTTGTGACTTTAGATGGATCAAAACTGTTGGAGGGATTATAGTTGGAAAAAAAGTTTGATCACTTACAAGTTAGAGAACCAAGAGTAAGAGCGTATCGGGGGCAGGTGTGGTGTGTACGCGCCCAAAATTATCAGCACCCAAAAAAAACAAAAAAAAAAAAAAAGATAAAAATGCACGATAATTGTCATAATTGACAAATTGAACGCTCGTGGATGTTTGATTATGTAATAAAAATTCCAGTTTCTAGCTAAAAGGAGCACGTGACGGGAGAGCGAGAGAACAAAGTCACATGACGGTGTTTGGCAAAGATTTTTTTTTCTTTTTTTTTTTTCAAACCTGCGTGCGATGTAATTCGATAATTCGAACGTGACAACCTCAAGATTACGTATACACACGCAATGCGACACATTATTGTGCGGCATAGATAATTATATTTTATCGAGCGCGTATTATGCTCAAGTGGAACAATTAAAAGCAGAGCGCGAGCTTTCGGCCGGTGATGTAATTAATAACCAGACGAGATTACGGGCAAAAAAAAAGTGAGTCATGAAAATTGTGTTTGAATCGCACGCGTATCGTTAAGTACTCTAGTGCGCGGGGTAAACATCACAATGCACGTATACGGTTGAGATTTGAGTTTATCGCTACGATGACGATGGCTTAAAAGGCGCTCGTTAATTTTTCGAGCTCATCGATCATGCGTATCGTGCGCGATGTACTTACGTCACTGTGCTTATCCCGCTGGTGTTGTTTGCTCTCCTTCGGCGCAACGGCTCTTTTGCCATTGTATAATGGCTGTAGTGTCGTTATGTATACGTAATAATGTACACTTGCACCTGCTAGATCGTTTTTCATGTTTCTAATGTGAACGCGTAAATTTTACAGCTCCCAAGGCCCCTCTTCCGACAAAACGATTTTTAAACTTGCTATTTGAATGACACCGATGCGGATGAGGGTATACATTTACCTGATGTGCTTGTAAAGACTGAAAAATAGGATACCTCCCCCGTCTCAGTCCTTTAGTTTTATTGATTGCATCTTATCAATACTGCCGTCCCAAGAAAAAAAGCGCGAGTTTGGTCAGTGTCGCATTATAAAGTCGACAAAAACTATGTACGTAAAAACTCCCTCTGGAAAAATGCGCAAGTGCATTTTTGATGCACTTGCGCTTTTTTAAAATCTTTGAATCCAAGGCGGAGCTCGTACCGACTTTACTCGGCAAAAAAGGTGTAACCGTGGCCCTCCCGGCATCATTTTTCCAAAATTCGTATACCTTGCATTTTTTTTCAAATTAATTTCCATCGTCTTTATTCATCTTCATCTAATTATCCGTCAAAAACGTCGCTAACCCTTTTTTTCCCGTGGGACGGCAAAAAACACAGGTTTTGAAAACCGCTTGCAAGTAAAACCACCATAGCTGCACGCATATTACCTAAAAATCTATTCTTTCCGCGGAAACGCAAAAAAAAAAAAAAAAAATAATAATAATAACCAGCAGCCCCACAATCGGCAGAAGACCACGCTGCTGTCGATAGTCAACCCATGGGACGTGGAACTCGCCAACGTCGAGCCGACCAACTTGGCAGGCAGGCACTACTGCTCCGTGGGGACGCTGCCGGAGCAACCGTCCTCGCCAACGACCGGCTGCAGGACGCCCTGGCCCTGGTACAAGCCGGCACTCTCCAGCCAGCTGGCCGGCTCGTCGCCTGCGCAACCTCTACCCGCCCGACTCGACAGGTACGTGTACCACACTGGACGCACATTATTACATGCCTATACACAACAACGCACTCTGGCTATCGTATTTTTTTTTTGTCCCCCCCAGCAAAAGTGTAATTTTTGTTTAATTCCCAACCCCCAAAATATGAAAAAAAAAGAAAAAAAGAAAAAAGAAAAAGAAAAAAAAAAGATAAAGAGCGACCGAAGATAACGAATGTTCTCCGCAGGGCGTCTCCGACAGATGCCGGGCCCGGAATGTCTCCGGATGTTTCAATCGAGCTCTCCCGCTTTGAAGACGGGCACGGCGGCTCGAGCCATCAAGAGCCGAGGGGCTTCGCGGACAGGACTCGGGAGACCGATGTTGTTGCCGCTGCTGGTGGTGGCCCGAGCACGACAAACAACACCGACAACTCTCTCGTCTCCCTCATTGAGCAGCTCGTCTACTCTAGGTACGCATTTTACATTATACGTACACATGTACGTGGTTAGGTATTATTCTTTGGCTACCGTATTAATACACGCGAGTCGTAAATACGCGGATTTGTAAGTGTGGGTTATTGGGGGGGGACGAGGATTTATTGCTCAAGTATTTTGTGTGTGTGCAGGTACAAATCGACGCCGCTGGTTCAGCGAAAGTTCGCCCACCGGAGGAGGCCCCTTGCGTTGCCGAGCATCAATCGAACAGGTTGGATTCGCAACGTAAGCCATATATACTTACACGCATTCGATTTTGTACATACCGATCCCATTTGATTTAAATAAACCCTCATTGCGTGCATGTCCGGGATAATGTAGTTATTCGCACACTCGCAGGAGGCACTTTGGTCCTTTTTTCGTGCCGTTCTCCAATAGCCAGCACCCGAGCCAGGAAACAGGATCCTCGGGCTTGTTGTCGCAGCACTGGAACACATACACATATACACCCTACGTATATATACTACTTATACATCGCTCAATGCCGTCATCGTCATTTACGACGCGCCTTACGCTCAATATCACTTGTGTATACATGTATATGATCAGTACCATGATCAATCCCTCGCTTAATGCGTCGTTAAGCGCGTCCCACGGGTATTCGTCAAAAGCCTCATCGAGATCCCCCACCGGCTCCATGACGACTGTCAATGTACTTGTCGATAAGAAAATTCTCACTTTTGTTTTTTTTCCTCATTTGTACACATATTGCATCTTACAATCGGGAAAGAAAAAGTGTATTTCCCTCTCGGCGCTTTTGGAATCGGCGCTCCCGTGGACGACGTTTTTCGCATCGTCATCGTCGTCGCTTCCAAACTTTGCGCGGATGCAGTCGGGAAAGCAAGCCTTGGCGTCCCGGACCTTCGATCGGTCGGGTAATATGAAATCGGTGTGCTCATCGGAGCAAAACATTTTCCACCCAAACAAGAGGGGAAACGCACTTTTCTGGGCCCCATGAGGGACTTCCACTCCCTGATGGCGTCGCGCTTGCCGATCACGAGCACCAAGAGCGGCCCCGAGCTCATGTGGGCCAGCAAACTCTCGTTACCGTCCACGTAAAACTCGCTGACTTGCTCCCGAGTCAGGTGCAGCCACCTCCTGTCGCACACGGAGAACCCCTGGTCCGCGATGAGGCCCTCGATGGCCTCCCGGTGCCGAGTCGCCTCGGGTTTCACGATCGCCAGGGTGTACTCGATCTTTCCTCCCTCGGGGCCTTCTTCCGCCCCTACCGAGACGCACGATCCCGAGCAGGAACAGCTTTTCAGCGGCGTTTCGACCTTCTCCTCCTCCTCCTCCTGGTGGAGCGCTCCCGTGCTGTCGCAGCTTTTCCCCTCCTCGTCGGCGTTGAACACGCATCTGTACTGCGATCGAAACGTCTCGTGAAAAGTATACTTTCGTTAGGTTTAAAAAAGGCGTTTCTTACGAGCAGTAGGGGGTTCGCCTCGGACCGACTCGAACAAGTTGTCGAATCGTCTGGGGCGCGGTTCACTTGGATGAACGATATCTTCTCCTGGGAGCTTTTTGATTCGGAGCTAGAAGAGCCATCGGTCGTGGATTGGCTGTCGTCGCTCGTCGAGCAATCGCAATTGTCGGACATTTCGGACCTTCTGGTGATTATTAATTTGTCTGGATTTTTTTTTTTTTTTACTACCTTTCTGAACGCGATTGAAGTGAGAGACAGAGGTTATTTAAAACATCGATCGATTTTCCGATGGTACAGTTGACTGGCGACTTTTTTCGACGTAAATATTTGATTTTTTTAAATATTGGAATAGTACATTCCATCACAAATATCTAATCGCAATAACATGTTCTCCAATCGACTTGTATGTGATGGAAATTTTCATTGAAATCAATACGAGTTAAAAGTCCAAAAAAAAAAAAAATTTTTTTCTTTACAAAGTCATGCGTATTCATATCGTACTAAACTATTGATACTTTCATTGAGAAGATGATAGCGTCGAGCTGTTGGATTACAATGATCTATCAATGAAAGGCGTAAAAATCGTCAAGGCAAAGGAAAACGATAACAAGAACCATCATCATCGTCACCACCGCCATCACCACGAGGTACCTCGGATCAGTCGTAACAGAAGATTAAGTTTATCCATGCCATCTAAGCTCGATGAAATGGAGGGAGTTCGAATCCAAAGCAACGAGAAGGTAAATGCAAATAAAATTAACATTTAATCGCATAGGACTCTATTTTTTAATTACTTCCCTCAATAAACATATAAATCTCACTTGTACACGCACAATCTAAAAGCTTGCGTTACTTTAATAAAGCGAAAGGAAAACAATTGTGGTGTATAGTGAGCGCACAAACCGATTACAAAGCGTATGCTAATTTGCCCAAAGTTTGAACAAGAATGTAGGTTTATTATCGTCTTATCGGAGTGCATGGAAAAATTTATCTCGGCTGATGTATACATATAGGTTTACGCGCCGAGCAGACGCGCATATTTTTTTCTTTTTTTTTAATTTAAATTGTCTAGACGAAAAAAAAAAAAAAAAATTTTGCATAAAACAGATCGATGTACATCATCGTTTTAGAGTATATTTTATTTTATTTTATTTAACCAAGAGAAGAAATCACTACTGCGTTTATTGTCTAAACAGCGGATAAGATATCGCGCAAAACCCAACGGGTCAATGTCATACTATATATAATCGAACGATACACGTGACACGTTTGTCAGATAAGATCTTACACATCAAACAAACACCAACTCTAGTGTGTATATCATTTCGCAAGTCGTCGACGATCATCGAAGCTAGAAAACTGCTGATACAGCAGACGCAAAAATCGGGCATTGATAAAATTGTACAACTTTTTTATTCTTTTTTTTTTTTTTTTTTTTAAGATCCAATTTATGTAGTTAAAAAACTTGCAGAACGGCTCGCCGAAATTCCGTAGACGCGGGAGCGAAAGCAGCGCGACGTTCAGCAACAGCGGCTCGACCCTCAATGGGAGCACCTTGGCTTCGGAGACCGAAGACGAGGAGAACGAGGAGGAAGCAACCAAGTAAGAGAGACGCATCTGCTATACCTGCCTGTGTATACATTATAAAAGAAAATTAAAAGAGAAAGCGAGAAATAAAAGACAACATCTCTCGGTCGCTCGCGAAACGGGGAGAGATAAAAATAAAGCTCTTATACACGCGACCGGGACACATGTGCACGAGATTTCGAACTAGCGTAAATCACCCGAGACTCACCGATAGCGCGCAGAGACGAGAAGCTGTAGCTCTGCAGTCAGGGTCGAGAGCTCGGTTGCGCCGTGTGTCGACGGTTTTCTCCAAACTCGCGGTACTCCAATATTTATTGCGTTCGTGTATACAGCTTGAACTCTTGTCAAAGCTCGTACGGTTATACCTAGGTGCCAGCTGTTCGGGATGATACCGAGATACGATGTGGTCAGTGCGATGCCTCTGCAGAGGTAATTCCCGATAGCTTATTATCATGGGAACATCGAGATCGCCACGTGTATTGAGTTTAAGTGGCTATGATCGGCTTTTTTACAATTATATCACCTATGGGTGTATACAGTTATATTTTTCAATAACTACTTACTTTGGGAATATCAGGGTACCGCTGCAGTCAGCCCACCACTCGAGACAACCGGGCTCGCGAAGTAACAACGACCACCACCACCAACGGCACATGGATTTTCCCAACAACGCGCACAGCACCAATTCGACCATAACCAGCGTCAACAGCATAAGCAGCTTGCTCAAGGAGAAGCTCCAGTGGACCATACCTCAAGTTCTGCGCAGCAACAAGCACGAGAACGCGGATTACAGGTACAGCTCTCACATCCATCGTCTTGGATTATTTCTAAACGTACACCTTATAACTAACAGTATTGTCTCTACTTATTATTTACCGTGAATATTTTTTTTTTTTTTTTTCCAATCATTGTGTAAGGGTAACTTGTCCCGTTTACGTTGCCGCGACTGCGATAGATACATGTCGAACCATGAGTCCTTAGTTGACGAATAAAAATCAATTTCAATCGATAATTCGATTCTTGACACGTTATGTTTTATTCTTGGACCGCGAGCCCACCTTCTCCATTTGAAATTTTCGTTTGGAACACCAGCTCTTTTAGGCATTATAAATAAAACTCCAATTTAACTGTGCCATGTGTATTAATAACATTCCGTGCAGGCTTCGGCTTTTCGTTGGGTTTCTCTTCCTCTGCATTATATTCCTCGTCGGGTTCGCCCACGTCTACTACAACCAGCACGTGCTGCAACGGGCCTACTTTGACAAATTCAGGTTTGTGGGCCATTGAAAAAAAAAAAAAATATTCGACACAGCGTTTTTTTTTTTTTTTTTTTTTTTTTTTTTAAGATCCAATTTATGTAGTTAAAAAACTTGCAGAACGGCTCGCCGAAATTCCGTAGACGCGGGAGCGAAAGCAGCGCGACGTTCAGCAACAGCGGCTCGACCCTCAATGGGAGCACCTTGGCTTCGGAGACCGNATATATATATATGCGTGTATTCGCGTTTATAATATACAATATACCACACAAGTGTATATCATGAGAAAAATTGCCACAGGTTCAACAAGAACGAGCGGCTGATGCACGTGTACAACAGCCACGGCCTGGAGATCCTCTCCGCCCGACTGGGTGTCGACATCCCGAGCGGGGCTGGCGTCTTTTCCTGCCTGTCCGAGCACCAGCGCCCCGACAAGTACTGCCTCGAGTGGCTCGGGCACTCGCGCCTCTACCTCGGTCACACGCGACGCGACGCCGCCAACTGCTACCACGTGACCTGGCAGGCCCTCGGGGCCGGGCTCCAGACACGCGACTGCTTCGACTGGTCGCCCCGGCGCGGCCACTGGTACGGAGCCGGCCAGATCCGCGGCCTGGCCTACCCCCTCGAGCAGGGCCGCCTCGAACCCGCCGCGCCCTTCATAACCGGCGATGTGCGTCGGCACCCATTCGGCAATGTCCTCAAGCGCTACTTCCTCAACTCGAAGGGCGTCACCATAAGCGTCGACCCCGAGACACCTCTCTACGTCTCGATCGGCACCGGTGCCGGGCGAAACGAGCGCGACGGCCAACAACGGGCCAACGACGACGACGACGACGACGACGTCGAGCTGTGCCTGAGCGCGAGGCACGACGACTTTGCCTACATAAACCACCGCACCGAGCTGCCCCAGTTGAACTACACGATCTGCGCGGCGGACAACATGCGCAGCCTCCACGCCTCGATGGCCGAGAAGTTCCTCTGGGACGGCCTCAAGCCCGACGAGCTGGCTGCGGTCCACGCCCTGCTGAGCGAGCCCGTCTGGCAGATATCCCCGACGAGCGAGGCCGACGTCTACAACTACACCGAGGACGTGATTGCCCTGGGCTTCCTGCGCCAGGGCCACGTGCTCCTTGGCGAACAGTGGCAGCCGAGCGCCGGGGACTTTGTCCTCGACGAGGAGCGCTTCCGCACGATGCGCGAGACGATAGACGTGATGCACCGGCGTGGCTTTCGGATCGTCTTCGGCCTGCAGCCGTTTATCTCGACCGAGTCGGTGAACTTCCGGGAGGCCGTGGCAGCGGGTCTGTTGATCGGCGAGCGGGGCAGCGAGTCCCGGATCCCGGCCCTCACGCGTTCGAGGGGCGCGGGTAGCGTGGCCGGGGTCCTCGACGTCACCAACGACCGGAGCTTGGCGTGGCTCCGCGCCCGGCTCGAGGCCCTCGCCGAGCGTTACCACGTCGACGCGTTCTACCTCGATCTGGGCACGGCTCACGACATGCCCCACCACTACCGGTGCGAGCGCCCCCTGGCGAATCCCGACGATTACAAGAGCCAGCTGGTGGAGGCGTTGCTGGGGGCCGCGGTGCCCCTCGTCGGGGTCTCAGGGGCGATATCTCGACCCCGGGCGCCGGTCTTTGTCAGTCTGCCGGCCTTCCCGAGCTCCTGGAAGGCCATCAAGACCGTGATACCGACCGTGCTGAGCTACGGCGTGGCCGGCTATCCGTTCGTCATGCCGGGCGCGGTGGGGGGTGACCTTGGACTGCTGCCCGATACAACGGGCTCGCAACGGCAGCAGACCGGGGGGGACGTGGATGGCGACGCTGTCGCGGACGGGGACGTGCAGCTCAGCCTGCCGGATAGGGAGCTTTACGTGCGTTGGCTGCAATTGGCGACTTTTTTGCCGGTCATCCGGTTCACCCACCTGCCGAGCAAGTACGCCGACGAGAGCGTCCTCGAGATCGCCAAGAGCCTGACGACGTTGCGCCAGAAGACTGTCACGCCGCTGCTGAAAAAGTACGCCAACATAACGTTGGACACGGGCCTGCCCATCATCCGGCCGCTGTGGATGCTCGATCCGGCCGATCCGGCCTGCCATCTGGTGGTAGACGAGTTCTCGGTCGGCGAGGAGCTCATAGTGGCTCCGATCCTCCACTCGGGTAGTCGGCAGCGCGAGGTTTACCTGCCCGCTGGTGTCTGGAAGGACGGCATCGACAAGAGCCTGCGCAAGGGCTCGCGCTGGATACACAACTACCGCGTAGCCGAGGACAAGGTCGCCTACTTCGTCAAGATGCCCGACGACATGAGGTTTTAGACCGTTGTATACAAGTATTTTTCATACATACACGACCAAAGAAGGGAGTCATCCCAACCCGGTGAACATCTTCTTTTATTTCTGTTTTTTTTTTTTTTTAATTATATTTTAAGTACATTCCGCATCAACTTGACGTTCTTTGCATTTTAGGAATAATTCCATATTGTGCACTGTCGGTATATGATTTTTGTGTAAATATATATACGTGTACGTTTATTTAACCTATGTATATATATTACAGTTTTATCCAGTCTACTTATAGAGATTTTTACGATAAATCGACTAATTGGTAGTAATTCAATGTTAGTACTGCAGGAATTTGGTAGAGCGTTTTTCCACAGATTTATGACTGCCGAATCTAAGAACCTAACCTACATTAAGTGATGCAGGGTTATATAAATGTATTGCATTGAATAATTACCACACAATAGTTTTAAGCACGTTACTATTAATACTTTTCAAGTTCCTTCATTAAATTTATTTCGGTGTGTGTATTATCTCGAAAGTTTGTAGGTTATATATATAGTCTGAAACTCGAAAATTACATCAATTTTTATGGATAAACTTAAGGAATATTTAGGATTCATGCAATTTTCCGTCGTGAAAGAAATATTAAAATTACTATTTGTCAACGAGAGCCTGCACGTCAGAACGTGGTAAACAATCGCTGTCGCAAGTCGGCAAGTAGTCATAATACTATATGAGCTGTAGACTAATATAGTAACTCTAAACTGTCGAACCCTGTCCCTATTATCAAGGATTTGAATTATACCCAAATAAATATAATAGTACGTTGTATAGCCCCGTAAAAATTTTTTAAGTAAATTTATTGTGTTATGTATTGGGTAAGAAATAACATTTACTTGTATATTATTATATATATTCTCTTTATTTGTACTAAAAAAAAAATTCGCTCGGACAAAAAGTATTATATGGTTCACTAAAATTTTGTGACCCAGCCGTTATTAGTATTATATATTTTATATGACTCATAAAATTAAATAATAAAATACCGATTGATAATTTAAAGCCTTGAATTTTTTCGTGTCATTTTCCAATGTGTTTATACAACAAAGATACGCAGGTGCACAACAATCAGACATGCACAGCATCAAAGAAGACAACGTGCACGAGGATGAAACATCGATAGTGTTTAAATAAAATTTAAAAGGACGAGGGAAAGAAAAACAATTTCTCGTAGGAATAGACAAAAAACATCAAGCCTCTCCAACTAAGATTGATCGGCTTTTTTACAATTATATCACCTATGGGTGTATGTAGCATAACATTATTACTTCTATAATAATCATAGCACCATGAACACTCCACAGAATTCGTTATTTCTCGATAACGCGATGCGGCGGTGCGCTTCGAGGAATGAGAACTAAAGGCGATGAAAATTTAGCTTTTTCTTTATTTTTACTAAAAGTAGCGGTAGGAGCTTTGTTTTGGACTCACAAGAAGCATAATAATCGATTCATTTATTTTTCGTTCTCGTAAACTTGGGCGATCGAACAATCAAGTACAAGACGTATACATGTACATAAAATCAGATACAACTCTAATAAATGTATATATTTATGCATGTATTATGCTGGTGCTGCTGGGCTTAAAATTATACTGCTGACTAGAATTTCGAATTGAACCTCTTCGATTTCCTTTTATCATCGAGTATTTTTTATTTTCAAGCGCTAAATCATATAATTATCCTAATCTCAACGACGGCAATAACAAGTTGGAAAACATTGGTCGCAACGAGTAGTACAAAAAAAAAAAAAAAAAACCAGATGATAAGAATACACCCGCAAGAGACTAATCCTCTCTTCGTGCCATTGTTTATCCAGGAAATGAAAAAAAAAAAAAAAAGACACAGAGCTCGTTCACAAAGCTAATAATGACTTGAATTAATGTATATTGTGTATATTACTTATATCATCGATGTAGACGTACAACAATTAACGATGACAAATGAACGACAATCGGTAATCGTCAATCGATGCTTTAGAAGAGGGTTGAAGCTGAAAAAAAAAAGAATAGAAGAGACACCCCTTGGATGGGGCCTCTCTTCTATCGACAGGTACGAATTTGCCGCTAATTTTGCGCAAATTCGATTGTTTTGCCGTTATTTATAACTTATGTCTTTTTTATTTATATATATTTAACAGTAATCATAATATTAAGATGAATTCTTGAATTGCGTTCCCATCCCCGGCTTGCATCGCGATATTCGGGGCTTAGTGCGGGTGCTCATAACCTCATTTCCTCTCGCTCTACTATAAGTAAGAAACCTTTCAACTTTCACCATTACATTCTTTCTCATTCAATTTTTTTTTTTCTTTTTTTTATGATTTTTAAACATTTTTTCTATATTTTTTATTAGTTTTTTGTTTTCTTTTCATTTTCATCTATCCCGTTCTTTCGTACTTTTTTTCGCCATATCCCTTCTCGATAATGCGATTTTGAAAATTTTCTCCTCCTTGCACATTAAAGCTCATTTGTAATTTCGCACCATACTGTAATACATATACTAATTGCATATTCAATTAAATATTCTTTCACGTATTGATTTCATTGATTGCAAAGTAATACCCCCCCCCCCCTTTCCCTTAGGATTCACTCATTCGCGCACTATTGAAATCACAAATAATAAAAAAGGAGATGTGCTTTATTAATCTTATCTATACTAATATTAATACGTTATTTTGTTATACATGATTCGTGATTCCAAAATTTGTATTACTTTTAACGATGACTATGATAAATAGCTGGTCGATCGCGATTCGAGTTAAGTTTGGTAAATAATAAAAATGAATACAAATATAAATACGCAAGAATAAACTTCGGCACATCGTCCTTTCAACGCTTTAATAACTTGCGATCAATTTCACTCTCTTTTATTTTGCTTTCACTTACTCGTCCAGCTTCACCACACACAGTTCTAATAAAATGTATGGTTTATAAAAAGCTTGATTATTCGCGAATTAAGGAAACCGATGATGATCATGATGACTTTAACTACACGTAAAACTATATAATTATCAATCGCAAATAATTCGTTTCTGTAAAAACTTATGTTTGAAATATATCGTTTCGTTCATTATTTCTAATGTTTCGTCATAATGCTTATAAGTATCAACTCGCAACAACACATTGTACAGTAGAAATAAAATAATAACTAATAGTAATAATATTAAATACCGTCAGAGTATATATAAGCTATATCACTAACCATGTGTAACTGTTAACGTCGTTATTATCAAAATGTATGGTCGAGAGAAAATATCGGATGAACAATTTAATAATGTACAGCTTACACGACGTGGTTGCAAACGGGTTTTTCTAAGGCCAGCTGAAAAATAGTCGGTAAAAAACTTACCTAGGATGTAAGCCTTTCAGTTATTGGTCCCTTTGCTTTACCATTTCTTAGCATAGGTGTGTGGATACATATATTCGCTGTGTGCAAGTCATTGGAGGAGAAGGCTGAAGGCGAGTGTCACTTTAGCACATGTAATTGTAAGGTAAACCTTATGAAAACATTCTTTAATAACACCGATGGTGGTTGCTCCTACTATTTTTATTTCATTTCATAAGATTTAGTTGGAAAGTCCTTCAGAAAGAGGGCAGTATCGAATTTGCACACAGTGAATATGAACTTTCAAATATTTAGAAGTATGCCTTTCGTATACATGTGTGTTGTATAGCTGCTGAAACGTGATAGTAAGATGGCTGCATTGTCATGTCAATGACTTTGTGCAACTGGGAAAAAAAGCTAGAAGGATCAATAAAAAATTAAATATCTAGAAATGGAACAATAATACAAAGACAAATCATGATGAAGGGAGATAATTTAGAGAAAAAGTGAAAATAAATTAGTGCGTGACTGACAGGAAATTAGTAGGTATCAGCTGGTACCAATAACTGTTAAGCTCTCTACAACTCGAACGAGATCAGACTCTCGTTTAATCACAATTCTTCATTTGTTATCTCACACGTTATTTGACTTCCTATATGAGAATCTCGGACTTCACTGCGTATCATCATCATCATCATCACCATCATCATCATAATCATCATCGTCATTGTCACACTATATGTCAACGTCATCGTCGATTTCGTCGTCATTCATCATTCATCATCATTATTACTGTCGTGTCGTACTTAAACGTCTCTCTACTGTAAAAATCGCAAATCGCACTTTTTAGACTAATTAGAGGAGCGTCCTGCGCACATGGTCGCTCGCCGACCGGCCGGCAACCACCCACCATCATCACATAACTTTCTTTTTTTGCGACCCAATCACATTTACATTATAAATCATTGAAGGTTTTTTTTTTTTTTTTTTTCGAATCTCGGTCTTACACTTATTAGTGGCCTCTCTTTATCCAATTTCCTTTCTGTCTTATCAATGTTATTCTTGAAACCATTTTTTAATGGAGTTTCATATCGTCGAATCAGAGCACTTTATTCTCTTGTATCGTTCATCAGGCTTTAACAACTGCCTAAGCGTTTATCGTAGTATTTCATTCTCAAACTCTTTTTTTTCCTATTACAGTACATAATTTGATAAAATAACAACAAGCAAATCAGTAAACAAACTGGTGCCAGCTCAGCTTAAATATAATGATCAACAACCCTGTCTGTCTGATTAAATTTCTCTCTCAACTTATTCAAAACACGTACGTTAAATTCATCGAATTTTCAACCGTTGTAAATATTTTTTAATCCATTGTAGCAATAAATAACCAGTATTTTCGAGTTAACTTTTTTGAAAATGTTAAATTCTTAATCGGTCACACGCGTATTACCAATCAACGGAATAGAAATTCAATTTATTTCGAAATAATAAATATACAGCTTATTTTATAGGTTTATGAGTATCTTTTGATTTGAGGGCACTCACTACTATCATCATCATCATTATCATGCAACACTTTTTATATCCAGCTCTCTCATTTCAATCAATACTTAATTTTTCGAGAGAGCATGGTTATTATGTACCATAGCTAAAACATGGTATTCATTCGCATAAGCTTTTCTCTCTTTGAAACTCTTCTGTTTCTTTTTACCAGTAAATATTTCACTCTGAGTAAATAAATATGGATTTTATTGATAACGATTTGTGAGATTGGAAATTTTTTGTTTTTCCAAAAGAGCCTAACATTAGCTACTTTTTGCTGGTATTAGTAGCTTTTATGTCCACCTTTTTTCTGGATGGATGAATTTTTTTTCTTCTAACATTTAATCAACAATGTTGGCGATTAATTTACTCACTACAGTGGAAATGATGCCGCTCATTGTTTTTTTTGTTTTTTTTTTGTTTTTTTTTTGTTTTTGTTTTTTTGGCTTTTTGAAGTCTTTTAAATTAAGGACGTGTTAACGAGAGTTTATAAGTACGTAATTTTTTTTATGCTTGTCACATTTTCTTTTTTCAGTTCTTTATGATTTGATCAATGGCCGGATGTATGCACTTACAATTTTTTTTTTTTTTTTTTTTTTTTTTTTTTTTTTTTTTTTTTTTTTTTAAGATCTCAATAAATTTGGCAAACATCCAAAAATTTTCCATCGTAAATACCTAATAACTTGTATAGATGTTGCTTGAAAGCTAACAAGTAATACATCGAGTCATTTTTCAAGGTATAACTATCTCTCTGAATTTTAAATGAAGTGTTTTAGAGTATCATTCATATGACTCAGGTAATCGGAAAACAATGGATTTTATTGGAAAGTCAAGCTTTAATCGTAAATAATGTGAATTATTATTTATGCTCTCCAAATTTCTACAGCAACACTCAATGCAATTCTAAGACTTGTTGATAAAAGAAAAAATACAATGACTTTATCATTGTATGTTTACTTATATAACTGCACAACATTGATTAAAAAAAAGTAAGGTTTAGTTGTTTGCAGTTTTGTTTTTGTTTTTAGTAAATTTAATACTTTAAAAACGATTTTTATTGGCCATCCATCCCGTGTATAACAGTTTTTTGATGGCTCTCGCAATTTGATTTTAAAAATCAACCATCAATACTATTATCTCTGTGCTGGTTCATTAAATAATGATACATGCAAAAATTGGACTCTAGTGTAAGTTATTTATAAAAGCGCGCGAAAAATAAAATTTGCGCAACAACTCGATTAAACATTCGAGCGTCGCGCAGCTCAAAGGTGCAAATAAAAAGTTTGAGGGCGGCTTGTTTATCGACTCTGTAAAATACGTGACGGTTTTTATACATCAGTTCATCAATGTGTATACGCATACGCAGAATACGCAGAGACAAATAGACTTTGAAAAAGTCACCACAAGGACGGGAGTTTGGATGATGTGTGTATCAGCGTAAAGAATCAATATATAGTGTGTCAACAATGAATGGTAATAATGGTTATTATTACCTAAAGCCAAAAGGATTAAACTGGCGTGGAATAAAATTTTGCTCTCTGCTGTCCAAGTGGAAGTGTGACCTTTTTTTTTTATTATTATTATTATTACTCGGTAGTAGGTAAAAATTTAGGCCTAAACGTGCGGATCTTTAAATTCAACCATTACCGCAGGACAGACCGCAAAAACCTAGAATTCCAATCTATACGCACTGCAGCTGGTTTCGTGATCCTGAAGATTTATCGTGCATCTCGATGCCGAAGGAGAGAGATCTATGTGATTGGCTGCCAGGGCCTCTTCGTTATCGGCAACCCAGTACCCCAAGGACTCCGTGTCGTACGTGGGAATCATTGTGACTTCTATCGATGAAAATTCTCATATGAAAATACATGTTTTTTTGACTCAAACTACTTATTGTACGTGCAATACCACCTACCTAAGTCTTTGTCTTCCCAAGTCTTCTTCGCTTCGAGAAGTGCATCATAGACCTCGCGGCTCGGCTCCGTGCCACTGAAAACGTAGTAGCGGGCTCGGATCTTCTTGAAAAACTCCAGGGCCGTGTAGAACGAATTACCGTGATGGGACACGTAGGTCAAGTCCATATAGATCGGTTGAACTTTGTTTTTTGAATCCTTTGCGCGTTTCTCGTTCTTGACGGGGCTCTCGGAGCGCTTTTTGTTCTTCATGTTCTCCGATAAGACCTTTTTCGCCTGCTTCTTGTCCCTCTTGGGTGTACCGGGTGACGCCTTGTTTGAGTACTCGTTGCTCGTCGGCGCTGGCGAGGGTAGTCTCATGGGCTCACCCCAGTCGTTTATGGCATCAAAGTTGAGGCTGTCGGGGCTCAGATCGGCCGAGCTGCAGGGCTGCACAGGACTCCGCAGATTGAACTTGCGGGGTGCCTTCGGAGACGGCAGTCCGAGAGGACTTCCCCAACCAGCTAATGGATCCTCCTTGTCGCCGGCCGGCTTGGGGCTCGTACTACTGGCGCCCCCCGACTTACCGTGCTCAGACTTGGAAAGCTCCTGAGTGAAGCTGCTGCTGCTCTCGAGAGCTTTGTCAAAATCGAGGTCTGCCTCGTCGACGTACTTTTTTGAGCCTCTCTCGGTCTGCGGGCCAGCGTACTCTTTCTCGACGTGGAACTTGCCAAAGGAAAACTCCTCCTGTTCTGCCATTATTTCCGGGCTCTTTCTCAACGAAGCTCCGTAATGTCCGATCTCGCTTGGTAGCTCGCCGTAGAAGCTGCTGGTCATCGTTAGTCCTGAGAAGTCGTCGGAAACAGCTTCTTTGACCAACGGTTGTCGTGGATCTGGGTGATGTGGAGAGGACGACAGCGCTGGGCTGGACGGCTCCTCGTCAGAATACGTCTGGCGTTCCTCGCTACTGCCCCAGACGTGCGTCGCCGCTCTACTGTGGCCACTGCTCAGATCGCTTCGAGGACTCGTTGGATCGGCTGCCTTGTCCGTCAAGTCTGAAATCGGGCTCGGCGGTCGTTGAGTGTCGATTGATTTGATGTCGCTCATGAAGCTTTCCGGCAGCTTTTCATCAACCTTCACGTCAGTCTTTTCAGTCAGCACGATTGTCTCGCCCTTTTCATTCGTAGCTTCCGTCACTTCTTGGGTAGTGGTGATGATTTCGCCGTCGCCGCTCATAGTTCGCGTCGTCGTTATTATTGTGCGAATGACGTCTCCAGAACGAAAGCCTTCCGGGGTCGCGGTTCTTGATCGGTTGTCCGATGATCTCTTGTCGGGCGTTGATCTACCAGAGAGATGCGACTGCATTATACTCCCGTCCCGAATCAAGGGGGACATCGATATGTCGGGCGTCGACTTTCCTGTTGAGCCACTGTGAGCGGTGTCTTTTGGTCCTACGCTAACTGCTTCGGTGCTGAATGATTTTTCCGACTTGCTTTTGTCGTCGGTTATCAACTCTCTGATAATAGAAGTCGACTGCACTAGTTGTTCTGAAAAATTAATATAGGTGAAATTTTTTGGGATCAACTTGTCAATCACGCGTTATTTCTTAAATTTAGACTTACCTTCCAAATCAGATTGGTGTTGAATGTCATCCAATATAGATTGACCCAGGGAAGTTTGTTTGACTTCGACGGATGATTTTATTTCTTGCCATGGAATTCCTTCCACAACAGCACCGCTTTTCATCGATTCTCTTCTTATTTCTTTAGTTTCATGAGGCTGCGTAGTTATTTGAGTAGTTTTCGTAACCGTCACGCTTTCGGTACGAATGACGTTATGCTGTATGTCCTCCGTTTGCATCAATAATTTTTCATTGGACTGTTCCACGTGCGTTCCTCCGATTTTCTCAGGCACATTGGTGATTGTCGTTGTCATCGAGCTCAAGTTTTCAGAAGTTAAATCCGCTGTAGCATCATTTCGCGGCCCGGAATCTGGAGTAGATTTTTCAGATAACGTTGTTATGTGCGTAGTTTTGATTTCGGTCATTCCACCAATGAAGGCTTTATGAAATGCGCTCTCATACTCGTCATGGGATGCATCTCTCTTCGACTGACTTTCTTCTTTGAAACCTTCTCTTTTAAAAAGTTCCTCCTCTAAAGGATCTAAAATCGTACAAAAATCGAGTTCGACTACTGATTCTCTTTTGAGATTTTGTGAAGTTATTATGTTTTCAATAACCAGTATAACTAAATGCCGGGTTACCGAGTTTGCATGTGCAATTTCATCTACGATAGTCGAACTGATTTTTCTTTTTTTAGATATGAATTCTTCATTTATGTAATCCACAAGTTTTTCTTGATCATCAAACATCTTTTGAGTAGTATCTTCTATTTCTTCTTCTTCAAAGTCTAATATTGCTTCTCTATTAGTTTTCAAACCAGCAACAATTTCATTTACAATTTTCATTATAATGTATCGATCAATTTTATAAGTGGAAGATAACTCGTTGATGACTTGAAGAGTAATTATATGTTTTTTATTAATATATTCGTTAATTATGCAATCTTGTATTGTTTTAGTCGTCTTAGGACTTAAAGGTTGATGATAGAAAATCTCTTTCGAAAACTTTTCTTCGGCTATATCGACGAATTTTTCTCCTAATAAATGTATTTCTTCTGTTTGCTCCTCTGTAACTTCAATGTTTTCCGTATCTAAGAAACTTTGTGACCGTGATCTGTTCTTATTTTTATCTCCCATATGGCTTTCTATACTACTGACTGAAGCTCTATGATCACCCGTAAAGTCTTGAGCTAAAGTTTCTGATTCTATTTTTTCACTGGATGGACTGATGGATTTTGACTTTTCAAAAACATCTTTTTCGGTAATTAAATCTCTAGAATAACTAGAAACCTCACTCAAATCACCCATTTGTTGTTTGGGCTCTGAAATACTGGATGATCTGGATTCGGGTGCCAGTTTTTCTGTATCCTTTTGAAGAGCGTCAAAACTCATTCTACCTTCGATACTGGCAGCTTTAACATGAGATTCTGCAAAATTGTTATCGAAAGAAATTAATGTTTCCCCGTCATACTCTCTATCAGCCCTTAAACAATAATGCTCTAAATTGTCGGTTGTAGATATTGGCGTAGTATCTGTTGGTTCATTTGTATTCATACCTTTCTTTTGTTCAGAAAAAATCGGTGTTTCAGAGAGTTCATGTTTTTTCTCAATGCTTCCTAGTTGTAATCCATCATCTTTAGAATCTAAATTTTCATCAACCACTTGAACAGTGGATATCGTACTTGACTCTTGCGTTTTCTCAGTTTGTTTTTCGATACTTTCAGATTCGGATCCATGAGATTCAATATCTAATTCAACCACGTCTGCAACGATATCTTTGGTATCTATTATTTTTTCAGGAAATTCTTTTCTATCTGTATCTTTCTCTACACTCGGGGACTTCGACCGATCACTTACAGCTTTACTGAGTGGTTCTAGCGAACTGTCTTTTTTGCTTATTTCTTTTTCCACGCTTGGTGATTTAGATTTATCACTTGTTTCTGACTTTACTGAATCTTTTTCTACATACGAAGTTGGCCATTTTTCGTTTAAGATATTTTCTTTCTCAACACTTGGAGATTTGGATTTATCACTTTTCGAATCAACGTTAGAAACGACTGAAATTCCACTTTCAGAACTATTTTTCTCTAGTTTTGAAATTTCTTCCATTAACTGTGTTTTAAAACTTAATGAATCAGATCTTTCATTTCTAACACCACTTATATTAAAACCGGTATCTTCTTTATGTTCACCACTTACAGACTTTTCTGGGGAAGAATCTTTAGTTATTTCTTTTTCAGTACTTGGTGATTTAGATTTATCTCGATGAATCATAACAGGCTCTCCAACTATTTCAGGTGATTTCTCTTTTCCAAACATTTCTTCAGCTAGAATTTTTGTTACATCCCTTTCGGCGCTTGAAGATTTTGAATTATCTAATTCAATCTCTGCATCTTCAGATATTTTTTCTGTTTTTACCATTTCTTTTTCTACACTTGGAGATTTCGATTGATCTTTAATGTCCGGTATAACAAGGTCTTGAATTTCATCATCAGATATATCTTTTTTTCTCACTTCTTTTTCAATACTTGAAGATTTGGGTGCGATCTGTAGATTTTCTGATGTTAAATCACTAACGTCAATACTTTCCACAAAAACAGCTGACGTTTTACGTGAGGCTCCTGTTTTCTCGATCTCTTTATTATCTCTGATATCTGATTTATGCAATGCATCTTTAATTATGTCATCAGATGTTTTTTCTGCTTCATTTCCAGGACTTAAAGAAGTTTTGCGTGATATTCCTGGGTATTCCGCTTCTTTTTCTATGCTTGGTGACTTCGATTTATCGTCTTTGATATCTTGATTTTCCAAACTTATAACAATATCATCAGGTACTTTTTCTTTTTCTAACATTTTTTCTGGACTTGGAGACTTTGATTCATTTTTTACAGTCGATGTACCTGTCTCTATCTCAAGACTTGGAGATTTAGATGTGACATTAGAAATTTCTAATGTTGCATCAGTTACATTGATATCTTCTGCAATAATAGTTGAAGTTTTCCGTGACTCTCCTGATTTCTTAATTTCTTTTTCCACGCTCGGTGATTTAGACTTATCTTCTTTCCTTTCTAAATCTTTTTCCAAGCTAGGGGACTTGGATTTGCGTTCTGAAATATCAGATTCTACATCGCCCTCATCCATATAATCTACAATAGTGGATGCTATTTTTCCCATTTCCTGAATTTGTTTTTCAACACTTGAAGACTTTAATTTATTGATTTGCTTATCTGATTCTCTTGTATCTTCGATTTCAACGTCAGATTTTTTTTCTGTTTTTTCAAACTTTTGTAAACTTAGCGGTTTAAATTCAGTGCTTGATATTTCAGATTTAATATCGCTTGCATTTACAACCTCCAATGATGTAATCGACATTTTTCTCAATTCTTCTGATTTCTTGATATCTTTTTCAATACTTGGCGATTTGGATCGATTATCTTTGATATCCGGTTTTTCTGTTTTGTCCGAGATTTTCGCTTCTTTTTCTAATTCTTTTGCAGGACTTGGAGATTTGGATTTTACTTCTCCAACCATCGAGGTTTTTCGAGATTCTCCTGTTACATTAATTTCTACCACTTTCTGGGATTTAAATTCAGCATCTTTGATGTCTACTATTATTTCCCCAAATATTTTATCATCCTCTTCTGTTTTCTTTTCAGGACTCGGAGATTTAGAGACTGCGATCTCAGATTTCACATTATCCAAATCAACACCTTCTGCATTAAATGTCGACATTTTACGTGACTCAGATATTATTTCTTTTTCTATACTTGGAGATTTAGATGTTATATCTTGTACATTTATTACTTTATCGTGCGTTTCATCTTCTTTTTCTTCAACTTTTTCAGGAGTTGGCGATTTTGATTTACCTACTATTTTCTCAAAGCTTCCATCAGTTACGTAAGTGTCTGTCACAGAAGTAGTTGATGCTTTACGTGATGTGTTAACAATTTCTTTTTCTACACTTGGTGATTTTGATTTTACATTTTCAATATCTTTTGTTTCATCTGACATTTTTTCTTTTTCAGGGCTGAAAGACTTTGATTCAAATTCTTCAATCATGGATTTCACATCTTCAGGGTGTAAATCTTCCACAGTAATAGCTGAAGTCTTACGTGAAGCGCATATGATATCAATTTCTTTCTCTACACTTGAAGACTTTGATTTTGTATCTTCAATATCTGAATTTTTTTCTTCTCTCTTTATTTCTTTTTCAGGGCTGATAGATTTTGATTTAAATTCTGAAATTTCAGATTTCACGTCACCTATGTTCATGCCTTCTACTGAAATAGCTGAAATTTTACGAAATTCCCCTATTTTCTCAATTTCTCTTTCTACACTTGGTGATTTCGATTCGATATCTTTGGTTGTTTTAATTAATGTTTTGCCATCTTTTTCTGCCTCATTTACGGGACTAGATGATTTAATTCCTATAGCGTCAGGTTGCACACCAACTATATTCATATCTTCTACTGAAATAACTGAAATTTTACGAGACTCTAGTGTGTTCTCAATTTCTTTTTCTGCACTTGGTGATTTTGATTTGATACCTTTAACATCCGTTGGTTCATTGAATACATTTTCTTTTTTTTCTGACTCTTTTTCAGGGCTCGAAGATTTCGATGTAACAACCCCTATTATTTCGGATTTTACATCACCAGCGATGACATCTTCTGCAGAAACAGTTGAAAGTTTATATGTTACTTCTGTATTATCAGTTTCTTTTTCTACACTAGGAGACTTTGATTTTATGCTTGCAATATCTTCTATTTTTTCTTCTTTTTTTGTTTCTTTCTCAAGACTTGGAGACTTTGATTGCATTTCTTTCATTTCAGATTTCGCATCACCACTGTGAATACCTTCTATTGAAATAGCTGAAGTTTTACGTGACTCTCCTATTTTATCGATTTCTCTTTCTGCACTTGACGATTTTGATTTCATAAATTCTTTTGTTTCATGAGATGTTTTGTCTTCTTTTTCTACCTCCTTCGTGGGGCTTAATGATTTAGATTTGATTTCTTTCTCTCCTGTATCCCCGATTTCTTTTTCTACACTTGGTGATTTCGATTTGGCATCTTTTGTATCCACTGATACTTTTTCTTCTTTTTCTGCTTCCTTTTCAGGGCTAGGAGATTTTGATTTAACCCCTATTATTTCGGATTCTACACCACCAGTTATAATATCTTTCTCAAAAGTCGCTGAAATTTTACGCATTGTTCCCATACTTTCAATTTCTTTTTCTACGCTAGGAGATTTTGATTTTACATCTTTACTATCTTTTGTTACATCAGACGTTTCTTCTTTTTTCGACTCTTTTTCAGGAGTTGCGGATGTTGATTTATCTTGTATGACTTCAAAATCATCATTATTTATGCTAATACCCTTGACAGATACAGCTGAGGTTTTACGTGATTCCTCTACTTTCTTAATTTCTCGTTCTATGCTTGGTGACTTCGATTTGCTATTATCTTTTTCTGATTTTTCTTCATCATCTTTTATATCGATTGTTTTATCTTCCTTGTCAGATTCTTTTTCTGGACTTGATGATTTGGATTTTTCTTTCGGGATCTCAGCTATTATGGAGCCTGCATCGATGCCTTCCATTGTTAATACTGACGTTTTACGCAACTCTTCGAATAATAATTTCCCAGTTTCTATATTTACATCTTCTTCTGCAGTGACTATTGATGTTTTACGTGATTCTGCCATTGCTTCGACTTCTTTTTCTACACTTGGAGACTTTACAGTACTATCGTAGATATTTTGTTTAAGGGTATGACCACTTTGAACTGGTATACATGGTGTTTGGTGTAATTCTTCAATTTGTTGATCTTCTTTTTCTGCGCTGGGAGATCTTGATTTATCATCAAAAACATCTTGTTCAGTGGTACTTTCCTTAATCTTGTCATCGAGTGTAACTAATGATTCTGGCGATTTCTCTTTTTTGTATGCGTCTCGTTCAGGACTCATTGATTTTAACTTATTTTTTTCAACATCTGTTGTAATATCTTTAACGATTGTATCGTTAGGACTAGTTGATTCTTCTGGTAATTTTTCTTTTTCCAATATCTCTCTATCCAAACTCAGAGATTTAGATTTTTCATCTTTTACATTTTCTATTTCATCTAAAGTTTCATCTTTTTCGGGACTCCGTACCTTTAATAGTTTATCTTCAGTATCTAATTTCACAACTTTTGTCAACTTATCTTCAGAAGTATCTAAAAGTTCCAATTTCTCTTCTTTCGTTACATCTTTTTCGTCGCTTGGTAACTTGAAATCCCTACTTGTTATTTCCTGATCTACTGTTTTCGCAATATCCTTGCTAAGCTTATCATCGTTATCTATACTTTTTTCGGGAGTTGGGGACTTTATTTTTGTTGCTTCAGTTTGTGTTTCAGTAAAATCTTTTGTTTTGTTTTCCGAAGGAGCTGATGATTTTATCAATGTATCTTCATTTACGGTACCCGATTCTACACTTGGTGATTTCAAGTTGTCATCTTTGATATAAGCTTTTGCTGTATCTATGAGTACATCATCAGTAATTTTTTTTGTTTCTTTCTCAGGACTCGTCACTGTTGGTATCTCTTCGTTCATTTCCACATCGGTTATATCTTTCACAATTTTTTCATCCATAACAGTAAATACTTCTGGTGATCCTTCTTTATTTAATACGTCTCTTTCTGCACTTGGAGATTTTAATTTCTCATCCTTAATTTCTGGCTGTACGGTGTTGATCACGGCAGGTGTTACATCTATTTCTTTAACTTCTAATTTAACACTTGGAGATTTTGAGTCATCTTTAATATCTAATTTAAGAATATCATCAGACGCTTTTACTTCTGACGATTCTTCTTTTTTCGCACTACCAGCTTCAGTAGTAGTTTGAACTGCCGAGTCACTAAAAATATCTAAAACTTCCGCAGAAATTTCTTTTTTGGCTATTTCCCTTTCTATACTTGGTGACTTTGATTTATCATCCAGAATATTTTGCTTCTCTATCGAATCACTGATTGAATCTGATGTTTTATCTTTTCTTACAACTTCATTTACGGGACTCAGTGATTTTTTTTCAGTCTCAATATTCTTATCAGTAGACGGTAGTTCAAGTATTTCACCTTTATCATCAGATTTTATGTCCACAGCTAATTTCTCTTCAAGGTCAACTAATTTTTCACATGTGTCTTTTTCACTAAAATCTCGACCAGGACTTTGAGGTTTAGACACATTTTCTCTACTTATTTCTTTTTCGACACTTGGAGATTTAGATTGACCTTCCAGTTTATCTTCAAAAATTTCTAGCTCCGTAGGCAGTTTTTTCTCACTAACTTCTCTTTCTGTACTCGGAGATTTTGATTTTTCATTTTTAGCAACATCTGTAGATGATTTTGAGAACACACTTTCAGCTGGTGATATTTCTCCTGATTTTAATGAATCTTGCGTTTTTGCTATTTCTAAATCTATTTTATCAGATAACTTCATATCATCTAAAGCCAAAAATTCTGTATCACTATGAGAGAATTTCTCTTTTGCCTCATCAAGATATTTTTCTTTTGTATCGGTTTCCGATACATCATAAGTTTCAACATCTTGATCGAGCTCATGTAAAATTTTGTCATTTTTCATAGCATTTTTATCAACTTTTTTACTTTCATCTGTAGCTTCATCAAAATTATCCACGATTTTGAAATTTTCAGGTAACATTTTTTCCGTGTCTGCATCTTTTGTTATCTCTTCTGATGATATATTTACAATATCTTTGGTAGTTTTTTCATCTTCCAAGTGTATAGAATCTCTTTTATTTACATGTTCAACTTGTGATGTTTCCTCCACAGTTTTTTCATCAGATTGACTGGCAAACACTCCCTCTTTTGTTACATTATCATCCAATATTTTTTTATAATCATCTTTTCTCGTCATTATATATTTTTCGATACTAGTATCAAAAGCAGATTCGTACGGGATTTTAAATTTACTCACAATCTCTTTCATATCGTCAATTATAATTTCTTTAGGCACATGCTTAACTATGGCTAAGTATTCTAATACTTGTGTTGAGATCTTATATTTTTTCGTAACTATGAATTCTTCAATAATACTTTCTGTACTTTTATCTTTATTCAAAACATTTTCATAATCTGATGGAAGCTTTGGAAGTTGCATTTCTGTGACTACTTTAGGAGAAGTAGGAGTAGAGCCAGGCGTAACAGTTACGAGTTCTGCTTTACCAGGTGATAACTTTTGATCAAATCCGATTTCCGATTCCATTATTACTTTTTCTCCGTCAGGTTTAGCATCACGAATACTATGTTCTGCTACCTCTTTAACATAAATATGTTCTAATCCTGAAACCATAACATCAACGTCAGTGCCAGTTTCAATTTGTGTTTCTGATTTTATCACACTAACTGATGGTAAGATATCATTTTTCATGATATCATCACAAATTCTCATCAAGTCTTCTTCGACTACATCTTTTGTGGGTGAATATACAGTGATATCTTTTTCTTTTACAATTTTGATACAAGATTGTTCTTGAATTTCAAAATCATCAGTAGTTACTTTATGTTTACCAGACGTATCGTCAACATCAGATATTTTTTTCGGTAGAAAATCATCTTCTTTAAGAACTTCTGCAACTTTTTTCACAATTTCCTCTACATCTTTGGGTTTTTCTTTTTCAATTTGTATACCTGCAGTACCCACAAGCACTTCGGCAACATCTCGCACAGCTTCTTTAAAGTCTCGAGCGATTATATCAGAGTCGTCGTCATCGTCATCGAAATCATCATTCGAAGGAATAATGAATTTGACTTTTTCTGGTTCTTTGGAATCTGCATCACTGACATTTGTTATAATGTTTGTGGATATATCCACAAGTTTTTCAGCTGCTTCCGTTAAGGAAGTCTTTACTACATCCTTTGAACCCACGTCCGATATAATCTTTTCATTTACCTTTTCTTCCAAAGATTCCAATGAATCTTGAAAACTCTCCTTAACATTTATCAACTTACTATCTGCCTCTTTTACACATATGTTAATGTCTTCTACGACAGTATTGCTTACCTCTTGTAACAATTTTTCAATTTTCTCATCTTCAGTTGTTGCTGGCGAAATTGTGGTAGAGATTTGTTGTTCCTTGTATTCCGCTTTCGGTTTCGTAATTTCTTCTTCAAATACTATCTTTTCTTGAGATTTAATTTCTTTTGGTGAACTTGATTTCGAAGATTTATCTTCTATGTCTTTGTCAGAGTCTCTTCTGGCTTTTTTGGTAAGCTTGTCAATACCTTTCTCAAATTTATCTGCTACCTTCCCAAAGAAGCTAAGCACTCCTTTACTACTTTGTTCTTTAGCCGGAGCAGCCACTTGCTCTTTCATATCTTGGAAATACGTTGACGTTTTGATATCTTTTTCTTTTTCTAGTTCATACATTCCATAAAGTTTTGGGTCCACTTCTTCGTGGACCGGTAAATCAGCAACTTCATCGGGTGTCTTTACGACATCTCTCGGTACATTATGCTGAGCATGTGTTTTTACGATCAACTCTTTGATTTCAGGTTTTGGCGTGATGGGTAAGGATTCCAGAATATCTTTTTGTTTCACAGAAACATCTTTTTCTTTTACTTGCTCTACGACATGTTTCTCGTCCACATCTTCTTTTATTTCATCAAGCGGTATTCTTTCATCTTCTGGCAAAGTCGGGGCAGTTGTAGTAGCCCCAGATTCTAAAGTTGAAATTCGTTCTTGTGATTCTTCCATTCTTTCAGGTACTTGTTCTTTCTGTTCCGTAACAAATTGTTTTTGTGAAGAATCCAATTTTTCAAGACTATGACCCGAAGGCTCTTTGGTAAGATCTTCACTATCTTTTTTTACAGAAGCATTTTTCTCCTCAATTTTTTGAACTGTCTCCATAGCTAAAGCAACTATTTGTTCAACCTCTTCTTTTAACTGTTCTTTTTGTTCACATGATAATTCTAGTGTCTTTTTTTTCTCTACTTCCAGATTCGATTCAACGAGCTGTTTTTCTGGTACTTCATCTTTCTTTTCTTCTGCAAAATCTTTATCTTCTTCTTCTTGTTGTTCAAATTCTTCTACTTGTGATCTACTTTCAGCATTGAAGCGAGGTTTTTCCGACTCAACTTCGTCAAGGTGATGTTTATGCTCAGCATCTCCACTTTGTACAGAATCTTCAGTATAAATTTCCTCTTTCTCTACGATTAAATATTCATCTTCTTCCGTGAGTTCCTGACTTTCTTTTCTACATATTTTTTTCGGTCCTTCGTCCATTTCTGCTGTAATATCTTCTTCGGTAAAATCTTCATCTTTCTTATCTGTCGCTTCAGCTGTTATTTCATCATCTCCTTCAAATCGCTCTTCTTTTCGTGCTTCTTCAATTCTTTCAGCTTTTTGTAAAACAGCTTCGATTTCTTCAACGACCTCTCGTTCTTCTTTCAAGTCAGCCAGTACTTTACTTTCAATAGAATCAAGAGACATATCTTCCGACTTTTCTGTCAAATTCTTGTCGATTAACTTTATAGCCGATTCTGGTTCGACTCCAGAAGGTGTTGAAACAGCTGATGAATCCGTCGTGCCACCTCTTACTTTTCTAATAACCGCGTCTTTCTCAGATTTCACGGATGCCGTTGGTGTGCTTCTTGTTGATTTCGCTGGACTCAGAGCTAAACGTACTTTACTTGGACTCATGGCCTTTGTACGACGGCTGAGAGATTTTCGTTCGCTTGGTTTTGGTTTAAGCGGAACTTTTTGCGTAGGGGCAGACGAACTTGTCATTGAAGTAAGTTCTATATTTTTTTGCTCCACAACCATTCGATTATTAGCTTCTTTTGCACTTTTCGCAGGAGTAGCAGAAGAAATTTTGGAAGTGGTTTTAACTGCAGATTTCACAATAGTTCTTGACGTCTCGATCTTTGTTCCTGTACCATTCAAAGTCTTTTTCGGAGTTGTCGGAGATGACTTGATGACATCTTTTTTTTCTACTGTAAGTTTAGGCTTTCTATCAGCAGATTTGACAGATGGCTTGATTATACTTTCAGGTTTAGTTGATTTAATCACTGTTTTTACGGCTGAATCTTTGGTTTCTTTTTTCTTTTCAATTTTTTGCACTTTTATGTCTTTAGCAGACGCAGTCTTTTCTGTTTCCACCTTAGCAACTTCAGTCTTTTTTGTTTCCGCATCTAATCGTTCAGACTTTTCTATTTTTTTCGTTTCTTTCTTTGCTTCTTTCAATTCTTTCTCAATTTTTTTATTTTCTTTGATTTCGGACTCAATTTTCTTGTTTTCTACAACTTTCCTGGCTTTTACTTCGGCTTTTAACTGTGAAGGCGCTGTCGGCTTTCCTGTTTTTGCAATATTTTCATCAATTACGGAATCTTTTTTAATATTTTTCAATTCGGAAATGTCTTTCTTTTCTCTACGTATTTCAGCTAATCGTTTCGTTTCGCGTTCAATCGAGCTTAATTTTGGTTTTGAAATGGCTGTTTTATCCTTGAGAGCAACGAGTGAAGAAGAAGGGGACACACTTTTGGCCGTACAAACTGGATGTTTTAAAAATTCCAAATGTTTTAAGCGTTCAAATCCTTCGAATATTTTATGCTGTGGTGTACTGCCTGGAAAGAGAATCCTAGTAATAGTGTCTTCAGGATTCGCTGGTTGCCACACCAACATTGCACATATTGATACAAGATTTTGAATCGGGAACATAATACTATTTGAGTCTTTTCTGTGCAATCCAGCAAAAAGTTTCGATTCGGAAGCATTCCACTTAGCCATGAATTCACGAACTTCACGGCTATCTTTGCTAGGACTTAAAACATACATATCTAATGTACCGTGACCAACTTTATGATACAAATTTATGGGCTCTGGATCTCGATAACAAGGATGTGGGCGAAGATTAATGTGACGTAGATTCACAATCATTTCCTGGCCAATATCAATGAGATCTAAAATAAGAGGATCCAGATCCTTATCACCATCTGGAGAATTTAAGTGCCTTCTCTCCTGAAATCAAGAACAAAATTTATTTCTCGTTAAACTGAATTACAAATAATTATACTTCTTAAGTTAAATTTGCTCTTTTGATATGAAATAAATTAATTATTTATAGATAGACATAAATGCTTTTAATGTTATTTATTTATAATCTAAAAAAAAAATTTATTAACTTGGCCGAGTAAATGCCAACGATAAATAAAAAATTTGCAAAATTTTAAAATAAATTTGATGTATACTGACAACAAGGTTGCAAAAAAAGTGTCCTATTTGCGGGTAGACGTGCGTTTCTTTCTTTTTTCGTAAGACGCTCGACATGCCGCCGACATTGCTATTGTTGATTCGAGTGATGAGTACAGCATCAAGACGATCGAGATGCCTTGCAAAATCCCAAAAGCAAGCCTTACGCGCGAAACCTCCATCAACCAGCATGTTAAAACCATTGATGCCAAATAAAGCGGCATCTCCTTGTCCGCCGGGAAACACGTACAAGGTCGGATGACTAAAGCGTATGTTTCCAACGACATCTGATGGTTCCATCAGTTGATCTAATGTTTGGGCTATCAGATATTGCCCAATGTAATTTATAAAACTTGTTATTGCTGGCACCCCGGCAGTGAGAACATCGCCAGGGTTTACCCTCACTCGACATGCTCTGTTAAGAAATGGTAAAAACGTTGGAAATTATTTTTTTGCTTAAAAAGTTTGAAAAAAATTATAAAGATACGGACAAACGCCACGTGTCATCGATAAATCTAATGAAAGTCCATGCAAATATTGATGTTTACACTAAACAAATGTGTTGATCATTATAAATTCATACGTAAGACTCTCGATAATTACTTTGTACAAAGTTCCTTGGAAAGACGAGATGTCGACCAGTCACCAACACCTGCGCAATGAATATCGACAGTTACGCTGTTTTCGTAAGCTCGAAGCACACGCTGCACCTCATGTTCGCTAAATGCATCCAAAAAGTCGGCCAAGCTAAAGGTTCCATCCTGCAATGCAATGAGAAAATTGGCACATTTTTAACTTTGTCTGACGATCCAAAGTCGATGAGAAAGCTAATGACCTGCAATATCCAGGAACCGTTTCCACCGAACGTGTATCCAGCATGAATAATGTGTCGGTGCTTTGTGAAACTCGCCAAAAGATTGCGTATACATTGCAATAAGGTATTGCTTTGAGGATAAATGAGAACCTCTGTTACGAGATTCTCTGTTGCATATTGTATTAGGCGTTCTCCTGTAATAATTCATACAAGTATTTCGTGCATTCACACTTTAATACCCAGTAGAGTGTGTATTTATTTAAGAATTTCAATTTATTTACCGTTTCTAGCTTCTTCGCCTTCAGGCGCTTGTGCTACTAAGGCTTGCAATTCTTTTTCTAGATCCACATGGCAACTGTCTTTATCCCAAGACAGGAAACCTGAAATTTAAGATAAATTTTATGTTGAATCATGTTTAAAAATACTCCTCCAAATAATTTGTTACGAGAAATTAGTTTTTTTTTTTTTTTTTTATTCGATCATACGATCCAACTTTCTTACTGGCCATAAAAAGTTAATCAAAAAATATGTATTTATAAGTAGGTTTATCGTGAATTTGTCAACCGCTATGTTGCCAACCGATTAGTATTGTCAAGAATAATAACAAAATGTCCACGAAATAGTAGTGTTGCGTGGATTAAATAAATTAAATTTTAGTAATTGTTTGAATTTTTTCTAAAAAAAATTTTCCAAAGAAGAATTCTCTTTGCAATAGTATTCTAAAGTTATAAGTGGTAAAATTAATGTGATGGTTGTAATATTCTTATATTTTAAACGTAAGCATGAAAATTCATCGTAATAAGTACGCTATCTGTGTAGAGGTAAAATATTTATTGATTCATAATCTCATACTTTAATATACTAGTCCGCTTTAGCATTCGTATGGTTTCATAAAACAGGGTCGCTAGAAAAAGTAAATGATACTTAAGGTTAAGGTAAAAATGTGAAATCATTAGTATATCAATTAACAGGGAAACATTCGTGGGTAGCTCAGAAAATTATTTTAGTGAAAATCAATAAGGAAATCAGTCAAAAGGGTAGCCAGTGGAGCAGTGGGTGACGTCACGAACACCGCACCCCCATCACGTGGTCCTTACCAACCGAGAATTGATCCATGTATACAACTTCTCTTCATCCAACTTCGACTCAACCCAACCTCAAACAACGATTTCTGTAGGTACTAAGTAAGTACTGTATTCTTAAAAAAAAAAAAAAATGAAAAAAAATTTTTCATCCCCTTACAATTTGTGTTAAAATTTATTTTCACGGTTGACTACCAACAATTTTATTGTTACTGGTATACTATTTAATGAATGCTGAATTATTTTCAATTTTTATTTGATAATTCAATAGTTCGTAGGACACTGTTGAATTTAAAAAATGCCTTTTTTCGTAATAAAAAATTTATAAAGCAAACTTAATCATAGTATGCGCGTGACACTAGTTGTAAGTTACTTGGATCACAAAATATGGTTAGTGATGAAAAGAAAAAAAAAAATAACTTTGAAGTTATTAATAATATCATGGTCCAATTTTTATTTTTTAACAGAACATTTATATTACTATTATTATTACGGGTATAAATGTAGTCTTACGCACATGAACTGAAAAGAATGAAATGTCGAACGGGAAAATAAAAAAAGAAAGAAAAAGAATACGTCACTCGAACAAAGCCAATTCATGAGCATTATTATGTAATTGTAATTTGATCCACCTTTAAGAGGTACATATATAATCAAAATTTACACAGACACTAGAAGTAAGGTCAGGTGTAGACTTTGTGACAAGGGACAGGAGAAATAGAAGAAGGAGGCAAAGGAGGAAGTGGCACATGAGGAGGAGAAGGAAAAAATAACAAAGACGCAAGGGTCGCCTCTTAAAGCCTCTAAATTGGTACATTGGTGAAGGTGCTCGGTAGTGCTGTGTCAAATTGATCGGAAGCCCTGAAGGTGATACGACGAAGCCGTGCTGAGCCTTGCGTCTTTGATGCTCTGGGGGACTCTCTTTTTCACCAGTATCCGCAATTCATCTTTTTCCGATGCGCTATGCATTTTTACGCTGTTCACTGCATTTCCAATATTTGCATTTACTATTTTTTTTTTTTCCTCAATGAAAATACTTTGTCACTAAAATCACGAGTGAAATTTTTTATCTTTCTATATACTATTTTATTTACCGCCTTAATCACGCTCGTGCTAAAGACAAATATAAATATTATAAACATCATGGGTCTCGAGACTCTTGATACTTCAATCTTTATTCTTTTCTCTATTTTTTTCTTTAAAGATAGAAATATGTGCCAAAGTGCGAAAAAGATGCTGCAAAATCTTTGTCTCGAAATAGGGTCAAAGGTACTTGACTAGAAAAATGCTGAACCATACGACTTTGCTGTTTGACTCGCTTGAAATACAGGACAAAGGATACTGTTTAAAATACGTAAGTTGAATTAAGTTTTAAAGAAAAATCAAAAATCATCGTTTTTTGCACAAGAGTTTGGAATACTGTTTAATAGAAACTGATGAGTTTTATTATAAAAAAAAAAAAAAAATGGGACATGTGTTATCTCATTTATCAAAGTAGCAAACTTTTGACAAAAAAAAAAAAAAATCTCACTTTGAAAAACAAGCTACCCACCTGCAGTCGCGCTCGTAAAAAAAAAATATCGAAACGTACCAACATAGTAAGCACAACAATCTCACCATATCCTGGTAAGCCATTGTTTTGATATTCTCGAAGATATCGATATTCGAGCTGCAAAGACACCGAGGCGAGGAAGCAGGTGGACACCTTGAATCTTATATGCCGGCACAACTGGCTTGTTACGCGCGTTACGTGCCCATATCAATGTACGTTGTTTTTAACAATTGATAAAAAATTGTAACGCATACGTACACTGTACAACAACACGATTCTTTGTATTGAGAAGACTACTACACTGTGATGAGTTTACATAAGTGGTACAGTCGGAATTCACGCGCGAGTACAAATCTTGAAAGCATCAGGGGAGGGTTCAGGTTCAAGACCAAGCCAGAGGCTAATGGGATATCCACGTTACGGCGCTAAAATGTCGGAGGAAAGAGACGAGAAAACTAGAGAGAGCGGCGTTCAAAATTAGATCCGTTGCATTGGTTTCCTCGCTCTCCCTATTTCGATCTCCGCGCGAAACCCGACGAATCGCGAATTCTCCCCATTGCACCGCTCATCCCTTATTTATTTATTCTTTTTTTCATTCACTCTTGAGATTATTTATAAACGACTAACTTTCCCCGACATCAAGTATATTTGCATTTATGTAGGCAAGTAGTAGTGCTGCGCCCACTTTACGATCTACCTTGACTGCTATAGCTGAGCACTTTTAACTGGAATCGACGATCGGGAACGCGAGAATAATGCATACACCTGCAGGTACATTAATGTACGTATATACTTCGGTATACATACATATACACACACTCGAAGATTTTTTCATTTTCAATTTAACCCTTGTTTTCATCATTTCGTCAACTACTCGACTCTATATTCTTGACTTTTCAATCATTTCAGGATACTCCGCGTAGGAAACGTATGAATTTGTTCATAATCGAAAAAAAAAGAAAATGAAACATCAGGTCGAGGCAAAGATTCATCCGACACATCCACCGGGCGCACATACGTATATAAAACACACCTGATGAGCCGACGGAGGAGATGACCGGCTATTGATCCAAGTTCCGAGGGACAGTGCCAACAACGAGTGAGTCACCCCAAGTACGCCCTTTTCCACGGTACAACATGTAGCGTGCTATTGTATCTCCGTATCCTCCGATTCTTTCGAATACGTCTGCCTCCTCCCTCTATACGCTCGTCATTTGTTTATCGATTCCCCACGCTAATTCCCAATCGCCTCGAACGCTCTAGTGTCGCGTTGTACTCAAGTTTCGTGGACGTCATCGGTACGTGACAGCTATACGTATTTTCAATACATCACATTGGGCATTGTATTATGTATCCACGTAGTTGCGTCGACGACGAAGGGACTCGAGATATACCGTTCGACGAAAGAAGAGTATACGTATTAGCGCGCGCTCGTGTGTACATGCACATACAAAGTTATTCCAGCGATCGGATGTGTATATATACATGTACGTAGATTATACGTGGAGATATTTCGAGGCCGCTGATGTATACCTTATACGTGCTGACGTGCTGATGAGCCTCCAGTGGTGAGCTTACACACTCACACATTGTCATTGAGTGCATGCACATGGCATATTACAGTATATAGACGGTTAAAGGAGAGCAAGTGCCGAAAATAGCGCGGAGAGAAAGACGCGGGGACCAAAAATACCCCATCGTAAATTCATCCCGTCTGCAGAGGAGATAGATATCCCTATGCCCTTCCTTACCCACTTGACTTTGAGCCCCCTCGGGCTGCCTTCTCCCCGATTTTTCACTTGGATTCGATAACGCTTTCCGAGCAGGATTTGCGTCGGCTCGACTCGAACAAACGTGCCCGCTTTGGGCATTATTTTGGAAGAAAAGCCGCCGCGGCTTTGCAAAAAAAAAAAAAATGGAGGGACGACGACGAGGGCGAACATAATAAGCCCCCGGTGTGTGGCGCATTGCGGAGTCCTATCGCACACGCGATAGACCGACCGAAAGTAAGTCCCCCTCCCCCCACGTCGGCGATCCGTCCTTGACCCTGCCTGCCTGCGAACACGTTTTTATTTAACCCCAAGCCGCTAACAACGCAGCTCAGCATGGGTGTACCTACGTATACGTTGAATAATATCGTTCTACATCCCAGCTGTGACGTACAGTTGTTCCGGTGATCCAATGTGGAGATCTGTACAGGTAGCGTTAGACCCAACGCCAGCGAGTCACTCGCCAACCCCCTTGTGCGCCTACTTATGACTAAAAAGCTTCTGTACTGTGTTGGTTCAGCTCGCGTTTGGAGATTTTGTTTTTAAAGAAGAAAAAAAAAAAGAGAGAGAGAGAGATGATGATGACGAAACAAGAAGTTTTGTTTACGCCGAGGATATATGAATAAACCGTATGGGTCGAGAGGGGCAGGGCAAGGGAAAAAACCCGAGCAACGTAAAAAGTACGCGTGGACAAACAAAGCAATAACTCAATATTGACGGACGAAAAGTGCGTCGTCGATCGAGCGGCACCTAGCAACAGAGCCCACTCGTATATATTGACACGCACATGAAAATACACGGCATACGTATGTGTACGTAGGTACCGATTTTTTTTTTTTTTTTTTTCTCTTATACGTATACACATACATAAATTATATCCTGGTCACTATGGCTCGCTTGGCCATAATGTCCTTTTATTTAGCGAATTGGCACGCGCGCGGACGACCGTTATATATTGGCCTGGTCCCTTCTCGATCGCGCCATACCACCCCTCCTCCCCTCTGTGGTGTATAAATCGTACAACTCGTACACGTTATAAAATTCTATACACATCCCGTGTGTTACATATACGTATATATGAGGTACCTAAGGGTATACACCTATACCTATCGTACTTATAGCGCGGCCGCGGAAGTCACGCGACGCCTTTCCGCGCGGGCATATATCGTCCGACTCGACTGCTACTATTTCTACTACTTCACGCTTATCTTTTCTGTATATACACATATATACATATATATATATATATATAATGTGCATGTTTTCACGTGTAATAATACCTCCTCCTTCTCTAGCTGACACTGATTTTTTGTTCATACCAATGCGTATTCATATTTCGTTACTGCTGTAATGGCCTTTCTTGCGTCATGCGCCACGATCCCTCCCTCTCCCTCCAACCCCACGGACGGACAATTAACGATCCGGTTGCGTGTGCCATTCCAAAGGCACATTCCAACGTATCGGAAAAACTCGAATAAAAAAAAAAAAAAAAAAGGTAATAACCAGCAGGTGTAAGTATATATATATACAATATATGTATACGCACCTTTGGCGAGTCGGTTGAGTATGAGGTCCTTGTGTTGGGCCGTGTGTGGCTCGGGAAGCACGACGAGTAGGTAACACCCGCTGAGGGGCGACGGTGGTGGATGCTGCTGCTGCTGCTGCTGGTGCGAGGGGGACGGTGCACCAGCGCCCGAGGGAGCCCGTTCCGTGGCGCCGGCCTCCTCGGTCGGGCCTCCACCTCCTGCCGGGGACGTGCCCTCGTCGCCCACCACTCCGCTCATCCTCGCCTATATGCGTGCCCAAATCATTCGGTTATTACCCCCTTTGTGTAACATCATATTGTACGCACCGCCAACTCGTTACCCTATATAATTAACGCAACGCGCTCGTGTGGGTGTTACACGTATACCCCTCGCGCTCTCGCTCCTTTATGTATGCGGTATACAACGGGAGTCAAGTATTAGGTGTTGTATGCGCGGCTCCGCGTTGCAACGGGAGACTCGGGCGCGCAAATGAGCATCGACATGCACACGCACGGGCACCCGTCACCTACCGGTCGTCCGAAATTAATCCATGATATATCACGATGTACGTATATAATATATGTATATTTGACGAAGATCGGTGATGTGTATATATATTATATGTATACGTGTAAATATAATGTATTGCGCTCACGCGCCAACCACCGATTGACGGTCAACGTGCGTGCGCGCGCGGTGAATTCACGCTGCTGGAAATTCAATTATTCAGCCACCGAGGGGTATCGATCGGCGCGGCTCTTAAGCTCATTTGGTGGACGCGGCAGAGGAGGGGCTTTCGGAGCTTTCAAAGTTGACGGAACCGAGCCGCCGTAGGTGGCTGGGAATAAAGAGAAGAGGAAAAAAAAAAAGAAAAAAAAAGAAAGAAAAAAAAGTTGTACATCAGGAGTACAAGAGCTGCTCGGAGGAGGAGGAGGGCCCCTCTATATACGGCTCCGTAACGTCAGACGCGTCGGAGGCGCTATCGATTTTTCCTTCGCGAGAAAGAGAGGGCGAGAGGCACTTCCACAGCTAGCGCAGGACCGCAGTGGCACGCGACTACCATCACCGACTCCCGAAGAAAGAGGCCCACCTCGACCGCGCAACGACTCGGCAAACGGCCGCAAGCTCGCAAAGGGAGAGCCTTCGTCCTCTCACCAGGGCACGGGGTAAATGGGGTCCGCAGCCCTCACTCCGGGGAGGAAATCGCCGGCAAGATGGCGGAGACTCACCTGCTGGAGAGGGGTCCTCCTGGGCCAGCTTTCACACTGGCGCGCGAAACTATCCGACCGGCTCTCTCTCTCTCTCTCGCACTATGTGTACTCTCTCTCTCTCTCTCTGTGTATGTGTGTGTATGGGGGGTGGGTGCGCGTGTCGAGCTTGACGCACGAGTCTGTCGAGCGGACTGGTCGGCCGCTCTCGGTGGACTACCGTGTATAACCGCTGCCGCCGCTGCGGCGTCGACTGCCACTGCCGCCCCACTCGCTGCCTGCAAGCTCCCTCCCTCTCTCCAACCCCGTCCTCCTCCGCGAGACCAACTCTTCCCGTGTGAGCTCCCTCGAAGCTTCGACTTTCCCCCGTTTATCCCCGAGCCCTTCCGTCACCAATATTCATTTTTTTTTTATACCCCTCCGGCACACTCTTGTTCGATCTCTTTCGCCAGTCGGAAAGAGTGATTTTTTTTTTTTCTTCCCCACTGCTGCTCGATTCGACGGGCAAAGCTCAGCCTCTCTCGTCATCCATCGGATCGAGAGCAAAAATGATCATCCCGCACCCCCCGTTGACCGATGATTGTTTAATTGGTATAGGGGTGGGTTTTATTGGCAACGCGTGAAAATTGACGGTCGGGCCGGTGCGTGCAGGTGGAAACGCTGTGCGTTTGGTTGCACTTGCGCGTTGTCTCTCGCGCTTGCGCCACGTGCGAAAGCTCCTCGCGAGCGGAAAATCATCGGGGGATACCGTGCGGAGATGATAAAACGCGATGACATACGTCTCCGATCTGACGGAGATCTGTCGGGGGATGGAGGGTGAGCTTTCGTATGCCAAGTTTCGCGAGCATCGCAAGTACCTACGCGTATGGAGATGGAGTTCCGGATGAAAGGAAAGACGGAGAGAGGAGCAATATCAAACAGACATATAACGTAAGGGTGAAATTGATGGTAATACCACCCCGACCCCCCCTCTCTCTCTCGCCACGCGCGAGAGTCGAAACGTGGTATCGAACGGGCAACTTTTTTACTGGCTGTGCCAAAAACGTCGGGTTCATTTGAAATACTTGCGCTTGCCCTGTTTTATTTACTCCCTAGTTCCTTTACTCCTACAATGCTCTCGTCATTTTTCGATCGAGGACATTCATCAAGGGGGGTGTGTGTACTATGGTCTTGAAAATCATGCAATCTGCGTGTCGAACGGTGAAAGCCTTTGAAAATGTACAAGTTGACCGAAAAATCAAATGGGAGGGGAGAGTCGTTAAAGCAATCGAGGGGCCAAGGAGGGGTATATAAAAAGGAATGGAAGGGCACAAATAAAATGGAATTGCTCGTACGAGCGTGTTCGTATGTATACGCAAGGGAGCTGGAAAGGGAAGGAAGAAAAGCCGAACGTTTACGAGGCGCCGTAAGGACGCCGACTGATCGATCTGCGGCTGTGTGGCCGAATACCGCAGCCACTTAGCTCTCCCGAGCTGGTATTCCGCGGAAAAAAAAAAGACTCGGTTGTTGCCTACCGTGTACATTTACACATGCGTGTCCTACACTATTGGTGTATAATATATACGTATGAATATGTGGTGTATACGCGATGGGAAGCTCCTCGTAAGGGTTGCAAGCTCCGGCAGCTGCAAAGGCTTTTAAAGCTTTATACGGCCACGCTTGTTTTATTACTACGTGGCAAATGCGGTATATGTTTAATATACCAACAAACTCGGACGCTATTAAGTATATACGCGCGCACGTGTGTATGAAAATGTAATATATGATGTTTACGATGTGGCTGTCCGTTGCAGCATCGAAAATAGCACAGATTGATAGGGGTTTCGGTCACTCGCTGAGTAAAAGTAAGTTAATAACAAAAACAACAACTCGAAATCACTTCCAGGACGTGTCTCTCGGAAACTCATTTTTTTATATCGATCGAGGGGTGCCTCAGCCAAGTACATAAATATACCGAGACATGAAACATCCCATTATGCCGATCTCGTCCACTTTGGGTCGTTTTCTTTTTATAAACAGCGGCTAGTACGATGTGACGTGTATCCGTCAAGTTATGTTTTTTTTTTTTCCCTCTTCCATTCTCCGCTATTCTGGAAGAAAAAAAAAGGAAGGGTTGCACGAAAAATGCAATTTAGTGCTCAAAAGCAGTTTTGTTTCTCACAATAAGTACTTTACCTTTTTTTTTTTTTTTTTTTTTTTTTTTATAGCATAGTAATAACGTCGTAGAAACGGATAAAAGTTCGGTGCTCTCGTTCGATGACGTAAATTCGGAAGATAGCGCGCAGCTAGCAGGGATATAAAAAAAAAAGAAAGAAAATTAGAGCGCGTCAGAAAGGGACATGGGCTGCATGCGCCGCGGCGTAAATGAAAAAAAAAAAGAAAAAGAAACGAGGAGACTGCATCGAAAGTTTGTAAAAATTCACGGCAATTCCCTCGGGTACTATAGGTAGATTTACATGGATATATAGTGTAGGTCGGAATTAATTTCGTGAGGGGAGGTACATACACGTACGTGTGTAATATTAAAGATCGACCTATATCGATAAAGGTGCCCATGTATTATACAATATATTGTACAACGTGTGGTAAGCCGAGCTTTGTTTTGTACATATATATTTGCTTATTGGACTCTGTTTGCGAAAACAGCAATCCAAGTAGCTCCAGGACGATCGAGGTAAGGGGGGCTGAAGGTGAGCTGATTCACCAGCACGCATGTACAAGTGCTATACAATACGCGTGAGATTGACAGGTGTACTTATTTGGTACACCTATAAAACATAAATAGAAATAGGGGTGCGGCCACGGAGGGAGAGGAAGAGGGAGGAAAGGAAGGAAAAAAAAAAAAAAAAAAGTAGACCGTGTGTACGCGATCGTTCTCGGTATCCTTTTCCCACCCCCCTTTCTTTCTGTTTTCAGCGCACGGAGGTACACGTATGTGAAGGTAAAAAAAAAAAAAAAAAAAGGAGTGCGTGCGTGCTTGTGTCCGCATAATCATGAGCCATGGCCATCACGCCGTCCCATCGGCGGCTCGAGTGCCGGCTGCCGGCATGCCGCTCCCTCCCGAGACCGCACCACCCTCTACTTCCTTCCACGGCTGGCTGCCGGATACTTTTTATTAAATAACCAGCGAAAGCAGCCGCGCTGGAGCTGCCCATATATTTAATTGCGCTCAACTAGTAGGGGCCCAGGCCACTTCTCTCCTCTCTCTTCTTCCGTTCCTGCGGAGCCGCCCGTTGAGAATCACTTTTGCTCGATGCGCACCTATACTACCCTCTCTCTCTCTCTCTGCCTAAATGTGGAGGTGCAGGGGTGAGTTTTACCTCATTTAGGGGGTACAGTTTAGAGCCTTTTTTTTCCTAACACCTACACTCGAATAAAATGAAAAAAATTAATAATTTGGATGTACGTATATTTGTGCACATCATATTATGTGAAAGTCAACATTATTTATAGCCTGTTGGGGTGTAAAGTTGGATTATTTTTAGAAACAAAAAAAAAAAAGAGAAATTTAATAGAAATTGGCTTGGAGTAACACGAAAAAGAGTACAATTTATACCCTGTGAACGTTGTACGCTCGATCTTACGTACGGATTTGTGAACTCCTGCCGGGTCGTGCTCGCCTGATCCGAAGCTGGCGGAAATTGCTCAACAGGTTATTCTGTTAGTTAATATTAGCTCTGTGAACTAAGTATTATATACGTGGTCTTTCGATTCTGTGTACGTATATACAACGTGTCCAGTCCACTCAATCTCGAACATCGAAAGAACCAGCTGGGACCAAATTCCACGTATCGTCCCAACTACGCTGATGTGCTTTGTTTAATTTTTTTTTTTTTTTTTTTTTTGCGATAATCAAACAAACTTTTATATTGTTTTGAACATATTTTGTTGTAAAAAGTAAATTTGGTGATACTTTTGGATTCCATTATAGGATAACTTTTAACTTACCATTTACTTTTGTCAGAGTCAACATCAGCAGTGGGTTGTATAGGTGTTTTTGTAAAGTTTTAATTTTTGCTGATAGTAGAGGTTGACTTGGTGATACTTATATTGTTGAAAGAGAAAAAAAAAAAGTCATAAAAACTGCAAACTTTGGTAAAATCAAGTCCTCTGGTAACATCGTACCTACACCTACATATGCGAGAAAGAGAGAGCTCCTGAAGAAGCATACCACCCTGGCTCGATCGAAACATTTTTGAGACCATTGCGCATTGTGCCCGCTGTATAACTGCGCGTGCAAGGATGCGTGTTGAACTCTCGTTATGTCAGTATTGTCAGTCCGCGCCTTTTTCTACCGTACGAAAGAAACTGGTATACCTATGTACTTTTGCGAGGGTTTTTTTTTATTTTAGTCGAATGACGCAATTATTCGGTCCTATTGTCCTCGATGGCAACAACTGAAGCATGAAAAATTGATTCCACACCTGCCGCAATAATTATACCGATTTTCATCACGTATGGGCATACACATACACATAAATGCTTTTCAAGTTCTTTTATTTTTCAATATACGTGAAAATATGAAATATTGTTTCAAATCTGATATCGTGTTGAAGAAAAAGTGCTGTATAGGGACATTTATTTGCATTAGAAGTGTCGTGTTATATTTTAAAATACGTACATAGGGTTGACATGTGTACTTGATAACATACTTGTGTAAAAACAGCAAAAATGAAAAATTAAAGCCCCAACACGGAATGCTGGATCCGTAGATGCAGAAGGAGGTGTTAAAATTCGAAAGTATTCGCGGCGAGTTGAAAAAGGTGGCAAAGTAAAAGTATACGTACGAGAGAGCAAAGGGTGGCAGGGGTGAAAAGCGCGGTGCTGGCGGTGCGGAGGTGTTGAAATATGCAAGCGAGTGGCCCGAAGCTATTTGATGGAACCGTCGCGATCCGCTAACTCCACGGCCTATCAATATTTCAAGGGCCAGCAAAGCAAATACACACACACCACAGCATCCCTTATTCTTTTTTTTTGGATTCGCCATCCACCCCCTTCCCTCGCGGATCTTCGATGCGGACTTTTACGTATATACGTGCTTGGGAGTGCGCGCGTCGCGATAAAGCGCGTGCAAATATGTATAGCGCGCCGCGTGACGCGATATTCGCGAATAAAGCGAAATACTTCTTCGTCTCGGATGGCGCCTTGGTCGCGAGTTCGCCAATTTGAAGGCCTGCCCTGACGCCTCTTGATGCCAGGTATATATTATATACCTACTTACCTACTCCTCGTGTGTGCCCGTCGTC